TTTAAAAAAATAATAAATCTTAGCAAAAATATTACTTTAATTAAAATCGCCATATAAATTCTAACACCGCCCCACTCAATTTTTCCAACATTACAGAAGATACAAAAAACTACATAATTCCATTAGTAACATCCTTCTTTTTATGGTTTATAACAAATATCAATCTTAAAGCTCTGTGATTGATTTATTGAAAATATATTATTGACACAATTATATACTTAAATAAAACATTATCCAAAATGACTGAGTTAAACTTAGTTGGAGTGAGAGATTTTGAATTAGATTGTATTCCATTTGGCTCCTCCAAGGAAGCCCATTGGTTTAAATCAGATTTGGGCAGTATTTCAAATAAATTATTTTAAAATACCTTTTCTGTAATTTTTATTTTAAGAAGTAAAATATAAAATACATCGTTTGTAACTATATTTTCTTTTGAAAATACAAAGTACATTGAAACGTATTTGTATTTTATTTTTAAAATACATTAAATGTATTTTATTTTGTATTTTAAATAGATAAAATACATTATAAAATTGATAAGGTGCGTTTAAATTATATAGTAAGGCGTTTGTAGTAAAATTCGCCTATGAAAATTAATTTTCATTTGATTTATTGATTTTTTTAAGGTCAATGGTTCTAAATTTTTAATATAATTATCTTTGGCAATAAAAATGGTAGATATTTAGAAATTGTAAGTTTATAGGATGTTTTTATTGGAAAGATGAAAGGGTATATTATCGATAGTTATTTTGTAGGGAAAAACAAATATATTTTTATTTATATAATTTTAAAGAGTTTCCCTCTCAAGAACTGAAATGAAGTTAAAAGTTAAAGTGAAATGCTTAAGAGATTAAAAAAAAAATCATTAAAGTAATACAACTAAAAATGTCAAGTAAAGTTTCGTTAATGAAAATTACAATTCGCTTAAGAAATTATCAAAAATAATATTTTTTTCAGTAAAATTATTATTATAAATTAAAATTCATATTTCATGGAAACAAATTATAAAACACTTAGAGTCATGAGATAAGAGAAATGGTGAAATATATTTATTATTGATGAATTTACTAAGCATGCAAGCGACTAAACCTAAAGAAGGTAATACACGGTGGGCCAGACCCCCATACCGTGCACCCCCCCCCCCACATCCCTATAAATTGCATATCGTTGTGTTCCTTGTAACAATTTATTAAAAAAAAGCCAATGTTCCCACAAAAAAAAGTGAACGCACTGCCCCAAAATGGCGTCCAAAGATGGCGGATTGACGACTTTGACTTTAGTTAGTTTTTTGGTCACTGAGAATCAGCATTAAGCTTAATTTCCTCATAGTTGGTCTTTTATTAAGGCTGAATAGTTATAGAATAATAAAACATGAAGAAATATTAAAAAATAATTGGCTAAGGCTATGAAAAACACCAGTAAAATAATTTTTTTAACAAAAAAATTTTCAAGTTACAAATCAAGCGTCGTTTGTAATTAAACGGCCAACAATAACGCAAAACGTGCTGAAATAAACCATCTGGAGAATATATTTCTCTTTCTGAAACGCTGATTATTTTTTACAAATGTTTGAGTAGTTCCGTAAAAAATGCACTTATGCGGCAGAAAAGCGGTACTGGCGTGGGTGCCTACAGGCCTCTACCACACCATTCAGTGCCCATAAATGGCTTAGTTATAGTTATATAATAACATTTTTGGTACATTATATTGGTTTTATTAACGAAAAAATATTAATGCAATAATTTAATAGTAAAAAAAAAAATTTAAATTTAAAAAAAAAAATATATTATTATTTTTTTAAATTTTAACCTCCTTTATTCTATACGTAGGTCGTTTAAGAATACCTCAATTGTAAAAATGGTATAATTATAATAATAAAATAAGTAGTTTGTATTTGTATTTTCGTTTTTAAATAAAAAATACAAAAAGTATTTTGTATTTAAAATACGTTTTCTGGAATTATTTTAAATACACGGAATTTAAAATATAATGTATTTTAAAAACACAAAATATGTTTATTTTTAATACAATATTTTGAAATAATAATCAAAATACTTTTTGCCCAGATCTGGTTTAAATGAACTGAAATTCGTTATGTAGTGTTACGTTCTTGGACAATGCCATAAAATTTAACCTTTTTCTTTATTAGTTCTAGTATGACTGGAACTTTTATTTAATTGTTTTTGAGTTATTTCAGAACTAGAACTTGTTATCATGAAAATTTTCAATTAAAGATTTTATATAAAATATATTTTTAAAACTTGCAATTTTGCAATCAATTGTTAGAGCAATTGATTTCGGAAAAAAAGATAATCTAGAAATTGGTGTTCATACAGTAGGTTCTTAATAGGATAATCAAGTGATCGTTTCAAGATAATTATACTTATAAACCAACTCCAATTTGTTATTAAAAAGTAACTTTATTTTTGAAAAAGTTCTTAACAACATATTTCAAAATTGTTTAAAAATTGTCTATACAAGTTTTAACCTCTGCCTTCAAATAAATTTAGAGGATTGTGTGTAAATTGAATGAGAGATGAAAAAGGACCAATAGATCAACTTAGCGAATGGATCTCTCCACTTTTACAAGAGCCAGATGAGTTAGGGACTGGTTACATAGTGCGAGTTGCTGAACTAACAGTGGACAGCTACTGCACCTCGCGTGACAGTAGCTCAACTCGCCGCGCCCGGTCACGCAAGTGCGAGCTACAGCCATGAAAGTAAACAGCTAATGCACTCTCATCAGTTCTTCGCAAATGTTGTGCAATGTTGTCGCAAAGTACTGACTGCAGTGACGTCTCATCACAATTCATACTGTTATAAAAGCGGTTTAAAAAATACCTTGTGCTTTAATACTTTGAGCTGAAAGTGCTGAAAAAAAGAAGAAAATAAAAACAGAACGATTTAAGTCAGAAATCGGATGCAAAGAAAATGAGCAACATCTGTTTATCCACAACATATAATATAACCAATTGTATAAGTTCGTTTGGTCCTAATATTACACCTCAAAATTTATATTTTGGTCCACACTTCATCTATCAGCCATTTTTTTGTTTTTACAACCACTATCCGAAACATAAAACGCATTTATTAAACCGGAAAGAATGCACTGGTGTGGTCCAAGGAGTACGAGCTACTGTCCTTTCGCAATATTTTTTTTTTCCCTGCCTTGCCTTACAGGGAATACGGGTTGTAGCCGCAGTGGGGTATATTGATGATATAGTAACTTTGTAATCCAGGTTTTGTATCATACCTTAAGATTCTATCGATGAAATAACTCTCAATAATCCTTATAAGGTATTGTGAGACATCCATTCTTCTCAATCCGTTCAAGATACAATACCACAGCGCAGAATTAAAAGCAGTCTTAACGTCCAACGTTATAACGCCGCAGTATTTCTTACCACCTCTTTCCTGCAATGGCTTCCCGAGTAGCTCTGATGACAAAGATTGTAGATGTTCCCTTCCGAAAGCCGTAATGATAATCAGAGAATCCTTGAGCTCCTTCACTAAAGTCGTTTAACCTACCATAAATGATCCTCTTCAGTACCTTGTCAGCAGTATCCAGAAGACATATTGAGCGGTAAGATAAGGGGTCTTGCTTGAGCCCTTTTCCTTTTGGCAGTAGCACAAGATGTTGCGTCTTCCATTGTCTTGAAAAGACATTCCCACTAAGATAGGAGTTATACACATCTAAGAAGAGTTGTGGCTATTGAGTTGACCTAATAGGCATTTTCAAGGCAAGCAAGATTTGGGACATTATCCAGGCCTGGAGCTTTGGAATCCGCTATTGCTGCATGCTATTTCTAGTTCTTCCTCAGTGATTTCCGGCAGTGATTCCAGATCCGGCATCGCTATTTTATCAATGAGCACTTCCGAGTGTCTTGGAAATAGCACTGCCACTATTTTTTTCTAACAATTCTGAAGAGCTCGGGGGTGACAAGTTTGAACTTTTCAGTTTGGTCATGAGTGTTTTATAGGGTCTCCCCCACGTGTCTTCGTTTATCTCCTCACACAGCTCGTTCCACGAGTTACGTTCCTTTTATTGCCTTGAATAGGTTCCTCTAAGCTTGTTTATGCTCCTGCTTCCGAGCCTCGTATAGTTAGCGACTTCTCCCTCGCTGGGCTAATCTTCTGGTACGACGACAGGATCGTCTGAAACAAGCGGTCCCCTCGGTCCACCAATATATTGCCATGTGTCGATTTCTCTTTTGTGTGTGTGTGAACAGTCTAGCTCAAAAACTAAAAGTCGTATGAAAGTGAAATTGCATATGTATGGTTTGTATATACCTGAGATGTTACAACAACATTTTCGTCAAAATCGGCTAACTAGAGATGTCACTTTATATAATCGATTTTACAAATTTTTACGATTTTCTCAAAAACAGCCCTAACGATTTTGATTAAATTCATTATATCAGTGTAACATTAAGTGTTCTTTAGTATTAATTAGGCCTTATTCCTATTGATGTCACTTTATAGGGCTTCAATGCACCAATGTTTAACATTTCTTCTTCTAAATTACCTTTCATTTGGTTTATGTTAAAATAATTAACTCTCATTCTTAGAAGTTACGAAAAAATGCTAAATATAACTTTTGATAATTGAAAGATGGAGAAGAAAGGAAAAATGTTTATACAGGTCGAAAATGAATCTCCGGAAATAATAGTCAGGAGGTATACCTATAATATATCGTTGGGAAACCAAGAATTTTAGAAACAATATCTAATAGAAAGGCGAATAATTTGTGAAAACTAATATTATTTAACGGAACTCTCATGTTTTCAAGGAATTCAAATGAAATGCACTACTAACGTAAACTTTAAAAAAAATTTTAAGTTTAAAAATGATCTCAATTCACATCTTGTAACCGCTCAATTTTGAATATTTGTCGTTCAATTAGGACGAGTTGAAGTGATGTTTTATCTAAAGGTGTGGTAGTAATTTGTAATCGTTATCATTCTTTCTAGTAATTCATTGCTAAATATTGATCGCTAAATATGGTTAATTTAGGAGATGAATTTCCCAATTTTAATGCTAACACCACTATCGGAGAAATTACTTTTCATGAATGGCTGGGAGATTCGTAAGTTTTCTTTCTGATGTCATTTCTTAACACTTTTTTTTATATTCAATTTGTCTAATATTTGTTTTAGGTGGTGTATTTTTTTCTCCCACCCAAACGCATTCACCCCAGTTTGTACTACAGAATTAGGTAGAGTTGCTCAGTTAATACCTGAATTTACCAAAAGAAATTGTAAAGTAATCGGCTGTTCATGTGATGGTATTGAAATTCAACACAAATGGATTGAGGTTGGGTAACTACATTAGTAAATATTGAATATTATTTTATGATAACCACTTTATCAGTTGATTTTAGTGGAACTGTTATGTTTCGCCATCTCCTAAACATACTAGATCAAAATATTGAAAATTCTTATGATGTGAGACTCATAGCTTAGTCTTCGACTGTAATACTAATTTGTTATTCCTTATCTCACTGTTTTGCTGTCAAATGTAATTGTTAATCTTATCTTCATTTACAATAAGGAAAATATTGTTGACAATTTAATCAAGGAAAAGATATTAGGAGGTAATCTCAAAAATGAAATACCCAGTAAATCTTTTCTATTTCCAAGTCTTGTATTGTAAAGCTTTAATTATTATAGGCTGGTACACAGTAAAGTGTAATTATATCTTTATATGCATTTCTTTCTTGATTCATCTCCTGTCACCTTTTCCTTGTTATCTTCATTTATCATAGTTTGATATAGGCCTTATATATTTTATCAGATATATGTACACACTCATTAACATCCATTTCTCCTTGATATTCATTCAGTGATTCATAATCATATCTGGTTAAAAATGTCAATTCTAGCAGTTTACAACATAAATTATTAATAGTTTTTAAAAAATTGAGGAACTAATTAGATGAAAATTCAAACTAGACATGACAAGATATCCCACCTCTCCATCCTCAATCATAGAACTACGTGCAGTTCCCCGTGTTAAAGGTGTTTAAGAGGAACAAATCATTTATAACTTCGAGACTATGAATTTCACTGAAGAACCTTAAGATGTATCTGTGATTCAGTGAAACCTCTTGATAAGGACATCTCTCTTTAAGGTACACCTTTATTTACAGGTAGAGAACATTATTAGGTTTGCATTACTTTTTCAAGAATGCTTTTGTTTAGCATGATTCAAATCATCGTATTAAAGATTTAAAGAAGTCTCTTCTTGTTCTTCCCCATTTTTAATTTAATGGGAATTTATATTTTTAGGATTAGGTTATTATAGTTGTGATTACCATTGAAAATAGATGAATATGATACATGAGTCTATAAATGATTAGGTCATTAAGCTAGATTCAGACTAAAGAATCCTAGGCACACAGTGGCAAGAAAGGGTAACATTTGTAGAAGCTATGACTGACCTCCATCCAAACAAACCTGATTTTCTAGATCAGAGCACTGCTGGATGTCTGAAATTGGCTGCTGATAATTTTAGAATCAAGACATTTTAAAAAAAAGTTTAATACTAACTTTGTATAATTTGGTTCAATTGTGTAAAGATCATTTTTTTTTTTTTTATAAAATTTCAATGGCTAAATATATGTATATAAAATTTATCAACGTTTGTTGAGTAATAGTAAACTTAAATATTTGCGAGTTTTCTTAATATTTACCAATATGTAGGAATTGTAAATATAGGTATTTGTATTTATATTTGTTTAAAATATAACCATTTCAAAAGAACTGTATTAGATTTAAACAAGTATCAGCCTTCTAAATTCCTATTACATATATGCATATAATATTTTAAGCGCATACACATATGATTTTTTTTAAGGAATCTTCTCATTAAAGGACAAAAAATGATTCAGCATCACTGTCTAGTATCCAGAGGTTTCACTATATAGCAATAGCAAATAGAACATGATAACATTAGAAAACAATCTACTTTTTTGAAGGAGTTATAAAAAAAAAAATGGAGTAGAAGCAGTATTGTAGGCTGGCAATGTGGAGTATAATGAGACAAATCTCCTTCACAAGTGGATTCTCAATACTTTTTTTGCTGAATTAGAACCGTTTTGTTCCCATAATAAGTTGAGTTTATTATTTTTTTTTAGATGGAGTTGGTTGGGAGGTGGGCTCAAATAAATGCTAAATTTTAAAAATAGTATTTTTAATTATTACGCCGATGTTTCGACCACCTTACAGGTCTTCATAAGGGCGTGGCATGTGGCACTGCAAGAGGCAGTTGATAAGACTGAATATTTTTTTTTTTACTGAATAGTATTGTTTTTTTTCTTCGAAGGTTGCTTATAAGGGCATAAAACCAATTATGAATTCAGCAGCGATGTTGTAAAACAATAATATCCTGACAATGAATTTTAAATAAAAATAAAATTCACTTTTTATCCCATATTTATGTTGTCTGTGCATCAGTAATTAGCTTCATAGTAATAGTAAATGCTCCAAACTTTTTGGCCTGCGGATCACGGCTTGTGGAGAATAAAAAAATCTTGTTCTATAAATGATACTTCATTTGTGAAATTAGCTTTTAAGGGAATCTAAATGTATTCTGTAGAAAAACCTCGATTTAATCGATATAGACTTAGAGCATATTAAACAAGAAAGTTTTATAAATGTGGTATCTGTAGTCTGGTTTTTAAGTTGATAACAATCTAGAATAATTCATGATCTTAAGAAAAACAGAAAATGATTTTAACAAATACAAGCTAAACTTGTAACTGAAGTAAATTTGGTCCAGTTTACTATGAAGTAATCATTAATTATCTATTTATTTTTTTGTTGTTGATTATCATTTCCTATTCAACAAAGAACTTGACAATCTGAAAAACACAAAACTTAAATTCTCTGCGTTTTTACGGAAAAGCTGTCTATGGTATAAACTTTTGTGTAGCTCTTAATATATGCTACTACCATATGATATGTGGATATGAAGATTGTGCAATCTTAAATCCGACAGTATTTTCATAAAAAACGTCCCCAAAACCTATTAGTGGACCCATATATCGAAGAAATCTAAAAAGTGACAAATATTCTATACGCAATCTTAAATCCGATATTTTTTTTTATAAAAGGTGGACCCGATAACATATTAGTGGACCCATGTGTTGAGTTGTTCTAATTTTTAGATTATAAAAATCTAAAAGTTAGAAAAGCGCTGTGCGCAACTAAGCAATCTTTAAGGCTATAGTATTTTCATAGAAAGGCCACAGACAGCATAATATTTTTCCCTAATGTTGAAAGTATGTCTTATTTCGATGGTCGTAATGAGATTTTGTATTGATAAATATGACTGAAGTTCATCAATAAGCTTCATTAAAAATGCCCTTAGTAGCCCTATTTTGCCAGACAATAATTTATCTTCAAAGTGGAAATTGTGTGATGCGTGCACCAGATTTTTTGTATTAATATTAATATCAAAACTTAAGGTTACCCAATAATCATTTTATCTGTAAATAAAACGAGTTACTGTTGATTTCTACTATCGAAATGTTTTGAGCATATTATGTTTTTAGTTGTTAATAGCTTTTTTTTTTTCCATCTAGGATATTAAAAGTTATTCTAAAATAGAAGGCAATTTCCCATACCCTATAATTGCTGATGAGTCTCGTAGTCTCGCTGTTCAACTGGGTATGATTGACCCAGCTGAGAAAAACAAAGATGGGCTTCCTGTTACTTGCAGAGCAGTTTTCATAATTGATTCCGATAAAAAACTTCGTCTTTCAATTCTTTATCCCGCTACAACTGGACGTAATTTCAGGTGTGCCATTTATCATTATTTCTGTTACTTAAACAATTTTTTTTCTATAAACTTGAGGAACCTATTTGTTTAATTTTCAGTGAAATATTACGTGTATTGGATTCACTTCAGTTAACAGATGAGAAAAAAGTTGCTACTCCAGTTGACTGGAAAGTAAGTAAAATTAATTTTAAAATAATTTGTCTTATTACCTTTTTCATTTTATAATGCGTGTTTTTTTTAAATTACATTTTAGTTTGGAGATAGTTGTATGGTTTTACCAACTCTGAGTGATAATGAAGCAACTGAATTATTCCCTGCTGGTTTCAAGACTGTTCAAGTTCCATCTTCTCTACCTTATTTGCGGATTACTCCACAGCCATAGTAACAATTTTTTTTTTAAATCCAAGTTGTTAATATAACCTTACACTAAATGTGCAAACCAAGTTTATTGTATTACTTCCTTTATGTAAGTGTTTTCAAATTGTATTGTAAATCTTCTGTTGTACTCTCAGCTAGTTTATGTATTTTAAAAAAGACCTGCATCTCATTACTTCTAGAGTTAATCACATTTTTTTACATATGAGATTTATTAATTAAAATAATATTTTTCTATTATTTATTTTTTCAGAATTTAATTTGTGTTCATGCTCTTTAAGTTTAATTTTTTTTTTTTTTTGGAGAGGCCAATTACTATTTTTTAAAATATATGTATATATTTAAAGTAAAACAAAAATATATGTGTCAATGTTTGAAAAATAAGTCATTTTAAAATAAAATATATTTTCATAAATTATGCTATACCTCTAGAACTGTCATAAAACCTTGTATTTTATTGATTATTTTCACATTTTGCATACTTTTATTATAAAGGGTGTCCTGTAAGTAGAGTATACCTCCTGATTATTATTTCTGGAAATTCATTTTTGATCTAAATAAACATTTCCCAGTACTCCTTAAGTAGCTAGTTCCATCAAAACCTCCCTTGTTATCTAATCTTATATCACATAGCCTTCCTTCTTATCTCCTCTAACCTAAGTTATTCCTTTCTTTATTTTTTGTTCCTCCTGTAAGCTGTGAGATATTCCATCGTTTATTTTTGTTCCATTAGTATTATTTCCGTAAAATTATCGATGTTTTTACATTGTTTGAATTGCCATCTTCAGAAGAAGAGGCTATCAAATAATTGCAAAAGTGAAACATTGTGATGAAGGTCATGAAATGAAGTTCGACGAGAATACGAAATGGAGATACTTTCGTACTTGTAACAAAAACGTTTCTATAAGAGAAGGAATGTGGTTAGAGGGGTGGAGAATTTCTTTTTTAACGACTTTAAAATTCATTTATGTGTGGTCCCATAATTTAACAACAATCCAGTGGGAAAAAGAGCAGCTGAAACTATTCCAGAGATGTTGTCATAGTGTTTCTTTTATAAGTACATATGTTGTTTAAATGTTATTTTATTATTTAATAGTTTTTTTTTTATTATTTCATTTATTTTTGTCTATTTTTATTATTTAATTTATATATATATATATATATATATATATATATATATATATATATATATATATATATATATATATATATATGATGTAGAGATGGTTGACCGTTGATATAATATGAGAAGGAGTTAGTCGAGGGTGCGGTCAAATAAATAAAAAATTAAAATAATTAATATATTTTAATTTTTTATTTATTTGACCGCACCCTCGACTAACTCCTCATATATATATATATATATATATGCTGTAATGTTTTTACATTATATATGTATAATGTTTTGGTGTATTTAATATATATGTTGTAAAATAAAAGTATTTTTTTATTATTACATTTGTTTCTGTTTACAATTTCAATAATATGAATATAATACAATAAATATGAGTACGAAGATATAATAATATAAATATAAGACAATGAATATGAATAGGAATTATTACTGCCTTATCACTGTTAAAATTATATGACAGGCCCATACCCTGTCAAGGCGAAATACAAATTTGTGAAAAGCACAGAACGAAATAGAGCCGATAGAATATTATGGTGCGAGACAGCGCGGAAAAAGGTTGATCACACTTGCTACATGGAATGTTAAGGGAATAGGAGGAAAGGAGATGAAGGAGCTAAAGAAGGCTCAACAAATAGCAGGCTTAACAGAAACAAAAAAGAAAGGAAAGGGAGAGGAACAAATTGGTGACTATGTGCTGTTGCTTTCAGGAATAAACCACCAGGAAAAAAGGCAGAGTAGGATGCATAATTCACAGGGATCTATGCACGCACATACAAGAATGGAGTGCCATAAGTGAAAGAATTATGAGTGTGCAGCTAAAACTTGAACACAAAAAATATACACTGTTCATTGTGTATGGCCCTAATGATAATGCCAGTGTTAGAGAAAAAGAAAGTTTATCGACGACTTACAGAAGAGATTAGATGATAGTATCAGAAACCCCATCATTATAGGAGACCTTAATGGCAGAGTGGGAAAGGAGACTGATGGATGGCATGGAGAAAACTTCAGGAATGACAATGGAGAAAGAATTTTAAACCTCTGCCTAGCAAAAGGGCTAACAGTGACGAACAGTTTTTTCCCTCACAAGGAAATACACCAAATCACAAGAGTGGAAAACGAAAAATCTATCATTGATTACTTTTTGGTCCCAAAAGAGGAAATAAGGAGAACAAAAGACGTCAGAGTCAAGAGAGGATACGAGCTAGGGACAGGCCTTATCCTGTTGACATTGGGTATGCTTTTAGAGGACTCAACCACAAAGGAAGAAAAATCAAGACCTAGCAAAGCCACAAAAATAAATAATTACAAGCTTAGAGCACAAGACGTTGCATAAGCATATAGGTCTGCAATAGAAGTAAAAGCAACTTGCAGCGAATATCAATGGGATCCTGACGAGACAGAGGAAAGCTGGAAAACAATCGAACAAATATTACTGGGAGCAGCAGAGGAGGCTTGTGGAAAACCAATGTTGGCCAACGATTGAAAAGGACAGCCTGGTGGAACGAAGGGGTGAAAAGTGAAATCAGACAAAAGAAGGGATACTGGAAACGGTATCTTCAGACAAAAAACATGGAAGAATATGAAAGATAGAAGGGACAGCGAAAAAGATTAAAGGAAAAAGTCCTGCAGTCGAAGAGAAAAGCTTGGGAAGATTTCGGAAATAAGTTAGAGGAAGATGCAAAAGGAAATCAGAAGCTCTTCTACAGATGCCTAAGAAATATGAGGAAGGAAAAGGAGCCCATCATAAAACACATAAAAGATGAGGAAGGTATTATTTTAACAAATACTAATAAAATAGTGAATAGATGGGCGGTATACTTTGAGAGGGTGCTGAATGACTATACAGGTAGTTTATCAATGCCAAAACAAAATATTAATGGAGATGTCACTTGGAATGAGGACGAGTTAGATTTCATAGGAGAGGAGGAAATAGCAGATGCAATTGACAGTCTGAAAATGGGCAAATCGCCAAGAATAGACGGTATAACCCCCGAAATGCTGAAGTATATTTCCATAAGCTTTTCCTCTTTATCTCGTGAATGGATGCTCGGTTTTTCACCGCTACAACAGTTTTCCGACTATGTAGATGTAGGCGAAAATAGAGAATTAGTGTAGAAAATTTTTCTAATTTTCATAAGCTTTTCCGCTTTTATCTCGTGAATGGATGCTAGATTTTTCACCGGTCCAACAGTTTTACGACTACGTAAATGTAGGCAAAAATGGAGAATTAGTGTAGAAAATTTTCTGGATTTTCATACGCTTTTCCTTTTTTATTTTATGAATGAATGTTCTGCTTTTCACTGTTCCAACGATTTTATAGCTGTTTAGAACCAGGCCAATGGAAACAGGATTAGAACAAATTTCCCGAATTTTCATTCGATTTTCCTTTTTTCTCTCGGGAATGAAGGATCGATTATTCACAGTACCAACTGTTTTCCGGCTATGAAGAGGTAGCTAAAAATAGGAAAATGGTGTAGAAACTGTTCAGAATTTTCATACGCTTTTCCTTTTTTATTTAGTGAATGAATGCTCGGTTTTACACCGTCCCAACTATTTTATAGCTGTTTAGAGGTAGGTCAATAGAAAAAGAAGTGGTAAAAAATTTCCAAATTTTCATTTGCTATTCTCCTTTTATTTTGGAAATTTCATTTGTTTATTTAGAAATATTACATTCTGTCACATCAAGGACATTTATAATAGTGATCAGAGAAAGCACACTCACACTCTATTTACAATAAAAAAAAAATAAATAAATAAATAATACAGAAACTTAATAATAATAAATACAATAAAATAAAATAAAAATAAATACAATAAAATAAAATAAATGTATATAAACAAAAGAACTAACCTAATCATACACACTCGGGCTTGAGTGGAGGATCTGGCCATTGCCAAAACTCCAATAGATGCTTATTTACAAAACGTCTCTGGGCCACTGCCGCTTCAACCTTCGAGGAGGATTGTAAGGATGGGTGGTGCTGGATAGAGATTGTGCAAGGGGATTTGGATGATAGGTAAGGTTTTGGTGAAATTTGGAGAATTTTTCTGGAATAAGGTCTAGGACAAATGGGATATTAAGGTCATGGTGTAGGATTTTGTTATTTACATAGAACGGAGCATCAACTATTGTTCGAAGGACTTTAGATTGAAAGGATTGAATACGTTTGATGTTAGAAGCTTTTGCTGTCCCCCACAGTTCAAGTCCGTATGTCCATATAGGTTTCAGTATTGTCTTGTAGATAAGTAATTTGTTTTCAATAGAAAGTTTGGATTTTCTGTTTAGTAGTCTGTATAGCTGGCCGTATCGTCGGTTGAGTTCTTGTCTTTTGAGTCTAGTATGTGGGTTCCACGTTAGTCTTCGGTCTAAATGAAAGCCAAGATACCGGACTGTGTCTGAGTAAGGAAGCTGGATGGAATTAAAGTGAACTGGTGGACAGGAACTGCGTCGGAGTGTAAAGGTGATATGTTGGCATTTAGATTCATTAACTTTAATGCGCCAGTTATTACACCAGTGCTCAATCAAGGTGAGGTGGTTTTGGAGATTTAAGGATGCTATGTTGGGATCAGAGTTGGATGATAAGATTGCGGTGTCGTCAGCGAATGTTGCAAGAAAAGTATCGGGATGAACAGGGATGTCAGCAGTAAAGAGGATGTAAAGCACAGGACCCAAGACGCTGCCTTGGGGAACACCGGCTTTAACGGAGTAGATATTGGAAAATTCTGTTCCACAGCGAACTCGGAAGGAGCGGTCAGAGAGGTAGGATCGGAGGACTAGGTACAAGGACTGAGGTAAATGGATTTTAAGCTTGAAGAGCAGTCCGGAGTGCCATACCCGGTCAAATGCCTGTGCAATGTCCAGAAATGCACCCGAACAGTATTCCTTGTTTTCTAGGGCTGAGGAAATATGATCAACAACTCGGAGTCCTTGTTGAACAGTGGAATGTTGGGAGCGAAAACCAAACTGATGGGAAGGAATATTTTGGGATTCTATAATGGGTAGGATTCGTTTCAAAAGGATCTTTTCAAAAATTTTTGAAAGGATTGGGAGTAGGCTAATTGGTCTATAGGATGTTGAGATATTGGGAGGTTTGCCTGGTTTTTGGAAAAGGATAATAGTGGAGTGTTTCCATAGCAGAGGAAAGTGGGTGGTGCGTAGGATACAGTTGTAGATATATGTAAGGAATATGACTGCTTTGGATGGAAGTTGTCGAAGGATTTGAGGGGTAAGGAGATCATGTCCAGGAGCTTTACGGAGGATTAATTTTTTTAATTGAAATTTCACTTCGGAAGGATGAATAGCTTTTGGGGGCAAGGAAAGTGGGATTGGTGATGTAAGGAATTCTTCTACTGTTACGGTGTGGGCAGGATGGGATTCCGGATGTGAAATAAATGTATTGGATAGGTGAATGGCGAACTCCTCAGCCTTATCTTCGTCAGATGCTGCCCAGGAGCCATCATCTCGTCGGAGGGGATGGGAAATGCGGTGAGGATTTAAGATTTTGGTAGTGGTTTTCCAAAGGGAATTGTCGCGAGAAGAAAGGGAGGATAGGTAGGAGTTGAAGGAATGTGATCTGAAGGTGGCTAATTCCAGTTTTAATTTTTTGCAGTAATAATTATAGGAGCAGCGGTCGGTAGGATGTCGGGTACGTTGCCACAATAATCTGGCACGGCGTTTGGTTTGGATTAGGTCAAGGAGGTGTTGGGGTAGAATGGTCTTTTTAGGAATTCTGGAGGAGTCTTTTGGGAAGGAAGCAGTCCAGGCGGCTTGTTGGATTGTGGTAGTAAAGGAATTTACGGCACTATCAAGGTCATCGGGAGTTTTGAGGGATATGTTAAGATCAATTCTATCGGAGATGATTTGGCGGAAAAGGTCCCAGTTAACTGGGCCCCTAATAAATGACGGTGGAGAAGGTTTGGGAACGGGTTCAAGTGAAACATTAAGGATTAGAGGACTATGGTCAGAGGAAAGTTCATTTAGACGTGTAATGGAACAATTGAGGGGACTTAAGCCGCTGTGGATAAAGAAATCAAGAAGATCAGGATTACGGTTGGGATCTGTAGGCCAGTAGGTAGGAGAGTTGGGGGAAAGGAGATGAAAATGTTGGGAATTGAGTGCAGACAGCAGGGTTCGGCCACGAGTATTCGTGGTTCTGGAACCCCATTGTTGATGTTTGGCATTTAGGTCTGCACCCAAGATGAAGTGATGTCCTAAGGAGTCGAGGAGAGAACGGAATTGGGCATTGGATATGGATCGGTTAGGAGGGCAATACGCTGATGCAAGGGTAACCGGAAAGGAAAAGGTTTTTATCACGATAGCGGTAGACTGTAGGAAATCATGTGTAGGTAACGGGAGTAGGTGATGGGAGAGGGATTGGTGTACAATGACAGCAGTACCGGCATGTGCTTTTCCGTCAGGGTGGTCAGTACGATATGTCAGGTATTGTGGTATTTTGAAGTGCTGTTTAGTGGTTAGTCGAGTTTCAGTAATTAGTGCCACGTCAATATTTTTGTCAAGTAATAATGTAGTTAGTTCGTTTGTGTGATTTCTAACTTCGAAATTAAGAATCAGTTTTACCGTTCCAACTATGTAGAGCTTGCGAAAATGGAGAAATAGTGTTGACAATTTTCTTTCGTTTTTCCTATTCTATTTTGATAATGAAGAATCGATTTTTTACCGTTCCAATAGTTTTCTGACTATGTAGTTCAGACGAAAACTGCAAAAAATTCGGAAAATTTTCAATACCAATTCTCTATTTTTGCCTACATCCACGTAGAAACTGTAAGAACGGTGAAAAATCGAGCATTCATACACGAGATAAAAGAGGAAAAGCGAATGAAAATTGTTGGAACGGTGAAAAAAACGCAAAAAAAAATCACGAGTTAAAAGAGTAATTCGAAAAGTTTTCCACACTAATTCTGCATTTTCGCCTACATCTTTACAGTCGGAAAAGTGTTGGAAAGGTGAAAAACCGAGCATTAATTCACGAAATAAAAAAGGAAAAACGTATGAAAATTCTGGAAATTTCTACTCCATTTCCCTATTCTTACCTACCTACCTCCATAGCCGGAAAACAGTTGGTACGATGAATTACCGATCCTTCATTCTCAAGATAAAAGAGGAAAAGCGAATGAAAATTCGGAAAAATTTGTACCAATGCTATTTCCATTGACTTGCCTAAACAGCTATAAAATCGTTGGCACATTGAAAAACAGATCATTCATTCACGAAATAAAAAAAGAAAAGCATATGAAAATTCTGAAAATTGTCTGCACCATTTCCCTATTTTTATCTACCTCTTTATAGCCGGAAAACAGTTGGTACGGTGAATAACCGATCTTCCATTCCCGAAATAAAAGAGGAAAAGCGAATGAAAATTCGGAAAATTTGTTCTAATCCTGTTTCCATTGGCCTGGCTCTAAACAGCTATAAAATCGTTGGAACAGTGAAAAGCCGAGCATTCATTCACAAAATAAAAAAGGAAAAGCGTATGAAAATTCGCAAAATGTTAAATGTTAATTATCATAGACAGTGCTCCTGACAGCTAAAAGAAAAGAGAAAATGTTTTATTCTTGTTTGCCTATAAGTCTATCTCTAAACAGAGGAAAATTGTGTGTATTTGATTTTTTGATTACTATTACGTGATTATGATTACGATTTCAGTGATCTTGATTAAAATGATTATAATTACGATTACATAATTACGCGATTATAATCAAAATAAAAAACCGTGATTACGATTAGAATCGTGTAATCAAATAATTGTGATCTTTTTGATTGTGATCGTAATCGTTGATTGTGATTGTGCCCATCTCTGCCTTACCCGATCAATTGGAGCGTCAAAGTGCCTCGGAATGCAATGCTGAATGAATGTGTAAAGTCCGTTTATCAGTCATAATTTAGTTTGTTGACAATGAGATAATCTTTTATAAGACAATAAGACAGAAGTTACAAAATAAAATCTCAACTATTAAAGGAAAACTATTGCATTAATATTCCATTGAACTAACAAATATCACAATATTACAGTAAAATAGGTAGTTATTTCATGTTTTGAAAATTATTTCCTCTTAAAGAAAAATGCAAAACGCCATATGATCCACAAACCAATTGTTGAGCCATCATTTTAAGATTACTTTATCCTTCAAGAAGAAAAATAAACATATTTCTTCCTAAAGTGTTAGGGGGTTCCAGTACCGGCGGCTATGGACAAATGTGTAAAAGCGTAACTATCATTTTCCATTACTTAGTTTCCATTAAATTTTCCTTAAAAAACAGACAACAGATGAATTGGCCACAAACAGAGGGACATAAACGCTAGTCTAGATCAGGGGTCTCCAAATTTTTTGGCGCACAGGCCACATGGAAACCTCTATTATATTTCGCGGGCCGCTTTCAGGCCTGACTTTATCCCTGCAGGCCAAAACTTTTATAAAAAAAAAAGCTTGTTCAATAAATGACACTTAAATAGTGAAAGGAGCTTTCCAAGTGAAAAAACTTCCGCAATAAATATTGTAACGTCGTGTTTGGATGATTTACTAAGTTTCGTTGTTTTAAATTTTTTTAAAAATTTTAAATTTTACCTGTCCTTGGGTAAGATTGGAGTTGTTTGCGGGCCGTAATTTGTACGCTCTTGTGTACCACTTGAAAATATGTAAACACGGTTTATAATAGTTCGGTCTCAGTAAAAGAGTTACAAACGGTTCCATTGGCCTTATTGAGCTAGTCGCCATGGAGCAGTTCCTATCGGTTCCTTACTCAGTCTCGGTTCCTTGAATTGTTCCACGAGTTCGGTGCTATTCAGATGTTTGTGTTGAAGTCGAAGACAGATATGGATGTTTAATATTAATTTTGGGTGAAAAAGTTCTTTTTATATTTCCATTATTTTGTTTATATTGAAGGTTATTCATAGTGAATTGTGACAATCAGGATGATTAATGTTTATGAGTGATATAAATCAACGAAATGATTTTTGAGAAATAGATTGATTGTTTTAGATTGTTGTTCTTTGAAAGATTGTCGATTATTTAAAGAGCATTTAATACATGAAACACCAATGACTACTTCACTGTATTTTATCCGTGTAAGATTCCAATTTATTACAATGGCCAAAAATTATTCTCAGAAAATAATTTTTTACTATTCCTTTTAGATATCTATATTAATTGTAATTATAATGGAGAGACCTGCCATTGCATTTTTGTCAGTGTTTGATAGTAAATGTATTTTTTTATTCAGAAGGTGTGCTACATTGAAAAACATACTGGGCAACAATGTCCAAGACAAGTAAGCGAAAATCTAGTGAAGCTTCAAGTAAAAACAGCAAATCTTTATCTACTAAAGACTCCCACAAACGTCCTAGTGTTTTTGAAAGACTAGGTACTAAAGCAACTACTTTGTCAGTTAATACTTTATCACTAAATACTGCAAATCAAGCAGAATTTTGTAGAAATTGGGCCCAAAATGGATCTTGTCCCTATGGTAAAAATTGCAAGTGAGTATATGTGTGTTCTAAAGTAAGAATAAAAATGTCTGTTAATCATCTGCAAGTTGTTTAATATTTTTTTTTAGGTTATCTTACAGTCATGTATTAATAAGCCCTTCCAAAAGAAGCTTCAAGAAAGATATTGATTTAGAGAAACGTGTGCAAAACTCAATTTTGTGTCGAGCCAGTCCTTCTGAAGTTGGTGTTGATTGGGAAAGCTGGGATCAGAGTGAATTAGAATATGAAGATGAAAAGGCTCTTGAAAGAAGAAGACAACTGCTACAACGAGAATTAGAACTTCAAATCAAAAAAGAGATCCAGAAACAAGGGACTAACAAAGTATGATACTTTCTATTTCTTAAATTGAGTTTTTGGTCCATTAATTATTTTCTGGTTACTTACAACACAACAAAGCTATAGTAGTGTATCGTCTAGATGGCAGGTAGGCCAAGATCATATCGATCACAGTATGCATGGAATGGTGAAACTACTCTACTGCTTCTGTCAGTACCACTTTACAAGTGTCACTCTACTTTCACGAGTGGACCAAGATTCCATGATCATGTCATAATTGGGATTCCGAGAATAGCCCAGGATTGACATGTGCTCACAGTATAATCTTCCTTTATCTAGATTGTAATTTACAAGTTCTGTAAACTCCCTACTAGTCTTTTTTTAGTTAAAATCCGTGCTTAATTAGTCTAAATGACATTTCTGCTTTCAGCTCGGCTTGTTCTTTAGAGATAGGAAAACCCCAACGAGCCCTTTTGAGTTGAGGTTTTTGAACTTACCAGACGGTTTGGTCATTTCCATTAACTTTCGGACACTCAGTCATACTTGGGATTCCATTAATAGTGTGATCTTGTGCCATTAACCAAAGTGGACTGACACTTCTAAAGTAATACTCATCTGTCTGTTTGACAGGTTACTTCATCAACAGAAAACTAAAATACATTGGTTTGGAAGTATTGATACATCAGAATGATGCTTTATATAGAAAAGTAACACATAATTGATTTTTGCTTTTGTGAAATATTTTACCAAGTTAATTGATCCCAAAAAGAAAAACTATTTACCCAACCATATTATCAGTGTTTCACCCGAAATTTACGAGAAATGATTAGTTTTTGGAACACATAAGTTGTTTCATTATTTTTACCCTAAAAGTTTTCTATGATCTTATTTTTGTTTCACCTCATGAATGATGTACAGGCCTCTAGAGGCTCTAAAGTGGAGATCAACTGATATATCAGCGATATCTGGAATATTCTATTTATTGCTAAATAAATGAATAAATAAACCATCTTAGCCATGAGCTTTTACATGAACTTTAGCCGATAAAAAGAGTGATAAACCTATATATCAGCATATAGATCTTTCATTCATATCTGTCAAGTTCCATTTGGTGTCGGTTGGAAAAAATTTTTAATTACGGAATCTAAGAGTTAGATCTATTTTTTAAAGATTTAATGTGCTACCAATATTCCAAAAACCAATATATTGGCTTAATAAACTTTCACATGGAAAATTATGTTTATTGCTAATAAATTTGACGATCAATCATCTAGGGATCAACCTCAATAGAAACTTGGGCTGATACAAATATTCCTAAGATCAATATACCGGGTTTTCAGCCATATTATATATATAGGTTAATAAAGTTTCACATAGAAAATTCTGCTCATAGCTCAATTGTATCCATCAATCGTCTAGGGATCAACTTGTGTTGAAACTTGACCTAATACTGTTATTCCTAAGACAGTTCCACTTGAAATATCCTCACTATTGCTGAATAAATATGTCAGTCAATCTTCTAGTGATAGACATATACAGGAATTATAGCCGTAACAAACATACCAAAGACCGATATATTGGCCAATAAATTCATTCCGTCAAGGGCCTTACTGTTTCACTTAAGGAGTCTCTTTATTGCTAAATAAACGTATCTATCAATTTTCTAGTGATCAACATATATAGAAATTGTAGCTGATATAAACATACTAAAGACTGATTTATCGGCCATTACATTCATTCCATGTTACAGTTTCTCTTTGAAGTATTCTCGTTATTGCTGAATGAACATGCCAATCAATCTGTTATCAAAATACATGTTTTTGGTCAATAAAAAAATAGACAATGTCTACAAGGAAATCCACCTCACAGGGTATCACATAAAAATGAGGTTATTTTTAAACACAATCCTTGAGAAATATTGATGTAGTTCATAGAAATATATGAATATATAGAAATATGCTACTAACAGCATCAACTGTTGGTTGACAAGATTAATTTTTATTATATGTTTTTATCAGATTGAAGGTTATGCTTTTTAGAGAAGATTAAATTGATAACCCAAGGGTAACTAAAAGATGGTCCAAATAAAGTTTGGTTTTCAGATATGGTACCTTAATGCTGATAAATAAACACTTCTTACAAGCAACATCAAAATTATTTACAAGAATAGTTTTAAGATGTATACATGATTTTTTTTTTTAAATAGAAATGTTTATATTTTCTAACTAGCTTGTTGCATTTTAAGCAGCACCGCAGCAGTTCAACTTCGAGTGAAACCTCAAGTAGTTCCAGCAGTTCTAGTTCATCTGGTTCAACTAGTGATTCGAGTCTGAGCTTAAAAAAGAAACCTGATCAAAAGTCTGTGAGTCCTACTTGTCTGGAGAAAACTTTTGGAAAAAAAAATATGTAAGTTTGTCATGTTATATCTCATCTTGCATATCTTGTTATCTAATTAATAATACATTTATTAATTATTTCTTGTAAATAGGGGAAAAGGACTGCATAAAGAAAGTCCACCAAGAAAAAGCTCTGCTTCAAAGAAAGTTTCTCCACCTCGTAAACCTTCTAGAAGAAAAAGCTTATCTCCAGTCAGAAAACCTGGATTATCTCCTCCGTCTAAATTAAAAGCAACATCAAGTAATTTTTTTTATAAATATATATGATAATCATACAATTTTATGTAATTATAATACTACTTGTAATTTTACCATAATTTTTTTTTTTTTTTTGTATTAGCAAGTATATTTATTTATCAGTTATAAGTAAAGTCCGGATCTGCTTATTTTTATTTTTAACTTGCTTCATATTTATCCAAACCAAACTGGCTTACCACCCTTCTCCATTTGGAATATCTATTTTTTGTTTAGTATCTGGAGCATCTTTGTTAATTCGATCTATCCATCTGGTATTTGGCTTTCCACGTGGTCTCTTACCTATTATATTCCCAACCCATCTTAACCTCCTTTCCTTCATATCATGAGATATTGATTGATAAATTTCTGTAAGCTGTTCTTTATTGATCCTTATATATATTGTTCGGATTAGGGGTCAAAATATAACTAACCATTATAACTGATCCCTAGGTTCGAAATAGAATAAAGTTGAGTGCTCTGTATTTAAAATTAACTCATTTTTATTTCACTACAAACTGTAAACAGAGATTTTAGATCTTTAGACTTTTAGACTTTTTTATAACAATAATAATTAATCACATATGCATATTTCAACAATATGTGAAACTATTAAATATCCATAAAATAAATATCACTTTTGATTTATTCCCTAACATCCTCCCACCTGAGGAGTTTTGAATTGTTTCGTACAATTCAAAAGCAGTGATACATAACCAGAGGAACTATCTTCAGTCTCTAAATCCTAGAATTCCCACTTTTCTTTTTCTTCTCTTTTTTTAAAGCTTCTTTTTCTTAGAAGTACCTTTTTTGGTCCATTCTATTTCATACGAAGATGACTCTCTGTCTTCATTTGTAGCAGTTTTCTCTAAGAAAATTGGTTTGGTTGGTAGTGAGGGTGCCATATATTAGTTCTGTAGCATCAGCCGTATCAGCACCTCATGAATTTTGAATATCATTTATATTTTGTATTTTAATTCCATCATTCTTCTCTTTTCGTGTCCTTTGAGGCAATTTATTAGTCTGGATATTTTCCAAAGTATCGTTAGCTTTTATCTTTATAAAGCCAAGATATCTTTCATATCTCACTTGTTTAGCGGAATCACTAATGATTTCTTTGATATAAAATACAATTAATATTCAAAGTATAGTCCATTGTTATCTACCATCATTAGCCATCTGCTAGCCAATTGCTCGTTCCCAGGCTGATAGCATTCTTTGGAATGCCTGTCAAAGAACTAATGGACTGCAATTTAAACTTTCACAAAATTATCGAAAATGAAGAGAATGGGCCATGGATCTAAATAATTAGTAATCTGATGGTGAGAGGTCTGGACTATATGGTGGATGAGGCAGGAGTTCGAGCCCATGAAGTTCTTTAATCATTTCTTTGGTGAAGGAAGTGTGAGGACAAGCATTATCTTGTTGGAATAAAATTCCTTTTCAGTTGATCAAAGCAGGATAACGTTCTGACAACATCGCTTAGAATCTTTCCAGTTGTTCGCAGTAGAGGTCAGAATTTATAGAGCATCCATCAGGAACAAATTTGTGATGAATAACACCTTCAAAATTAAAAAAAAAAAATACAAAGCAAGATTTTTTTTTTTCAAATTGTCCTCTTGCAGTAGCCGGAAAAGCAGTTTGACCGCGATCTAGCCACTGCTCACGGGTGTTCAAGTTTCGCCAGTAAACTCACTTTTCATCATAGGTGACAATCTTCCGGTAAAATCTCATATCAGAAGATTTTTTCAATAAATGTTCACAAATTTCTTATCTCTTTGCTGATTGCTGAGGAGTAAGTTTGTGAGGGACCAGTCTACTGCTCTTTTTCACCTTCCCCATGGAGAGTAGATGACGACTAACAGTCATCATACGTCGTATCTCCACTGCTGATTTTTTTTTATATTGCCTGGGGTCCCTTTCTGCTTGGGTTTGAGTCTTGCTATGTGATCTAGATCGTCTGGACTCAACTTGACGCCCAGGCTCACTTCGACACTAAGAATGGTGTCAGTCACAGTTTCACCTGCCTTCTCTGGAATTCCTCAAATTTCTATTGTATTTTTTTATAGATTCCACTCTTTATAATTCAAACGGCTTTCTAGCTCGGATATTTTCTTCTCAAGTGTGTTATTTTCGATAGTTAATTTTTCGATGTGGCTTTTCTCTTCTTCAAGGAAGGTTTCTATTTTTAATAAACTTTATTTAATAACGTTAATTAATATTTTTAATAAATATAGATATTTTCAAAGGGTAGTTTCGATTGTTTGTTGAGGATGTCTTTTATATCCTTCAACTCTTCGAAGCTTGGTCTTCATCCCCCTAACCTCCTTGGTCAGGTCTCAGTAGACTAATCATCGTACTGATAAACTATATTTCCTGTTGTAAAAATGTAATTTTAAATATCTTCTTTTTCTTTGTGTCATCATTTGAAATAAAATGTGTATATGTTTTTGTGTGTTTGTAAACAACACTTTATTTACCCTTCAGTTGCTATATTTTAGGCAGGAGTAATGATAGAGGGACCAGGAGAAACGATTCACCAATTGGTAGTAGAGGAAGAACTCCTGATAGAAAGCAGACCAGTCGTAGTAGTGGCAGTGGTCGTAGAAGTCCTAGACCATCAGTGACAAGAAGAGGAAGAAGTCCAAGACCTCGCCCTCCTTCTAGAAACAGGTTCAGTTCTTTATAATTCTTTAATGATGATTGTTAATTTTAAGCTTTAATAAAATTTACACAGAAAAGAACATTTTATTTTTTTAACACTATATACAATATTAACAACCCTAATACTCAAGAGGGTTATCTGCTCAACAATGATGCAATATTCTCGCAGCTCATTGATTAGTCTTTTGATGTGGACAATGATGGAAACTAGCTTGTATGGAACTATTTAGCTCTGAGTAGTTCCATTTTCTCATTTATTCTAAAACTGCTCATCATTTTTTTTTTTTAAGTCTGTTGAATCTTTAGAACAGATTTATCGATAAATCCATAGAAGAATCAAACCAAGCCTGAAGATGGATAATTATTTCAAAATGCTAATTGGCAATTTTTTTGAAAAAAAAAGTTTCAATTTCCAATAGATATAAGTAATGATGTTGGTAAATATAAGTATTACTCCATAATTATAATTTATCAACTAAAATTTGAACATGGTAACTGTCATCAAAGAAGTATTCTTTTGAAACTGATACCTGTAATCTTTGCTGTTATATTTTCTATTTCCCAGCATTTTTCTTTTTGTTTCTTCAGATCTCCAGACCGTAGAAAAGAAGATGATCGGAAGACAAAGGATGATACTCGAAGAAATGACAGAAAAACAGATTTCAGAGATAAAAGTAAGTGATTTTGTTACTTATTCAGATTAGTTAATGAAATTTTAGTGATTTTTATTTCACTAGCTATTTAATTGTACAATTATAGTTTGATTTATTTATTTAAATAGAAATATTTCCTACAAAAGTGACTTCATATTTTAAATATAGACACATTGGTAGGTCATAGTCAATGTATCACAGATTTCAACCAAAGTTGAACAAAGGATTTTTGTTTTGGTTGTCAGTTGTTATTTGGCTGGGGTCACTAGTTGTTTGGAACTACAAGAGAGAGGATGTCCCAGGGAGCTTGAGTTGAATAAATGAAAGTCTCACCATTTTGGAAGGTGTGTTTGGCAGAGCATAGGAAAGTGTTTGAATGCAGATGAATTCAGTTTCACAAAGGAAGAAACAGTGTATATAGAAAAAAGATTAGCTTGTCAATTCATTCTTGACTTTATTTTTAAATCAAACAGTGTTTAGTGTAAATAATCCCAGAATCCCATTCCTTGAGATAAAAGAGTTATAAATTTCACTTTAATATATTAGTATTCTTATGATTTTGTTTTTTATTTAACAACCTCTTATTTCTTTTGGAAATATCGCTACAATATGAAGTGACTTTCCAGGAGTTTTATTATTAGTTAAAAGAGGGACATATAATATATATATTGTAGTCTCCGTCTAACACAAGTTTGGGGAGGTTAGAGAGGGAGAGGGAGTGGCAAAAATTTTCCTGCTAATCCCCACTCTTTTGTCTTTCCTACTCATTCTTACATACTTATAAAATTTTTAAAGTGAAAAATTCTTTAGGTGCGTTTTGCACTTTTTTTTGTTGAGGGTTAATTAGATTAAGCCATCAGATCTCCGATGTGTAATGCTCGAGTAAAGTTAGTTGGAATCGACTAATTAAAGAGTTTTTGCAAATGGAATAAAATATCTCTAAAACTAAAAGTTGTACCTGCATATTGTTAGTGAGGGAAATGTTCATCATTTCATCCTCTTTGTAATGAACCATTATTCAAAATTATATCTTTACGCAATGCCGTGTTGGAGATGCGAAAAGAGAAAAAGTAGTGTTGGAAACTTAATTATAACGAGTTTTATTCAAGATATGGATTAAAAAATCTCAGAAACTAAAATTTGAACCTGCATACTATAAGCAAGAGAAATGTTCAGCATTTCATCCTCTTTATAATGAGATATTATTTATAATTTATATTTCATATTATTTATCTTGCCTTATTGATGTTTTCACTTTTATCGTGTGGTCTAAAGCATTTATTATGTGAAGTAAACTGGATAGAAAGAAAACTATCTACTCTCAGACCAAAAATGTAATTTTGAACCTATATAAAGTCATGAAAACAGAGGCTGGGAGTATTTTTTTTCCCTTAATTTGATTATTTGACCATCCTTACCATTGTTTTATTTTATTTTTAAATTAAAATCCCTACCTTTAATAAACATTAGTGCGAAATTTGAACAAAAAGAAAATCCTGATCGGATCTCCCTCACTCCTCTAATCCATTTCAGTACCTCCCAATCTTCTTCTGAACAACTCACAATCTCCTTCCATACCACTAATAAAAACATTGGCGTTACCCTCGATCAAACCCCCTCTCCTGAAAATCACACATCTCGCAAATTTCCCGCCATACTATTTCCATCCTGAAACAGTTTAACCACGTTATCTTCTTCCGTTCAAAACCCGTCAAATTCTGGTCTCATCTTTTGTTTTCCTCCGCTTTGATTATGGCTGTATGGTGTATGGTGGACTCTTGGGAGAACTTGAAGCCAAACTTAAATGTCTAATGAATTGCTCAATCACCTTTATCTTCGGGATCTCAAGGGATACACATATTACCCAGTTTTACACTGAGTTGAAATGGCTTTATCCGTCCTACTGCTGTTAGTATTTCCTTGCTACCTTTCTAAGGTCAGGTTGAGATCAGGGCTTCCTAAGGGCCAATCCAAGGCAGAGATGAACTCAGAAATGTTCTTTTGCAGCCACTGCTGAGTTGATCTAGCCTTGTGAGATGGAGCAGAATCCTTCTGGAAAATCCAATGACTTCCAGCAAACAGAGTATCATTTAGAGACGTGACAACAGGTTCCAAAATATCGTTCTGAAAGTTTTTAGTGGCTGTTTTAACTCCTTTTTCACAAAAATGGAGCTTTGAGGTGCCATCAAAGCAAAGTTTCTGATTTCAGACCCATTTTTCTCCAACTTTTCTAAATCTCTCGAAAGACAAGTCCCTTCACAGCTTAATAGCTTTCTTGAGAAAAAAGCTCTCCTCAATCACCTCAGGTCCCTAGTTCTCCATCCAATCTCCTATGTTGAAAATCACCCAAGACCTTCATTTCTCCATTGACAAACAAAAAATCTCCATCCTGATCCTCTTTGACTTTTCAAATGCCTTCAATTCCGTTAGTCATGAAATTCTCCTTTCCAAACTCCAAAATCTCTCCATATCAAATAGCGTCCTAAAATGGTTCCGTTCCTTCTTGTATCACAGATCCCAAACAATCATTATTCCCAATAAAACTCCTTTCTCCTCTCTCTCTTTCTCTCCAACTTGTGCTGTTCCTCAGGGATCTTTGTTCTCCTCTTTGTTTTTTTCTGCATATACGTCAACGACCTTCCCGGTTCTATCCATCTTTCACAATACCACTTATATGCTGACAATCTCCAAATCTATCTTTCCTTTTATTCTACTACTGAGATTCTAAAGAGAATCTGAAGACTACAAGAAGATATAAACAGTATTAATACTTGGGCAGTGAGTAATGATTTGTAGTTGAACGTTGAGAAGACCAAAGCCATTCTCATTGGTTCCAAGCATCTCATTAATTCCATTCCATACTATCCCCTACTCTACCTCAATGGACATAGAAACCTCGGAGTAATTTTCGATCAATACCTGTCCTGGAATAGTTATCATTTCCCAAATTATCCGAAAATCTATTGCTACCCTAAAACAGTTTCTGAGATTCTGTCATTCAAGCCCTGAAAAATCCGCTAAATCTTTGTTTCCTCATTCATCTTTCCTCACTTTGATTATGGCTGCCTTGTATAAGGTGGCCTGTCTGGTGGGTTCGAGACCAGATTAAGAGGATTAATGAATTGTTTCATTCGATTCATCTTTGAAGTCACCAGGCGCTCCCAAGTCTCCAGTTGGTGTGCCGAGTTGAAATGGCTTTATCTAGTTATCCTGCTGCAATATTTCCTAGGTGTATTCCTTTTCTGAATCTTTACAACCAAAAAGCAAACTTACCATCTTGTTTTGTTTACTCCTTGTTCCTCTGTTTATTCATTTAACACGAGATTGCAGTCTATAAACCTGTTTGTTCCCTCTCATAGAACCGTTTCCTTTAAAAAATCCTTTGTCATGCGTTCTACCTTTTTTTGGAATTCCTTACCTACCTCTATACGCAAATCCTCCTCCTTAACCTTATTCTTATTCTTTATTCATCCATCTTCTCGGCAATCAATCTTCCAAATACAACTAAGAATACAATTTCATATTTAAGAGCTATTATCTTACTGTTACTGACATATTATCAATATTGTAAATCAGTCATAATATGTAAACACACTTATATATATTTATGTACAAATTAGTATGTTTACATGTAATTAATTTATTTTAATTTTAAGGTTAGATTATTATGTTAACTAATTATTTTTTATTTTCTTATAATGCCAGACATATTTCATCTTTTTGTTCTTTATAATTATTCTTAGGGAACTAAGCGTCCCAGAATAAATTTTTTTTTCTTCTCCTTCTTTTACTTAAGCTTTTGCGTTCAAAAATGAGAGCATCCCAACAAATCGGTGAATTAAATTGTAGCCATCTATAACTTCTTTACTTTCATAAAAGTCTTTTTAATTTTTTTCATAGTCTTGAAAGCCTCAGAATAATTGTTAAATTTGGTTTTAATGGAAACCATTAAGAGACGAGAAAGTCTTTTGAACCATAACTTAATCATGTTCAAAAATTCTTTTCAATTTTACACTTCAGAATAAATCCATTATTATATCTGAAATACTGTGTAGAATAATAAAAAAACAATAATTTGTTTGATGTGATGGTGTTCATTCTCTTCACCTCAGTCCAGATCTTCAAGTTTTGCTATGTTCTAGGATACCAGATTCTCATAATTTTCTCTCTGCTGAAGTAATTAAAATCAAAAGTTTATTCGTTTTTTTTTTTTTAATTCATGGATGCATATAACATAGGAAACAAACTGGAAATTATGCAGATTTAAAATCAAAGCACTACATAAATAGTCTGTAACTATACAAACAATTATTGTACTTGGATAAAATGTTTACTTGTTAATATTTATTTTCTGCTCTCCAGTTTATAAATTCATTTTCATTTATTGTGTTTAGACTTTATGAAGTTTATCCTTCAAACATTGTTAATTTTCTATTACTGTAAAATCCTCATGGATTTCCAAGATAAATGCATCAAAACAAATTTGTTTTTAGGAGAAGCAGCTCGTGAAAAAGAAAGAGTGGAAGCTCTAGAAAGATGTAGAGAAAGACAAAGGGAAAGAGAAGCTTTGGCAAAGGAAAGAGAAAGAGAGAGAAAGGAGCGTGAAAAGAGAAGAAGGAGTTATGGTTCATCCAGGAGAAGTCCTCCAAGAGAGGAAAAAAGGCATGATAGGTATAAAATCTATCTTATTCCGTATTAATACCATTTTTAAAATAATACTGTGTTAAATTCGTTTAGCAGAAAAATGTGGAGGATAAATATAATTTTCTTGGATGTGGAGGATGAACATTTTTGCTTGTCAATTTATTTGCAGCTCATTTCTAACTATAGGATTAGTTTACAGAGTGTCTACCAGGCAAGAATTTTAGGAAAATTAGGAATTTCATATGGTTGGAAAATAAGATGAAAATCCTCTGTAAAGTTTGCTTTAAAGTCAGCAAAGTCGTTATTAATTCTAAGCTTTAAAGTTGTTTGCTGAAAAAAGTGTTTTTTGTTTCACCCCAATTTACACTCCTTGAATCCTCCATCAGAAATATAGATTTAGTTATTAACAACTATAAAAGCTACAATTTATTGAATTATTTTCACCTAAACATAAATATTAGAATTAGGAACATTAAGTTGGTCTCTCATAAAATAAGGATCAATTCCCACAAAGAGATCTCTATAAAATTCACTACTTCATTATCTTTATCATGATAAATTTCTGAAATTGCAGTATTTTTAAAAAAATATATTTTTTTAAAAAAGTGTATTAAAATAATTTGTAAGACATTGCAATGATTAAAAAATATTAATTTAATTTTTTTAAAAATTTAAATGATACTGAAATAACTCGGATAAACGGCTTAGGTAGGATAATAGTATTTTATGAACTGAAAGATTAAAACTATCCCAAAAAAATATACCCAGTTCCTCACAATTTTCATTGGTTGTACACAATTACCTATATCTCCAGGTCTATAATTTTTCATTTGAGAATATCTTTAAGGGAAATCATATTCGAAATACAGTAAGTATATAAATTAGTTTTAAAATGAGTATTAATATGACTCATTTCCGGGGAAGTACATTCAATTTAATGATCCTCAAAGAACACTTAATTTACAAAATAAAAGTGTTAAATTTCTAATTCAAGATATTTAGTGAAGTATTTTAAAATTAAGTTTTATTATAATAATAATATTATTACGTCTTTAAACGTCCTCCGTATAGAGTAAAGGAAGAAGTGAAAAAAAAAATTATAATTTTTTTGGACAATTAAATTATTGCATTAGTATTTGTGCATTAATACAATCGAATCAATGTACTAAAAAAGTTAGGTACTTTTTGTCTAGCCGGTACTGACTGCTATCTGCCAATGTTTATAACATGAACACTGATAATTCCCATAACGCATTGATCAGCCTTCTCCTACTTCATATCTTCGTATTATTGTATTAAATTCGTATTATTGAAGGTGTAAACAGATACAAAAACAAATGTAATAACAAAAAAAAAAACTTATATTAATACACATATATTAATGAAATAATAAAAAAACACTTTAAGAAGATATGTACATATAAAACATCATAATGAAATAATAAAAAAACACTTGAAGAACATATGTTGATATAAAAGATGAAAATGAAATAATAAAAAAACATTTAAAGAACATATTTACATAGAAAATAAAAAAATATCAACACTATAAACAACATATGTACAATTTATTTTCACTTTGTCTTATTTATTTTGGAAGGAAAAATTATTTTATGCTATTTAAAATAGCGAGGAACGAGTCCTCTTCTCTGTGAACCCGCCGCCACAAAAATTCACACAATGCAAGTATCCCAACATTTTGAAAATATTGAATTGCCTGTTCTTCTGAAGGTGGCAAATCCCATATTCTAAGAAGATCCATAATATGACCAAAATAAACGGAAAAATAAACACCAACGGGCCAAAAGTAAAGGATTTAATAAGGGAATAACTGAAAACTAAACAATGCAATAACTCAAAGGTTTGTCGGGATAAGAAGAGGGTGGTTATGTGACGTGACATTAGATAAGAAGTGAGGTTTCGTGCCGGTCCGCTTGACAAAAAGTACCAAAAGTTATAATAGCACAATAACTTTGCTATTTATGAGTACTAAATGATGTGGTTGAGGCCTGTAGGCTTCTATGCGCGTACCTCTTTTCCAGGGATTAATTGCATTCTCTATGGAACCGCTTCAAATATTTTAAAGAGTAATCAGTGTTTTAGATAGAGAAATGTATTCTTAAAATGTTTTATTTCTGGGCGTTTTGCATTATTGATTTAATTGATTTTCAACTTAAAATTTTTTTTATATTGACTTTACTAAAAAAAATTTTATTGCCTAAAACAATTATTATTTAATATTTTTTATGTTTTATTATCCTTTGACTACCCAGATTTAATAAAAGGCCAATTATGACAAAATTATGCCAAATGCTGATTCTCAGTGACCAAATACTAACTCAAGTAATAATCGTCAGTCTATCATGTTTAGACGGCATTTAGGGGCAGTACGGCCACTTTTTTTTTGTGTGAATATAGTCCTTTTTTTAATAAATAGTTACAAGAAACACAGCGATATGCAATTTATAGAAATGTGGAGGGGATGGTGCACGGTGGGAGGTCTGATCCACCATGTATTGGGTTGTCCAGAAAATACTGCAGGATTTTGGTTTAAAAAGAAAAAATTACAACTGTTTTATTTAATCAAAATAGTCTCCACTACTATCATAACATTTCTGTCAACGTGTTGGCAATTTTTCCATTCCCTCGGAATAGAATTTCCCATCTTTAGAATTGATAAACTCCAAAAAAGCATTTGCTAATTCCCTTTATCCATTAAATTTTTTGTCACATAAGCGGTGGTCCAGGTGTCTAAAAAAAATGGTAATCCATAGGGGAGAGGTCCATAGAGTAGGGCGGATGTGGCAGAGTTTCATATCCAAGCTCCAACAGTTTTTGTGACATCACAAGTACACACGTGAGACATGTTGTCATATAACAAAATGGGCCTCTTCCGATTGACCAAAGATGGCTTCATTATTGCTAATTTCTGGATGCATTGCATTAATTTGGTTACTAAACGGTTCGGTATCGATGATTTCTCCAGAATTTAAGAAGCAGTAGTGTATCAAACCAAATGAAGCCCTCCAAACAGTAACAATCACTTTTTGTAATAAGTTGGGTGCTTTGGAAAATGTTCTGCTGTTTCTCCTTTGTCGAGCCACTGTTCAGGACGTCTACTGTTATCGTAAAGTATCCTCTTTTCATCACAAGTAACAATTCTGGACCGAAAAGGATCGTTTTTGTTTCAGCAAAGAAATGCAGCACAAACTTCATAAGGCTGGTTTTTTTGCAGTCGTTTAATGTATATGGAACCCAACTTTAAAGCTTTTTTACCTTCACTTACTTATGTATGAAATATATAGTAAAGGTAAGTATTGTTATTGTGAAAATTTTCGAATCTGAGTTTTAAACGGAAATACATGTTTTGAGGTACCCTTAGTCCAAATAACCAAGTCCCGAAAAATGGTCTGTGTATGTGAACACTAGCTAGAAAACGAAAATTTGTACAAAACTGATATAACCTATTTAAGATAGTTATATGCCTTAGATGTTACATCAACTTTTTCTTAATATTGGCTAACCGGAAGTGCCACTTTTATCAACAGTGGAACATATACAATTTTCTCAAAAACGGCTCTAACGATTTTGATTAAACTCGGTGTTTCATTGTATAATTAATGATCTTTAATATCATATAGGTCTTATCCCCCCATTGATGTCACTTTACAGGGCTTAAATGCCCAATGTGCATATGCATCTTCCTCTAATGTACCTTTTGTATGGTTTATTTTTAAAAAATAACTCTCTTTTATTGACAGTAACTATAAAAAATGGCTAAATATGAAGTTTGAAAGAATATGATAATTGGAAACTGGAAAAATAAAGAAAAATACTTATCCAGGTTGAAAATGAATCTCCAGAAATAAGTCAGAAGGCATATGTATAATATATCTTTGGATAGCGGAGAATTTTAGAAAAAATAATATCAAATAAATAAAGTTGTAGAAGGTAACAGAGAGTGACGAAAAAAATATAAATAATAATTTCAAAAAACTAAAATTATTTAATGTAAATCATATGTTTCAAATGAAATTTTCTTACTAAATGTAAACTTTTAAATTTGTTTCTAAGTTTGAAAAAAAAGTATTTTAAAATCCACCGAATCATGCCAATACCATTGTTTAAAATACTATTTAATTGTACTTGTGTGAAAGAAGAAGTGAAGTATAAAAATATTTCATGGATATGTTTATAACCTTAAATATGTTTGCTGTAGTTTAATAACTCTAGATATGATATTATATTTAAATAATTAGATATTTATCGGCCATTTATCCCAAAAAATCATCTAGTAACCTTTTAGAAAATTAAATTAGAGAATAATTTGATGAATGTTCTCATTGTGAAATCCCAACATTATCCATGTACAAGTAGTGTGACAACTTTTCACCTATCCATGGCATGCAATGAAAATCTCGTAATTTCATTTTAGTAAACTTTACAATGGAAAAAACAGTTTAATAACTAATAGTTCTACAATACATAATCATTTATAGATTAAATATTCAGATGTACTTTCAAATATCTCTAATATGAGCCTTTTGGTTGACAGAATTACTAACTCCAATTTCAACATTCTTTATTATTAATTTTAGTGATGTTTCTAGTGGCAAAATTTATACCTTTATTCACAGTTCTATATTTCAACATTGCAATCACCTACTTTGGAATCAACTTGCCCACTGTCTGTATAGATATAACTTTTCCAACTAGAAATATCACTAAAATGACATTACTCAAAAATGTTAGTTATTCTGTTAACTGAAAGGCTCAAAGACTGAAGTTAAGTGGTTTAAAAAACTAAATTTTTATTGCCTACCGTCGATATAATAAATAGACCTTTTGTAATTTTAATGGTCTTAATGATTTATCTGTAAGCTTTAACTCTTAAAAATTTTATTATAGCCCAACATTGCTGAAAAATAATTTCTAATCAAAGTAAAGAGGTAAGTGAAAGTTGTGTGTTGCGTGCACCAGATTTTTACCTTTCTAAACAACTTAAGGTGGTCATCGACGGTCGATTTGCTAGAGTTAAGTTTCCCTGCAAGTTCTCGAACAGCTATTCTTGGGTTTATTTCCACCAAACCCTGCAGAACATCGTCATAAAGAGAGGAAGTCCTTCCATGACCTTGTTTGTCTTCAAAGCTGAACTCTTCTTCCAGCCATTTTTGAATTATCTTTGAATAGTGCACTCATTAATGCTGCTCTCTCAGACTTGATTGATGTTTCTGGCTGTCTGGACCCTATTCCGGCTGAGTTTAAACTTGAAACTCACGCATTGACATCTTAGTAAATACTGAATTATTTGCAAGCAGTGAAATGCAACAGAGATAAACAAACATTATCGTTTGGAAGAGGGTTAATAAGTGTTGACCTTCATAAAAATGAATAATCTATAGAGGGGTATTTTAAAGAAAACTCAAAATCCTGCATTATTTTCCAGACAACCCAATACATCGCCTAAAAGGTAAAGAAGGGGTGGACAAAAAGAAAAAAACAATTTAAATTTAAATACAAAATCCATTTGATTGGGACTCCCTTAAAAATAAAAATAATAAATACAGATACGTTTCCAGAACTTCCATATATGTTCTAGAGGTTCTAAAAATGATATAAGATATAAAATACACCTCTTCTCTTGAAATCTGAATAAACCTGGAAATGTTTAAAAACTGGGCAATGTATGGGAATTTTTCGAAGGAGAATCGCTGGACACCCTGATCAAGCAATCGTAATAACCTAAATTAGATATTTTAGATATTTAACTGTAGTCAGTATGGTGAACAAAATCCTGCTTGTGACCAACTCTCAAGAAAAATTGCAACAGACCACTATAGAATTGGTTAGAAACTCTTACTTGCAAAGGAATAAGTTTCAAGATCCATAACAGCAAGGTTGTGACTGTAGCTTGAGATAAATGGATATGAGAAATTTCAGAACGTTATGTAATGGAGAAGAGCTGGAGAATGTTGACTTTTACAAATCTGGGAAAATAGACCAAGAAGTCTTCAATAGAATAAAGAAAGAGAACAATCTATGTTACCAGATTTGCAACACCATTATGGGAATGGGAGAAGTAGGAAAGAATTTCAAACTCCACATCTACATTGCACTCCATTTCACTGCATTGTTGTATGGTAGTGGAAGTTGGGTTACCCAAGACTAGCACCTAAACAGGATTATGGCTGTGAAAATAATTTTTTTTCTAAAAATATTAGGATACTAAAGAATAAGAGAAGAACCCTGATACCCTCGCTGAAATCAACTATTGAATGCTGACAACTTTGATGGTGTGGACACATCTGTAGAATAAAGGAAGAATAGAGTACCAAAGAAGTGTATGGGAGCGATGCCAACTGGTAGGAATCCACAAGACCCGGCCTAGAAGGTTTCATGGCGCAAGTTGCACCATAAAAATTTTTGAGGTAGGCATATTTTGAGTTTTTGATTTCTGCATGGTTGAATTTTCAAAGGATAGACACCCCTGCCTAGAAGAACATACCTGGAGCACATCCAATAAGTAGGTCGGGAAATAAGGAAAACCCTAGCACAGTCAAAATAATTGAGCGAGAGGCCGAGATATGTGGTAAAAGTGGGTATAGGTTCCTGTTTTCTAAGACATATAAAGAGGAAGGAACAAAAGGAAAGCAGAATTTTTTTTTTTTAGTTGCGTCAAATTCAACAAAAATGTGACACTTAAAAAAAAACACAAAACAATTTTTTTACTTTTCTGATTTGTATGAAATCAAACTATGATATATATTCTTTTTGTAGCTCTTAAATTTTACTATCACTTATTTAAATATTTTTTGTTACTTTATGGGATGGCAGAATACCCTGTTTAAACCAAGTGTCCTATAAAGGATGGAAAATAGTTAAAGATAGTAGCCACTTACAGGAGGACGGGATGACCGAGAATGTTGGGGCGTTGTTCCCATAGTGTCCAGTTTTGAACATTGTGGGTTCGATTCCCATCTAGGTTAGTTCAATCAAACAGAAAATGAATCTTGACATTCCTAATTTGATAATTACACAGTGGCAAACTTAAGGTGGCCGTCAGGGGTCGGCAAAAAGGACCACAACAGGGCCCATTTGCTGGACTAGTTCTCCCCACCAAGTACCAGATCCTTACATCTATCTTACACCTTAACGTTTCGAAAATGTTTTCCCATCATCAGAACTACCAAACTGGCATATTCTTTCAATTTTGACTTTAACATTATTAGGAGCAATACATTTCTTGTCTGCGGAACTTCCCAACTAAAGAAGAAAAAGAGGTCAAAATAACTTTAAAGAAATGAAATCTCTCCTCACACTTGACCCCCACCACTGGGAATAACAGGATATCATATTGTACAGAACACTTAAAGTAGGAAGTATACCACGTTTCAAAACTTGGTTGTTGTTTTTCTCCCATTTTAGCTCTAATAAGATAAAAATATTAATTACATTAATTATTAAATGTTAACCATGCCAATTAACTGAAAATTCTAAATATTATTGTTGTTTTTTTAGCACAAATGATGTACTGATTATTAATAAACATTTGTAGAAAGGCAGAAAGAGAACGCAGTTATTCAAGGGAACGTGCACGTGACCGTGCTTTGGAAAGGGTAATGGAAAGGAGAGGAAGTTCTCGAGAAAGAAGTTATGAACGACCTTACTCTCAAAACAGTCCATCATATAGAGGTAGGTATTTATTTATAATAAATGGCTATGAGTAATATGTGGGAGTGGGGTAGCTCAGGGGTAGGGTACTGAGCTTCCAATATTAAAGGTCCCAGGTTCGAACCCCGGCTCATGGCAGAAAATTTATTAATCTCTTTCATAGGCCTTGGAGGGACACCTAGCCTCTATAAAGTGGGTACCCTTAATTAAATAATTCATCAAGGGGGAAAATGTAGCGGTTAAGCGTGATCTCAGTCAAATCATCTCCTTGCACAACCACTGACCTAGAAATAGTGCTTTCTCTAAATCGTACTGAACCCAAGACCCTTCATGAGTTGTAGTGGTACAAGTTTTTTTTTTTTTTAAGAGTAATGTATTACTGTTGAGGCTCAAGTTAAAAGAAAAACCGATCCAGGCTTGAGAGTCGAGGGGTCAACTAGTAATCTACTGGCTGTTATACTCTTTGAGGGTGGTTTGTATATTGCTATTTAATTTAAAGAAATTTGTTAGATTTGTGACTAGGATATTATTTTTAATCTTCTACCTTTTTTTTTTTTTGTTTTTTGGTCTATTCTGTGTTTTTCTCAGGCCATGGTAGAAGGTAGGGAAATTAATACCAGAGTTAAGTGCCCGTGCCCCCATCACTGAGATACAAACATATAATCATTAGGTTGTAAGGCAACGCGTGTATTGCAAACACATTAGTCCATTTGGCTATCACAGCCACCATTTTTTAATCCTATCTGTGTTAGCATTATGTTTATTTTTTATATAGTAGAATATTTTAGAAGTTTCTGAGTAAACCATTGTTTGATCGACCACAGGATTTCTTTCAGTATCTTGTTATAGATTCAGATTATAGTAGGTCCAACTAATCATTCCAAGCTTCTGCATTGATAATCTCCCTACCAGATCTTCTCAAACTTTGAGTCAGTTCTCCATGAGTCATCTTGACTGCTTTGTGTAAAATAAATGCTCTGAAGTTGCAAAACTGACATTTTATATAAAATGCATTCTTGTTTTCAGTTACCTGTTGTAGAATATTCTCCACCAGCCCTAATTGATCTAATACCCTTTTACTTTAACATACCTATATATGAAATATATAGTAAAGGAAAGTTTTACGATCATGAAAATTTTCTAATCTGAGTTCTCAATGGAAATACATGTTTTGAGGTCTCCCGAGTCCAAATAACCAAGTCCTACAAAATACGGTTTGTGTGTGTGTACGTGCGCGTGTGTGCATGTGTGTTTGTGTGAACAGTCTGGTTCAAAAATGAAAGATCGTATGAAAGTGAAATTGCATATTAAAGGTTTGTATATACCTGGGATGTTACATCACCTTTTTCAGCTAACCAGAAGCGGCAGTTTATATAATCGACTTTACACATTTTTACAATTTTCTTAAAAACCACTCAACGGTTTTGGACAAAAACGATTTTGATTAAATTCATGATATCAGTATAAAATTAAGTGGTTTTTAATATAATGTAGGTTTATTCTCATCGATGTTCTCTAACATTGCTTAAATGGCTAATTTCCTATATTTCTTTTTCAAAATTAACTTTAATTTATTTGAAATAATTAACCATTTCACAATTAACTCTTAACATAAAAAAATATCTGGACTCTCATAATGCATTCCTTCTCTATATTTATATCTATCTTGGAAAAATGCTGTTATGAAATCATAGTCAATATTAAAAATTAATTCATTTAAAAATATTTATTAGTATATTTATATTCAATTAAAGATGTATTTTAGATAGAATGAACCAGAAGATTACAATAGTTAGCTTAAGATTAAGGAAGAGTTTACATAAAAAAAGATATGATTATCAGGAATCAGTCAATTGTTGCATAAAACACACATTCCATTGTGTTCCATAATCCCCTTATATTTTGACCAATGTTTCAAGTTTTCATTTGGACTTGAAAAAACAATTAAAAGAGGAAAAAGAATCCGGAATCATAATATTCATTATTACATTGTTCATTAACATTAATGCATTTTTGTGTAGTTTTTATTTGTAGTAATGTTACTTGTTAATTTTTATTTCTTCAGGTGGTACTGACAGAAATCGTTATGGAAACGAAAGATTAAGTTCTGAACGTAACTCAACTAGGGATGATAGAAGGGGTCGTCGATGGGTTGAAAGCCGAGAGAAACAAAGTGGAAGTCATGAATGGTCTGAGCATGCAGATTGGGAAAATCGTTCTTCCAGGTATTAAATTCTTAACATATTAATTTTTTTTTAAAGTGAAAAATGAGAACTTGCTAATAAAATGGGATAACTCTTTTAACTTCTAAAACTACAAAATCTGATTAAGGGTGTATCACATAACTCCCACTTACTAAACTAATTATAATTAAATTTCGGTTAAGTAGTTCTAATCTGATAGCACAAAAGCCAAATTTTCATAATGCCTTCCTCTAAAGTTCCTGTTAAGTTTATTTGAAATAATTAATAGTCTCTCATTGTTATTAGTAACAAGAAATAGAGAAATATAAACTATGAAAGAATCTGATAAATAACTTAAGGAGAAAAAAAGAGAAATGTTTGTCCAAGTTGAAAACTAGAACAAAAGCATTAGTGTCATTTAAAGAAATCCACTCTAGAATCGCATTGAATGCTTGTTTAAGTTACCTTGAGAATGCTGTTGGTAGATCGCAGTGTTTTGAATGGTTTAAAAAATTCAAAAACAGCAATTTTGCTGTGAGAAATGAAAATGTAAGACTACAAAAAAATGTTTAAAATAGTGAACTGCAAGCATTGTGTGATGAGGAACTAGTCCTATTTTTTTCTTTTTTGCTTTCCTCATACAGTAACTTTGTACAAGGACTGTTTATTTGTTAAATTTTATATGTTTCATGCATTAAACATAATGCATGTATATATTTCATAAAAAATTACATATATCTTATAGATTTAAAATAAGAAAAAACAAGAATAAGTACACAGGAAACAAAACAAAGAGATTAAAATAAAAAGTAAATAAAAAAGGATAACTATAATAAAATTATTATTCAGGCTTCTTGGAGAAGTTGAAGATCAACTTGAGTAATAAATTTTTGCATCTCCTTATTATATTTCTTGAAGATGTTCTCTTCCTTCAGTGGCCAATTATTTCCTTGTAGAATTATATTTCTTATGAGGTGGATACTGTTAATAGCTAATCATCAGCTGATGCTATTTATTTGTCAGAAGTGAGGGGCTCATTTTCATGTTTCATTAGATCATTGATTTTTTTTAATTATTATTATTTAATCAAGATAAAAATATTTGCCCAGCTATTCCATCTCTTCTTTAGAGTATTTGATATTGAAACATATATTCATCATGTTAAATTGCTTGTTTTTATGGTATATTTATTTTACTATACTTAGACTGTAATTTACTATTTTGCATCTAATCATTTTTAAAAATCTCAGATGTGAAGAAAGAGGGGATGAATGGTGTTCTTATAGTGGCTCAGTATCAGGAAATGGAGATTGGAGGTCGCGATCTCATATGTCACATCATGATGACAGGTTGAGTAAATATTAATTTTCTAATTCACTTAATAATATAATACCAACTTTATTAATTATAAATGTATTTCAGAAGAAATCATCATAGTGATAAAGAGAAAGACCATATAAATGATGTTTCTAAGGGAGAAAAAGAACAAAGTAAGTAGCTTTGCTTATTATGAAACTTTGAGAATATTTTGATTATGTTTTTTAAACATGCCAAAATTTGTCATTTTAACTATTTAATATGATTTGAGATTTGACATTTTGATTTTCTCTTCACAAATTTTATATTTTTTAACATGATTACTAGACTACAATGAAAGACATGCAAGGGTGGTCTGAAAAGTTTCCGAACTTTCAAAAATACAAGACTTTTTTCTGAAATTTTTTTTTATTTTTCACATAGTCTCATAGTAACTCTACACACTTATCCCAGCAATGCTCCCATCTATGTAACCCATCCAAAAAGTACTCGACATTTTTCTCTGCAAAATAATTGTTCACGAAGGTGATTGCCTCTTTATTTGACGAAAATCACTGTCCTCCGAGGGCAAATTTGTAGATAAGGGAACAAAAAGAAGTCTCTTGGGGCTAGATCTTGTGAGTAAGGCGAATGGTCAAGTAGGTCAAACCGTATTTCATGAATTTTCACCATGGCAACTGCTGAGATGTGAGACGGTACGTTGTCTAGGTGAAACAGGGTGAAACATTTCTTTTTCTGCAAATGTGGGCCGTTTTTCCACAAGTTCTACCTTCAGCTTGTCACATAATGATGCATAGTATACTCCTGTAATGGTTTTTCGTTTTTGAAGATAGTTTAATATTAAAATAACTCCATGACTATCCCTAAAAACAGTCGCCGGACAGCTTTCTCATATCTAAATGTTGATTTAATATGTAGCAAACACATTCTTTTGACATGTTCATAACCTCTGCTATCTCTCTCACTTTCGGTGGTCATATAGCACCATTTGATGAACTTTAGCAATGTTTTTGTCGGTTGTTGCACTTTTTGGACGTCCTGAACGTTCATCGTCTCCCAAGCTCCTATGGCCTCCTAATGAAAATGCATACACAAGCTCTTACGTTTAAATGCAGCTGCCCAAAATTTCACCATGGTAAATGATGGTGCAGAGTCCCCCTCTTCTCCCCCACCCATACACAGAATCCAATTAATCTTTGTATTACCTTTCAAAAACAAATATTTAATGACAGCTCGATACTAGATTTTGTCCATTTTCACAAAAACACTCACATCAACTCACTCAAATGGCTGTTTCATAAAAAATGCGTGTTCAAAACCGCTGAAACTTTGGTGGGTAACTGTCAATAGATGAACAACAAAATTCACTTGCTTTAATTTACGAGTGCTGCCATCTTCATGTTGCGGTCGGAAACTTTTCAGACCATCATCGTATTTAAGTATCGTATCATAATATTCTATGATTTAATGTTAAATCTTGCCTGATGATGATAGTAGTAATCACTCTTTTAAAAAAAAAAAAAATACAATTGTTCTTATTAGAACTATGATATCATCTAATATTATAAAGTAATAAGATTTAGATTGAAAGGTAATAATGGCTTAGATAGAATGTGTTTAGCAAAGATCGTTAATGTAAAATGAATATCAGTTTTCTATATCGATCAGCTCATGAAAAATCTGTTTTGTAAAGATTTCACAGCTTATATAGGTGGACAAGTAGAGTGGTTCAATTCATTCATAGCTATTAATTGATTTAATATACCAATTAAGAAGGAAATAACGTATTGTCTGATAACAGATCATAGTCTATACATGTTTCTATTAATCTCTTTCCATTTTTGTTTTAATTGCCTCCCCTCTAAATCGTCCCCTGATAGCATGTGTTCATCGATTATCTGTTCCATTGTTATGACTTCTTATAGTTTATCTTTGCAATTCAGTATTAAAGCATTCACAGTTTGGCCAATGATCTGTAAGAAGAAGGTAATATTACATTAAGAGAAATATTACCAGCCTCAAATTTAGACAGAATAAATTGTTATGACACAGTTTGATTAAGGGTTTAGGCTTAGCAAATTGGAATGTAAGGTCTTGAAAAGAAAAGATAGGCATATTGAATAAGTTAAAAAAAAATCTTAGTATTTTGAATTAGAAAAAGTAACAATAAATTCCCTTCTATATATTGGAGTATAGAAACATTTATAGAAGAATCCAATGAAAAGGAAGTCACAATCAGAAAACTAAGATATTTTAAACCAGCCATAATCTGCTATGTTCTAAGTGAATTAGTTAATGCAGCAGACAACTTTCTGTTTCTAAAGTATCTCTTTTAGTAAAAACGGAAGAGGAGAAATATTGAAAAATTCTTAGCATTTACTTAGTTAAGTATGAGTGTAACAGGGAAAGAATTTGCATAAGTTAAGAAGTTTTATGTATATTGTATGTGTATGGAGCTTGTCTACTGTATATATTAATGAATGTTCGTGTATCCTACACATTAACGGGACATATTTGTAATTTTAGTCTTATAAGCTGCCATGCACCTTCAGAAAAATTGAGGCAATAAGGAAAAGGATGTCTTTTAAACGAGCTGGAAAGAGTGTCAAATTTCTGTCCTAGAAGCAATATTAAAGTTTTGTTCGACAATTTCAATGTCAAAATATGGGAATGAAGCTCCTACAGACTAACTGTTGGTATTTAGTCTTCTCTAGAACAGAGAATTATCAATTTTTCCGAGGAAAATAGTAGTTGGAAGCACTCTATTTCATGAGGTTTGTATTTACAAGGACATCACCAGACTGCATAATAACAAATCAAATTGTCCATCTTCTTATAAAGGCTCATTGCAAGTCAAATTTTCTCAGTTGTAGAATGTTCAGAGAAGCCAATGCAGACTCTGATCATCACTAGTTATTGCCCGAACAAACAAGAGACAAAAATAAATACCTCATAAAAGTGTAATGTTGTAAAGCTGCATCCCGATAACTGCAGAGCATTTCAGGAGAGAACTGATGAGAAAGTGGAGGAGGCACTCAGATAAGCTAATTCTGTAATCATCCAGGATTTCTGGGACAGTTAGGAAAGGACACTGGAAAGATACTTTGCAAAAAAGAACATAGAAGACGTCATGGTTTAATGAGAAATGCAAGGAACCGAACAATGCAAAGAAAAAACCATACTGAAGCATGATAAGCAAGAATTACACCAGGACAGCCATAGTGGAATTTGGAAAAATAGACACTGAAAAAAAAAGCTCAAAAAACAAGAAAATGGCATGGGGAAAGAAAGAGTTTGAAGAGATAAAAGGTCGAAAGAATGCCAACAAAAGTCAGATTTTTTCCAGAAGGTAAATAGTGGAAGAACAGAAGAGACCAAGAACATAGCATTATATTGCTAATGCATATTATTTATTAGTTATGATAAATGTCAAAACATTTTATATTATGATTTTAGACAAAAAAAAAAAAAAAATACCAATAACCTCTGAAAACAACTTATACAGAAGGAATAACAATGATCTTAAGATTAAAATGAATACATAGTTAAACTTTAAGTATTTGGCATAGGATAAGGATGTATTCACTGCATAATTACAAGTGTGGTTATGTGGGGACTTAGACCTGGTTAGTATGACTGAAATAATAACTTAAATTTCATATAGTCCAGTTGATGAATCATTATAGAAGGAAAAGGCGTGGACACAATTTTTGACTTTAGGACATTGTTTGGACTAGTAAGGAGGTAAACATACTTAAAGTCCTCACTCCTAGGTGCTGAGCCAGATGTAGGGAGGTACCTAGAAGGTCACTTTTTTCAGGTTTTCACTTATATCAGGAAAACTATTCATCTCGACAAAGACATTCTCTACAAAATTAAAGCTAATAAAATTTGCAATATGATTGATAATACATCTTTTTTCCCTATCTCGCTTAGTTTCTGAGATATCCGTCTTCAACTATCATTAATGTGGAAAAAAATATTTTTACTTCATATTTTTTACTATATTTGACTAACTCACTCTTGATTGCTTCTTTCTATGATTAAGTCATAAGAAAAACGTTTTTAATAACTAAATTTTCTTCAAGAATATATATTATTTTACTAGTTTATCTCCAATGGCTCAAAAGTTAAATCAATTATAACTTTATAATCAATTATAACTTTATTTGCAGAAAAAAAATAATTTTTATAATATTCATTATTATTACATTGCTCTAACTCTGTATACATCTAAATCTATATATATATGAATTGTGCATTTCCAAAACGTAAATGCCAAAATTTGAAAATATATCTTATGTAGAGAAAACTCCCCAATATTTTTGTAGGCTGCCTTTATCTCGAATTTCTGATCAAATTATCTTATAAGTGGAAAGAAAATGGTTATTCATGTATTTAGTATGTGGATATGGTATAAGATATCGCATTGGCAACATATTTTAGTATGAAAAGTAATATATTCAAATTTTGGCATTTACATTTTGGAAATACAAGATTCATATATGCTTATAATTAGTTAAATACATTAAAAATACATGAGGTAAAAATAATTGTTTTTCCACATTATCGATAGCTGAGGACGGATATCTCGAAAACTAAGCGAGATAGCGAAAAAAGGTATATAATCAATCATATTGCAAATATTAATTGCTTTAATTTTGTATAGAATGTCTTTTTCGATTCGATGGCTAGTTTTCCTGATACAAGAAAAATTCATCAACAATAATAATAAATACGAGCCAAAATTTTATTTTTCAAAATTAGCCATCGTTGAGGACTGATATCTCGGAAACTAAGGAAGATAGCGAAAAAAAGTAAATAATCAATCACAATGCAAATTTTGATTAGCTTTAATTTTTAATTTTGTATAAAACATCTTTGTCAATGTGATGAATAGTTTTCCTGATATAAGCTAAAACCCAAATAAATTGAAATACTAGGCGTCTCTCCCACATCTAGCTTACCACATAGGGGTGGGAACTTTTAGTATGTTTACCTTCTTTCTAGTTCAAACAATGCCCGAAGTTAAAAATTGTGTCACCGCCATTTCCTTCTATACCACCTTTTTGAGCATTTATTGACTTGACTAATAGTAAATTGGCTGGACTGGATAATGAAAGAATTGTTGAAAAGCTAATTATCATACAGGTAAAGTTCTGAGAGGTCGGTCAAGGAAGGGTTGCTCAGAAGGGGATTACATGGAGCAAATTGTGCCTTCAATTTTTTTGAGGGGAGGGTTCATTTTTAGGAGGTTTTGAATTGAAGTAAACCACATTTGTATGGGATTTCAGTTAAGGGGAACTTTCAAACCAGGGAACTATGGGAAAAATAGAAAGTGTAAGATATACATTTTTCTCATTCTGCTTTTGCTTGCATCATTGTTAAGAAGAGAACATTAACATTTCGTGATTAAGGTCGGGGCTTGTGCCATTGACCTTGCAGTGGGATAGTCACCCCAGGGTCAAGGTGTATGTTAGTGGATTTTATTTGATCAAACCCTATAGATTTAGGTTCTAATGTTATTTGTTGGAGGGTTGTATGCAGTTGATGATATCAGATTGAATTTCGGGTTCATTAAGACATTTCTTTATCAACATTTATTTGCTACCCACACTTTTATCAATTTTTGAAATAAAGATGTATTAATTTTTCAGAAGAAGTCAATGCCTCGAGTAGCTCTAAAAGATCAGGTGAAGATGTAGAAATAGAAATCAAACGTTCTAGACTTGATGAAGTACCTTTACAAGAAGAATTAAGTGATATTAGTGATGATCCTGATGATATATTGAACAGAGAAGATGTAAGTTTTTATTGGAAAAATGTTATCTTACTCTTATTGTCTAATCAATTTTTTTCACTAATCAATATCTATTGAATGAAGTTTGACTTAAATATTCTCCTACATGTTATATAATTTATTATCTGTGAGATTTAAAAATTGAGATCTATTTCACTTGTTGAGGCATAGAGAGGTAAAAGTAAAAAAAAATCCATTTTTGAATTGTTTTCAGAAAACTCAGAAATAATTGTAATTCTGGTGATTTAAAAAAATATATATATATATTTATCAATTGTTACTGAGTCACTGGTTTTTAAATTATTTCAGGAATAGGTTTGTGAATCTTTTTTAGTTTTATAATAAAAGTTAAAAAAAAAATCAAATTTGATGTGTCCCTCTCTACATGGGAAAGTGGAAACGTCTAGAAAACAGAAAAATCTACATCTTTTATCATTTTAACAATCATAAAACATAAGTGAAAAGTTTTGATTCTGAAGACAAAAAAATTTTTTCACTTGCTGTATGAATACAAAGGTTCCCTCTTTAATAATGAAAGTAAAAAAAAAATTTTTTAGATAATTGTTCAAAGTGTTAAGTATATTGAATTTTGATTCAATGTTTTTGTTTCCCTGAAAATTAAATCTATGCCAAACCTGAAATGTATCTACAAATAGATTAACACAAACAACAAATCGATTAAATAAACAAATACTGTTAACCAGAAACATATACTATACATAGAAACATAGGCCATACAGGGATTTTTCTTTATTTTATTTTTCTCCTGGGCCAGGAGAGAGCGTGGGGAATTTACTTAAAGCAATTGTTTTGAGAAAGGGATTTATTCCCTTCTGAAATTATATCTAAACTTTGAATACAAAAGTATTCAATACAAAAAGGATTTAGTACATTTTGTGGTGTTAAACATGTACCAGCTTGAAAAAGAATACTTAATAGTGAATAGAAAATTAAAATGTCAAAAATAAATTACATCTCCATGCCTCAAATATAAATTAAGAACTACTTTTTCCTTTCACTTACTTATATATGAAATAGTGATTTTTTTAAAATTTATTTATGTGCTTTTTTAATATGAAGTTTTCCTCAACCAAACCCCTTCTTTAGCAAGTCTCTCCTCCATCTCTGCCGGTCCATCTCGTATCCTCCTCCGACAGTCTCCTACCTGCCATACTCTCTATCACTCTATCTTTCCATCTAACTGGAGGTCTTTCTCTCCTTCTTCTACCCTCTGCCTCCCAATCCATAATTGTCTTTGTTATCCTATTGTCGCCCATTTGTCTCATATTTAATATTTAATTGTATCGAATACAATAATATAAAAATTTGTATTGTACTGTACATAAGCAAATAAAAATACCCATAATGAAATTTAAATAAATATAGTGGTCTTCTTTATCAGTGGCACACTTGTCGGACTAAAAATATTTCATGGTACTTAATCTTATATATTAAGAGAGGCCCTGGTTCTTGTAGGACCGTAGCGCCAAAAAATAATAATAATCTCATATATTATTTCCAAAAGTCTTTTCGTCAGCACACCATAACTTCATTAAATCAAATTATTGACCCACCCATTTTAAAGATATTCTCCTCCTTCACAAGTGAAAAATAGTCGTTTCTCCCCGAAATTTCTGGAAAAAAGTTATGAAGGAAAAGAAACTTTATTTGCCAATAAATCAAAAAGTACTTTATTGTACCCACAATAATTAGAAAGATTACTAAATTACTTAGAAAATAAAAATCATGGAAATCAATTAGAACTTTGTCAGATTTAAACAATATGTACCGACCAAGGAGTAAAGTGTATTCAAATATCTGTTTAAGAAAAAACTGAGTTGAGATTTCTATTTCCACAGCTCGGATGACTCTCAAATACAAATTTTCATAGTAATCGAAAAATAAAAAATTCTTTATACAAACTGGAATCAAGGCTCCCCTCTTGGATTTCTTTTCGAAAATCACAAAAAGTGTGATAACTTCAATATCCTTCCATCTATCCACACAAAATTTAGCAGGAGTATAGGGCTTTATAAACTATATAATATGACACAAACTGTACCCTCTAAATAATTTAGAACTGAAGTTATAAAATAAAAACCTCTTAGGATTTTTTATTTATTTATTCTTTATGGATGTATTAAACCAAAAAATAATTTATACGGTTTTGAAGAACGATAATTCAGCTTTCCAATCTTTGTAGAAACATTGAATTAGGAGAAAATCCTGAGGAGTTGAACTGCAAAAAATAGTCATCTCCCTGAAATTTCTAGAAAAAAAAGTTATGAAGGAAAAGAAACTTTATTTGTGAATAATTCAAAAAGTATCATTTTTTTCTTGATTGTACCCATGATAATTACTAAATTACCTACTAAACAAAAAATAATCGGACAACTATTAACAAAAATACAGTCCATTAGATTGTAGTATACTTAATAATTTACTGCATTTACTACTGTACTTCCTTTTTTTTTTCCTGGCTGATATATACTTTATTATGTCTTAAGACATTTTTTTGGTGGTACATTTTATTTACTAATAATTTAGAAAATCCCATGATCGATCGAGACTTTATTTTAAATATTACCTTTCCAGTCAGCATTTAAAAATAAACTCTAGCAAAGCAATTTGTACTAATATTCCGGTTTATTATGTTAAATGTAATATTGTTTTGCTATTCCTTTACTAAACAAAATTTTCTGTGAATTATTGACACGGGCCAACTAGTTATTTATTATAATCAAATAAATAATTGAAATATACAGTTTTAAAATGAAATAGCTTGTGTCAAACAAATATAATATAATACATTAGACGGAAATGAAAAACATGTGGTTAATTGTTAATGGTCATTGTTTTAAATAATGTTTCATAGCTTCTATAATTTTTACTTTCACTTCCCCTTCTCTGAAAAAACTTATTTCTTCTAAGAGGGTAGTAAGTGAGTAAAGTTGTGTGATGTGCGCATCACACCAGATTTTTTCTTTTCGAAAATATTTCCATATTAAATTTCAATTATATTTTTTTAAGAAAGAGTTGGTCCGGGACCTGGTCAAATAAAATGTCATATAATTGCCAAATATTTATTCAATACCATGGCATTATGTCATTAAATAAATAACGATAAATTATTTGATATTTTATCTGACCAACTCCTTGAATTATCATACAGTCAACAATTTACATACCTAATACAGTTTATCCATAGTATATCGCACATTCAAATGCAATGGGACACCATCTCACAATCATCATACACAACATTTTCCTTAGTTCAACCCCTGTCATCCATGCCAACAAACCTCAAAATTATATTTCAATACCATCTTTTCTCTTTAAATAAATTTTGTAAATTTAAATTAAAAGATTTAATTTTATTTACATAAAATATTAAATCTTTTCATTTAAATTTAGAAAATTGGTTTAAAGAAAAAAAAACTGGTGTCAAAGTATAATTCTGATTGCATGGATGACAGGAGGGTACTTGTGACTTAGCTGGTCGGAACAGAATCTCCCTTCTTATCTTATTTTATATCACGGAACCTCCTTTCTTATTTCGTGTAACCTCTTATTATCCTTACATTAATTGTGCGTTATTCAATTACTTCCAGTTTTGTTATCTTCTGTTCAAATGGATATAATTACACTTTGGGAATTACCGCCTTTAGAAGAAGAAGTTATAAAATATTTTCAGAAGTTCGGAATAATTCCAAAGGTGAAGTTCTGTGAAGGTCATGAAATTACTGAAGGTCATAATTTAACAACAATCCAGTGGGGTAAAGAGCAGTTAAAACTATCTAACAAAAGTGTGGTCATATGAAACAGATTTTTAAGAGAGGTTTGTGCCCATAGTATGTTATACAGATCAATTAAAAGAAATTGGAGGGCCTGGAAAAATTGTTGAAGTAGACAAGAGTCTTTTTTCTAAAAGAAAAAATCACGTATGGAGAGTTATCACTGAACAATAGATGTTTGGCTGAGTTTTCCGAGAAAAAGACGAGTGTTTCATGGTAAAAAAAAGAACAGAAAAAAACAACTTTATTAGAATGTATTAAAAATAATATAGAAGAGAGCACCATATATTCTGACTGTTGGAAAGGATACAACACCCAACAACTAAACGAAGCAAAGTATAACCATTTCCAATGAATCACCAATATAACTTTGTTGGTTCTTCAAGTGGGGCCCATGCTCAACACATAAAACGATTTACACATAAACTCCCAGTGTCAACCAGGCATCACACTCCCCTCTCACCTCTATTATAGGCACCCAGCAGCATTTACCCATTATGTTATTACTCACTAGCGTTCGGTCTCCAAATCTACCTTTCCTTTCATCCTACCAAGATCCTTGAGGCGATTCAAAGGCTCAAGAAGACATTTATAGTATCAATACTTGGGTAGTGAGCAACAATTTAAAGTTGAATGTTGAAAAGACCATAGCCATTCTTATTGGTTCCAAGCATCTGATTAATTTCATTCCTTGTTATCTCCTATTCTACCTCAATGCCCTACCTATCCATTTCCACACTTCCGTTAGAAACCTTGGAGTAATGTTTGATAAATATCTGTCCTGGAGTAATCATATTTCCCAAATAATCCGAAAATCCATTTTTACTCTCAAACTATTCCGTGATTCCATGCCCCTTAAAATCTGTCGTCTTCTAGTTTTCTCACTCATTTTCTCTCATTTCGATTTTGGCTGCCTTGTATATGGTGGACCATAGATAGGCATAATCATAATCAACGATTATGATTACGATTACGATTATAATCAAAAAGATCACAATTATTTGATTACACGATTATAATCGTAATCACGGTTTTTGATTTTGATTATAATCGCGTAATCATGTAATCGTAATTATGTAATTATAATCATTGTAATCAAAATCACTGTAATCGTAATCGTAATCAAAAAATCAAATACACACGATTTTCCTGTTTTTAGAGATAGGCTTAAAGGAAAACAAGAATAAAACATTTTCTATTTTCTTTAGCTGCCGGGAGTACCTTCTTTGTTAATAACGTCGGTTGACATTTAATATTTTCCGGATTTCCATTCACTTTTCTTCTGTTATCATGTGAATCGATGCTCGGTTTTTCACCGTTCCAACACTTTTCCGGCTATATTGATGTAGACGAAAATGGAGAATTAGTGCAGACATTTTTCTAATTTCCTCTCGTTTTTTCTATTTTCTCTCATCTATGCATGCTAGGTTTTTCTCCACTCCAACAGTTTGCCGACTATGTAGATGTAGGCGAAAATAGAGAATGAATGCAGAAAATTTTCCGGATTTCTATTTGCTTTTCCTCTTTTATCTCGTGAATGGGGTCTCAGTTTTTCACTGTTCTAACCATTTTATAATTGTTTAGAGGAAAGCCAATGGAAACGGGAGTGGTACAAATTTGCCGAATTTTCATTTACTTTTCCTCTTTTATCTCGAAAATGAAGGATCAGGTTTTTCACCGTTCCAACAGTTTCCCGGCTTTGTGGTGGTAGGCAAAAACGGAGAAATGGTGAAAAATGTTTTCCGAATTTCCATTCGCTTTTCCCACTTTATCTCGTGAATGGATGCTCGATTTTTCACCAACACATTTCCGACTATATAGGTGTAGAAAAAAACGGAGTAATGGTGTAGAAAATTTCCCCATTTTCCTTTACCTCTAAAAAGCCGGAAAACTGTTGGAACAGCGAAAAACTGATCCTTCATTTCCAAGAAAAAATAGGAAAAGTTAATGAAAATTTGTACCACTCCTGTTTCCATTGGCCTTCCTCTAAACAGCTATAAAATGGTTGGAACGGTGAAAAACAGAAACTCTATTCATGAGATAAAAGCGGAAAAGCGAATGAAAATTCAAAAAATTTTCTACACTAATTCTCCATATTCGCCTATATCAATATAGCCGGAAAAGTGTTGGAACTGTGAAAAAGTGAGCATCCATTTACGAGTTTAAAGAGGAAAAGCTAATGAAAATTCGGAAAATTTTCTACACTAATTCTCCATATTCGCCTACATCAATATAGCCGGAAAAGTGTTGGAACGGTGAAAAAACGAGCATCCATGTACGAGTTTAAAGAGGAAAAGCGAATGAAAATTTGAAAAAATTTCTACAATAGTTCTCCATATTCGCCTACATCAATGTAGCCGGAAAAGTGTAGGAGCGGTGAAAAACCGAGCATCCATTTATGAGTTTAAAGAGGAAAAGCGAATGAAAATTCGGAAAATTTTCTACACCCTATTCCCATTTCCACTTTTCTCTACATAGCCGAAAAGTGTTGGAACGGTAAACACCTGACCCTTCATTCATGAGATAAAAGATGAAAAGGGAATGAAAATTAGGAAAATGTTAATCGGTAAACCGACGGTATTATCATAGAAAGTGTTCCTGGAAATTAAAAGAAAATAGAAAATGTTTTATACTAGTTTTTCTTTTAGTCTATTTCTAAACAGAGGAAAATCGTGTGTATTTGATATTTGATTACGATTACGCGATTATGATTACATGATTACGTTTACAGTGATTTTGATTACTTGATTATGAATACAGTGAATTCGATTACATGATTACGATTACATTGATTTTGATTGCGTGATTACACGATTGTAATCGTAATCAGGTTTATGATTACGATTGTAATCATGTAATCAGGTAATCGTTTCATACTTTTGCTATAATTATAGTGCTACTGTATCAAGTATAAAATTGGCGTGGTCATAAAGTTTTATTTTCAGTTGTAATCATTTAATCATTGATTACGATTTTGCCCATCTCTGTGGTGGACTGTCTCATGGGCTTGAGATCAGATTAAAGAGACTAATGAATTGTTTCATTAGATTTATTTTTGGAGTCCCCAGGCTCCATGTCTAGTTGGTATGCCGAGTTGAAATGACTATCCAGCCTTCCAACAGCAATATTTCCTAGGTGTTTCCCTTTTTGTGTGTGTGTATATGTATGTATGTATGTATGTATAAACCCCATATATGTGATTTTAGACAGAATTCATGGATCATGATGTGATGGAGGATGATGCTGGTAGTCTAACTGAAAGTAGCAAACATATTCATGGCCATGAAGAGGGATCTCAGCTTCTTACTCCGCCTGGAGAAAGGTTAGTGAATTTTAAAATAAATCATATTTATTTGTATAGAATTAAATTTCTATCAATTGTTTCATGCTTTATAGAAATTAACTTTTAAGATCTAATAATTTTATTACAAAGCATAATAATCATACTGTTGGGTGTAATTTCATTTAAGTAATAAAAAAAAAAGTAAATATAGGACAGTATTTTCATAAAGCGGTTAATGAACTGCTCCATAAATAAATTATGAGACCTTTATTATAAATTATCAATTTTTTTTTTAATTTAAAAATAAATAGGTAACAGTTAACTGGTCAGAGGGTAGATTCCTTAAAAACAAGTAATTAAAAAAAAATCTTCAAACCCTTGAGATAAAACATCTCTGCCAATAGTTTTTTTTTTTTTTATTTCTTAATGACATTTACAACTGTATTACATAAATACATCAAGTAAATTTGGACATAATAGATATAATGACATGAATACACTTGCTTAGTAACTACCCAATGGTAGCACTCTAATGATATGACTACATTAGGAGATCACGGAGCCATCTTCTTTTCAGACGCCTCGGAGGGTTATCAGCAATTGAAGAGGAAGCAAGGTTAGAAACGAGAGGGTTAGGATGATTCTGAAGTTTATTATGGAAGAATAGGTATCTGGATTGGGCCAGATCTGAACCATAAGGAACATTAAGATCTTTATGGATAATTTTATTAGTGACAAAGTGAGGAACATTGAGGATTTTACAAAGGATTTTGGATTGTAAGGATTGGATGAGAGAGGAATTTGATGGTTTAGTGGAGCCCCATAGCTCAACTCCGTAAGTCCAAATAGGTCGTATTATAGTCAAGTATATGAGTCTTTTGTAATTAATGGGAAGTTTAGAGCGTTTGTCTAGTAAGTGCTGAAGTAATCGGAAACGTCGAGCGGTTTCTTGTCATTTCAGTCTAGTATAAGGATTCCAAGTTAGTCGTTTGTCCAGGTGGAGTCCTAGGTATCGGATTTGCTCAACAGGGATAAGTGGAGTATTGTTAAAGGAAACTGTAGGACAGGAAGTCGTTGGTTTACGACGAAGGGTAAAGGTAATTTGGTGGAATTTATTGGAGTTTATTTTAATTCTCCAGTTTTGACACCATTCTTCTAAATTTATGATGTGTGATTGAAGCATTTGGGATGTAATTGCTGGGTCATTATTTACTGATAGGATACATGTGTCATCGGCATATGTGGTGATGACAGTGTTGTGACAGGTAGGGATGTCAGCTGTATAAACTGTATAGAGGATAGGACCTAGGATACTACCTTGAGGAACACCAGCGGACTGGGAAAAAAGGGATGAATAGGCGTTATTGTGATTTACTTTAAAGTATCTATCAGTAAGGTAGGAACGGATAATGAGGAAGTATGTAGGTGGTAGGAATTTTCGGAGTTTGTACAGCACTCCCGGGTGCCAAACTCTATCAAACATCTGTTCAACGTAGATTAAGACTCCCGTACTGTACATTCCGTGCTCCAAGCCAATAGTTTAAACATAAAGTATGAAGGAAAATTACGTCTCAATAATAGTTCTTTTTGACCATTGTACTGATATTGTTTTAATTCCAGCCACTAGTGCCCCCAATATCTATTACAGGCCTAATCCTGTCTTCACTTATTTTTCAACTCCTCTGCACCTAAGATGGACCACTGTTGGCATCTTCCTTTATCTTATTTCTGGATGCTCGGATTGATTACTTGAATGCTAGGATATCCAACCTAACTAATAGGTTATAAAATCTAATCTCCGAAATCCGGCTCCTGGCAGATTATTAGTGAGCGATCTGTGTTACAATTAATCCCATTAATAGATTTGTGTTGCCTCGAAGTGTCAATATTGGCACTGTAGTACATTGCTTAATATTCTTCGACTTGAGTGTCAGATTGCATAGCAACTCTCAGTGTCCCTCATGAGTTAAAACTTAATATATATATGTGTATATATATATATATATATATATATATATATATATATATATATATATATATTATTTTTAAGGCCTGTGCGTATATCTTCAACTGTAATGGATCAAGGCCCAACATATCTTCCATAGCAACTGTTAAGGTAATTTTCATAGCTCATGTTATCATTAAGCAGGCTAAGTTTTGTAGTGTGTCAAGTTGTGTCTTGTTGTAATCGAATTCTGCTCAGTGCCAATAGACCATTCATGATCTTAGCCTCCAACATTTCTCTATGGCATTTTTGTGCAGGCCCCTAGGTATTTGAGGGTGTTTTTAGTCTTGTTTAACACATTACTGTTCCATTTGAGTTTATGATCCAGCGTAACCCCTAGGTGTTTCACCTCCTTGCCAAAATCCTATTGATTTTTGGTCATTTTATTATTTTTGTTTCAATGTAAAGATGCATATAGTGTTGATGCTTGACCCATTGATTCTAAATTAGTTCCTCCAGATGTCTTCATTAAGTCACAGAGAACACTATGAATTTCCTGCCTCTAAGGATAGCAATGTCATCTGCTTATCCTTGAGAAAAGGAAGAAGAAGAAGAAAAATAAATTTTATTCTGGGATTAAGTCCCCTTAGAATAACTACAATGTACAATTTAATGGCGATTGTCTGGCATTAGGAATAAATTAAATTACATGATGGTCTAGATCTAAGATTACAATAAAGCAAAGGCACTGTTAGATATATGAAATCATAGATAAATTCAGATATGCGAATTCACATATTTGTACACATAATCAAAGTGGGTGACATATAATTATCTGTCAGATAACATTAAAGCAACTGACAGATCTGAAAAATGTGAACATTATTTTACACATATTCGGAAGATTGATTACTGAGGAGATAGATAAATAAATTATGTTTAAATGAGGTCAAGGATGATGATTTGCGTATGGAGGATGGTAGGAAATTCCAAAACAAGGTGGCACGCATGACAAAGGATTTTTTAAAGGAAACAGTTCTATGAGGAGGAATAAACAGGTTTGAGGGCTGGGATCTCGTGTTGAACAAATGGATAGAGAAACAAGGAGTAAACAAATCGAGAATGTAAGAGGGTTTTGCCGTAGGAAGACTGGATAGAGCACTTCAACTCGATATACCAACTGGAGACGTGGGGGCGCCTAGGGACTCCAAAAATGAATCTAATGAGAGGGTAAAAGCCTGCATTATTCAGTGTACGGAGCAGTGAGTCAACCACTAAACACCACATTAATGGAGAGAGCATACCACCCTTAGGATAACACCTGCTCAGTTCTGTGTGACCTAGGTCAGATTTCAGAACTAGTCTCTAGCATGTTTGCTATCTATCTGGTGATCAATGGTTCAATCTTCCTTACCTTTAATGTGTTAATAATGACATTATAGGCAGTCCAATCAAAGGCACCTTCTATGTCAACAAATGTGTCGATCATTATTTCTCTCTGGCTAAGGGATCTCTATCCTAGAAATCAAGTTATGTAAAATTGATTCATACAATTTGCCAGGTTGATAAGCGAATTGATTAGGATGTATCGGGTTTGTAGTCCATAATTGTTGTGTAATATACTTATCTAAATTATTTTCTAAAGTCTTCATTAGAAAGGGTGATGGGTATATAGGTCTGAATAATTTAGGATCGTCATAAGTTCTCTTCCCTGGTTTTGGTATACAGCACAATTTGGATGCCCTGCAGGCAGTGGGAAGGGGGAATTGCTGGGTATCAAATATTTATCTTCCAATTAAATTCTTGATCAAAATTTTGCAACACAAATTTTAATTTTGGATGTAAAATGCCTAGTTATGACATAACTGACAGTCATTTTATTTTTTAGTATGGTAAGTACTTTTGAGTATGATGGGTTGTCACAATGTGTTTTCATGTATTCTATATTTGTAGAAGGGGCTGAATAGTCATCCTTACAAAAAAAGAAAAGGGAAACATATTATTCTTTTGCACATGCGTTGATATATATTTCCCCATCTTAATTTTTTTTTTTGCCTGAATAATGCAGGCTTTTACCCTCTCATTATACTCTCATTAGATTCATTTTTGGAGTCCCCAGGCGCTCCCACATCTCCAGTTGTCATGCAGAGTTGAAGTGAAATTATTGTTAAAAATATAATGGCTGTGAAATGTGGAAGGCATTGATCATATGGAGTGGGAGTTAGGTTAATACAGTATTTTTATGGAGTTATAAAATTTTAGGTTTTATTCAAAAAGTTAATTTATAGTGTATTGTTTGGTCGATTCTCAACGTTACTGGCAACACACTTATTGCCGTTACTTAAATTTTGTGCAATTTTCAATAAATTTAAATTAATTGTTACTCTGAGTTAATAAAAAAAGTCTTATTTGTAAATGTGTTTATTTCTATTGAAGTTCAAGCAGCTTGTCATGGTCTCAATTTCCTGCTTAAATATCAAAGTTTGTTCTGACTGAAGAAAAGTATTGGTCTCGTTAACTGCGAACAAACAAAAAGTTGAATTTGTCCTATTGATTTTTTGTTCTATCCATTTTATGAGTGAAGAAATACCTATTTAGTATATATCACTTCTGTTAGTGCAAAGGGTTGTATGTAAAAATTTTCAATTTTGATTTTTTATTAACATTATGTAGTCTGCAATTGATATAAGTAGTCTAATAAATCCTAAAGAAATAATTAGTATTTATGCCCTCCTGTAAAACACTCAATTTTTACAGACAACCTTTTGCACTAACAGTAGCGATGTGCGGAACTTTTTCGCATTTTAGTAATGAGAGATTACTGAATTTCCGAAACAGCTTCTTCCAGAGATTTTATTCTCATATGAAAAATTTTATACCTTATAATATAGATATTTTTTAGCCAATGTAAACGGTGAGGAAGCTATTCTAAACCTAACTTGGCAGACATTTTTTTTTTCTTTTTGTACAATTGAATTTAGATTTTATTTTATTAAATGATAACATTTGATTAAAAATAAAACATCAGGATTGATCCAATCTTTGATTCATAAGAATTTGTATTATTTGTGCTTTCTAAAATTTTATTTGATTCTTTTTCAGGCACGATAAAAAGGAAAAATAAAATTGATTATTTATTTGTTGTTACACACAAATATTTTTAGAAAACACACTCATCTAACTTTTAAAAATATAAGAAAACATATTTTCAATGTCACAATATCTCAAATTCTAAATTAATTTAATCTTTACCATATATAGCCATGCTTTTTTTTTTTTTTTTTTTTTTTTTTTTTTTTTTTTTTTTTTTTTTTTATTGCCTTTCTATGAAGATCTGTTAAAATATTAACTCAGAGAAGCTTTGTTGAATTCAAGAGTCATTTGTATAGATAGGAAGTAAAGCATTTTTGATCGGTCAAAGAGATAATATAGAATGTTTTTTTAGATGGTTTACTCTTCATGTTTCCCAAAATAGTCAACTACATGCTGTTTACCAAAACTTTAGATGATTTTACAATCTCTCCTCACAAAAATTTTTAAGGGTGCTACCAATGGCTAGTTTCTTAGCATGTGTTTCATGTCATAATATCCATGTACAAATTTACTAGATTTTTTTTATACAGTTGTAAATATCATATAAATAATAATAATTAAAAAAAAAAAAAGATTTAAGAAATCAATGTATAAATTGACTTGGTGGAGAAAAATATTTACTTATTTAGTTTAATCTGTTTAAGTTATTATTATTAATACTTTGATTATTTTAAGGAATGTGGATTCAAGAATTACCGAAGATGATGGTATTGTATCCTTAGATTTTGAGGAAATATCTGATGAAGAATTGGAAGAGGAATCAAAATGTAATAAGGGTAAACACTTTTTGATGTGGTGTGGAACATTTTCACTAGTGATAAGACATAGGTTCCTAACCCTCACTGGTTTGTCTGTGTGTCTAGTAATCTAAACAGTAACTGCAATCCCCATGTCATCCAATAACTGCATTATGCACTATTGATGTTCTATGAGTATTTTAGAAAATATTTAATTTGTTTTTTAATATCTAATAATTGATTAAATAAATTTACAACAATTTACATTCAATCTTGAAATCACTGATATGTGCTCATATAGTCAGCCATCTCTTATTATATTGCTTCAAATTGTCATTTTCAAAAAAGTTAGGTACTCCTGTGATGATTGTTTTCATATCTTATGACATCTTAATTTGTTTGTAAAAATAAATTATTTCATCTTTTATTTTTAAAGAAGTATTTTCATGACTTTTTCAATTAAGGAATTATAATTTTTTAAGCTGAACTTTAAGGGGTAGGGATTGCTGATACTTTCTCTGATTTCCATGTTTTGGATGTTTCTTATACCAGAGGTACTAATGACTTTTTTCAATTTTTCAGTTCCCATCTCCAGTATAATGGTTGCTATGTATATCACAGGTGTAAGTTCAATTTTCGAGTTTCAGCCCATGATTCACAAAAGAAGAGTGAAAAATTAGCTTTCTCGTGTTATCCATAAAAATTGACCAAATTGCACTTTTCACCGGTGACACACACATATAGGGCTGACTATTTATTTATTAGTTTGAGTTGCTTATTCCCAAATTGATTTTTATGGAAATTGGCATATGTATCGAATCCCATGTAAAAACATCCAGTGAACCAGATGAATGAAATGATTTTTTTTTTTCATAGAATGTAATGTGAAAAAAAAAATTGGCGCATGCATCACACAACTTTCACTTACTAATCTACTTTGAATGGAAATTACTTTCCGGCAATGTTGGGCTATTAATAAAATTTTGCATTTTTAACGAAGCTAAAGCTTAAAATCATTAAAATAACAAATGCTCTATTTATTATATCGACCGTAGGCAATAAAAATCTCATAACTCCATCTGTTATTATAAATTACATAACTCCTTCATCTGAGCTATATATACCTAGAGAGACTTGAAAGTACATTAAATTATGTAGCCTATAAATTATTGTCGATTGTATGACTATTGGTTATTAAACTCTTATTTCCCGATGTAATGTTTACTAAAATGGAGTTACGAGATCATTGCCTGCCATAGGTGGGTCAAAAGTTGTCACACTAATTTATTATCACAATAATTTATTTTGAGCCCCCTGTTTTCTCCAGCCATTATGAATTGTTTTGCCATTGTTAGGATATCTTCTTTATTTTTACCTATTTATTTTAAGACTTGATCATCTGCAAACTAAATGGTTCAGCCATTCTCCAAAAATTTTCATTCCTTTGTTCTACCAAATTATAGTTTCCATCAAATCATGGAGAACCGGTATACATATTTTAGTAGAAAGAGTATCACCTTGTCGTACACCTTTACAAATTTTTATTTTTACTGTTATACTTCCTAATTTATATTCTGCATTGGATCTCAAATAGATATCTTCCAGTATCTTTCATATTCTTGATCTAATGTTTATCTTATTTAACATATTTATAATGCAATCGGTTTTTAGAGAGTCAAATGCTTTTTCCCCTTAATCCAGAAAAAAAGAGGTCCACTGACAGATTATAGTCATTAGCTTTCTTAATTAACTCTGTAATCACAAGTATGTGTTCTACAGTAGAGCAATTTTTCATGAAGCCTGCTTGATATTTTTTTTGTATAAAACTGAGAGAAGACTTAATGGACGATAATTATTTAGATCTCTCTTATCTCCTTTCTTTGGCAGAATTGAGATAAGAACATGAGTTTTGCACTTTCCCATTTTTCAGAGAAACCAGCATTCTTAAGGCATGTATTATGTACGTGAGTGAAAAACCTGCGCTAGGATCATTCTCCATTCTTTTATCTGTGCAATTGTCAGACCATCAACACCTTCTAATTTTTCTTCTTCTTCTTTCTCTTTCTCTTCGTGCCATTACTAGCATCGAGGAGCCCCTATCTAATGCAGCTATGCCTCTCGGTTCCTACTAAGCTGTCTCATCTACTGGAGGGTTTAACCTCTTTTTCTCTCCAATCCGTTGCATATACTCCTGATCAGTAATTCTGGGGCGGTCTCTCGGCCTCCTCCATCGGACAAACATGGTCAAACCACTTCAACTGTTGGTTTTCCAGTACTATCCTTAGCTCATAGGTTTTTGTTCTATAAGATGGGATATAGAGGTCAGAAACACAGGATCTCGTTTTTATTGAGTGTACTGAAGGTCTGGGCTGAAGGAGACAGTAGATATAGGAAGGGTGCGAGGTGATCATTTGGTATAAGAAACTTCCAAGGAAGTATTGGCAGCGGGTTTTTTAATTAATATTTTATTATTTATATAACAGGCTTATACATTTGTTCCTGCCCTTTATTTATTTTACCTGTGCCCTAACAGGAAATTTTATTTTTCTTTAACTAAATGGCTAATCAGTCAGAATCATAGGTATGTGAGGCAATACTATTGTTTGCCAAACTGCTGGTTTAGTCAAAATTATGATATAGCAACCATTACATTATTTTAAAAAAAGTTTATTTGGAATATTCCTCCATTGCAAGAATAGACATGGAGATAACAAATGAATATTTATACTACAGGGATAAAGCTAAATCATATAAATAACTAAAAAATATTGTTGAACTTTTGTAAAGATCCTTTAAATGATTTAAAACATACTGTATCCTTAAAAACTTTGGTAGTATTTAATAGCCACCCAACTGAATATGGTTTCTGTCAAGTGTCAGTTTTTTCCTTAGTGATTGTTCTCTTTTGTTTTTCTATGTAAATTTATAATTATGTTAGTTAATGTGATACAGTTTGTAAAGGCACTTATTATCTATGATTCTAATTCAACATGGGTAAAACCACAGTTGTACTCCACAGAGTATATCTTGTTAGGTAATAATTATACACTTTTAAAAAGTTTGTGTCGTTAACTTGTTTCCACTTTTATACCAAAAGTAGAACACTTTTTTCATATTTACTGACATTTATGGTTACTACTCTTTATTTTATAAAGCCTAAGTCTATGTAACAAAAAATAATTTTTCAAATAGGATTGGTAGTTTCTGAAATTAGCGTGTTCGAACCAACAAACTCTGATGCTTAGTGTATTATTTGGATTTAATATATTATGTGCATATAAAAAACACATAAGGTATCTGTTCACTAAGTTTGGGGCTCCATCCTTATTCTGCAGTTATCATTCCGAATAGAAACCTGGTTTCCACCAAAATATCTTTTTGCTCATTTTGTATTCGGTTGCCTTCCTTGCCACTTACTATAAATTTTGGTGGTTAGATATTTTTTGGTTTGTAGGAGCTTTAACCCTAAAATGCTTCCTTATCATGTTGGATTTGAAATACAATGTAATATTGTGCGTGCATATTTTGTTTATTCCATAATTAAAGAATATTTTAGAAAATAACATTTTCATATAAATGTTTAATAAAATTATGTACTGTCATGTGTATTCAGGTGTAAGTGTTGTTGATGCTCTTGGAGTGGATTGGGCCAGTTTGGTTGCAGAATGGAGACCATCTCGAGAAATTTCTAAAAAAGGATCTGCAAGAAAAAATTGGAGTTCATCAGCCATATTTAAACGAATTAGAGTGTCTCAAGATTTTGCTGGGGATAAACTTATTGCTCGCTTGGCAAAGAAACATTCGTCAGGTAACATTTTAAAAATTAAGTCTGGTTTTAGAAAATTTTCCATTTATATGCAACTTGTTAAATATTAATAAATTATGTTTTATAAATTAAATCACATTTGATTATGTCATCTGGCTTAGACATTTTTTTGTATCATCATGAGAAAGTAGCTGAACTATTTTTGACAAAAAAATTTCTGTTATTACATAGGGCTAAAAAGATTTTTTTAACAATATTTATTATTTTATTATTATTATTATTATTATTCATTATTTTAATCTGTCACTCCCACCTTAAAACCAAAAGATGGAGGATCAAAAACAGATTTTTTAAGATTTTCATAGGAAATGTGCTTAAACAAATTAGATTAAACTGCTTCATGTAGTTATCCTTACTATCTCTCGCGTTTTGTGGAAATCATGTACATATTGAGCTTTCTCCTTATTTAACTTAAAACCCAATTTTTTTCAAGAATTTCCCAAAGCTCCTGAGAATGCAACTTTTTACCTTGCTGTAATCACCACCTCATTAGCATACACCAAGTGTTGAGTGAGTCTACTTTTTTTTCTTCTGCCTAGATTCTTCTTAATTACTCTGGCCTCTAGCTCCAATACAATATTGAATAATACAGGGAAGATAAGATCTCCTTGGTGTAAACCATTCTCCGGATCAAATTCATCTGATAAATAATTTTGTACCTTCAATCTACATCTAATGTTTTTTAGAGTCATCGGACTTAATCCAACTAGCTTTTCTGGGACCATAAGTGCTTTCATAACTTTCTGCAGTTGATCAATTTGAAACTATCATATGGCTCGTAGAAATCTATGAAGAAGCAATGGAGATCAACATTATACTCACATGTCTTCTCCAGCATTTGTCAAATTGAGATGATAAAATATTTTGTTTTTCTTCCTGGCTGAAAGCCAGCCGGTTGGTAATCAGCAGTGCAACCAATTTTTAATAGATACAAATAATAAGTTCTCCATTTCAAATGATAAATAATTTAATTATAGAAGTTAGTTAACTAATTTAATTAGTTAGTTGTCTATTGACAAATATCAACTAAATCTGTAATTATGTATTTAACAGAAGTGCAATTAAGTATCATTTCATCATGAATGTTGAACCATCCTGTGAGGTTCATCTTTCTTAGTGTATATCTATATGGAGGGAGGGGTGGTAGAGGTACTTATTTTAAGGTTCCTTGCTATTGCAAAATCGACTATTCTCGGTCCTTTTCTGATGTTTGCTGTGCTTACCTATTATTGGAAAGTCGATTTTAGGATACCTTAAATACATAATTTCATTTTTATATGATTTTGTTGTTGAACTAGGCTATTCACACACATTATTGGACTTAATGGTTCTTAAAATATTTATTTCCGATAAAAACTCAGATTCAAAACTTTTCATGATCACAATACTTTCCCTTACAATATGTTACATATATAATAAAAAAATAAATAAATAAAATAAATAAAAAAACCTGTACCACTACAACCCATGAATGGTCTGGGGTTTAGTACTATTTAGGGAAAGCACTGTTTTTAGGTCAACGGTTGTGCAAGGAGGTGATTTGACCGAGATCACGCTCAACCGCCAGTTTTTCTCCCTTAACTAATTACTTAATTAAGGGTGCTCACTTTATAGAGGATGGGTGTGCCCCAGGAGGGACTCCTGACCCAAGGTCGCCCCACAGATAAAACCAATGAAACAGATAAATAAATTTTCTGCCATGAGCCGGGGTTCGAACTCGGGACCTTTGTATTGAAAGCTCAGTGCTCTACCACTGAGCTACCCCGCTCCCTATGTTACATATATAGGTAAGTGAAAGTAACAAGTTAATGTTGTTAATCAAATTATACACATTAGTGTACACAAATAAATGAAAAAATAAAATAAAATAAATTTTAAAATTAAAATTGATCAATGTCATTAGTAATAGTTTTTAGTCTCATTTGAAGGCATCAATGTGAACCGTACTTCAGCGGTGTAAGCTTACTAACAGCGTCCTTCTTCTGCCTCAAAAGAATGGATGGTAGTCAGTTCCTCACTGATGTTGATTTATTTGTAACTGTCTCAGTTGAGATGTCTCATAAAATTTTTCTCCTTTCATGATCAGCAGATCATTTTATCATGGAGTATCAGGTGGATGAACCATTGAGTGGTGATGGATAGAACTCCATGTTTACGTGTCTTAAGTCTTTTTTCTCTTATAACTTAAGAAAATATTCAGAGTTACGTGTATGATTCTCTCAGACTTCAGACTTTATATTGAATTTCTTAAATTTTGTGGAGTTAGCTCATGTCCATCTCACCTCCATTTCTTTTACATGACTCCTCATCAATCACTATATTGGATAACAAGGGCTTTATAGTAAATTCTCGAATTAATATTTATTGACAATTATTAAGAAATCAATGCAAAGGGATCCCTGAGGAATTCAATTTAGTTTTAAAAACTGGCATGGTGTAGGTCTTGTTAAATAAGTAGTTAATTAAAGAAAAGCCTGTCTCGAAAACTCAAATTAATGATTATGTTAAACTAATTTATAGTTTTGTTATTTTTTTTTGTGATTTTTTCAAAAATACTTTTATTCAAATCCAAAATGCTTCTATTTATCTTATTTTGTTTTTTAGGTGAAGGAAATACTTCCAATATGGAAAGCATTGAACTTTCATCAAATATTTTACAAAATAAACAAGCACTATCTGCTAGAGCTGATATAATAATACGGTAATAATAAAACACTGCTGCTTGTTATAGAGTCAAATAATGTAATATTTTGTGATTATTATTAATTAACAAATTAGTATATTCTGTTCTTTTTTTCCTCAGGAGACAGTTATGTGGTCTTCCAGTGATAACTTCTGAAACTCATCCAACTACAGGACTTTGTCAGTGGGCAGTGTAATCACTTACAATCTGGACAGCTTTCTTATGAACAATATTTTGTTAATATTGTAAAACTTGTATTTATTATGTTATTCATTTATGATTGTCCTTATGTTTAAATAATTGAAATATCTATTTAAATATTTACAACAAAAAAATTGTATAAGATGTTATTTTCTGTAAAGTATATTTATTACTTGTATAAATTGATCCTATTTAAAACCAATTTTGTCATTAAAATAAAATAAATTAACCGTTTATTTTTTATACATAGTAGTATGTATGAATGATTTAATTTTCCTCCTCTTATGGTCAAATTTTGATGTGCGAGTTATAGTAATTATTTCAGATTTTAGGTTTTACTTGTAATTGGTAAAATTTCTATTCATTTACCATCAGTTATATCAGTAGTCAAAATTGTAATGTTTATTTTTCATTTAATTTTATATTATTCTTACAATAAAGTGTTTGTATATTTAAATTAATAAAGTCATTACAAAAGCAAAACAACCCTCTTCCAGTTACCTATAAGGTATCAGATATATACATATTAAGAAAATTTTTGGTGACCACCAAGCAGGATTCAGACCTGCTTGACCAGTTACCCATATTTTCATCCTAAAACAAGTACTTGAAAGATGATGGGAAAGAACCACAGAAACAGAAATTATTTATTCTGTTTCATCGATCCTGTGGTCAGGAGACCTTCCTGGGGCATACTCAGCCTCTATAAAATGGGTACTCTTAATTAATTTATTAAGGAGAAAAACCTGGCAGTTAAGAAGTGTGATCTCGATCAAATCATCTTGCACAACCCTTTACCAAGAAACAGTATTTCCCAACATAGTTCTGTTTTTTAGTAGAGGTACAGGTTTTTTTTTCAACCACTAGGAGCCATCATCAGACTAGAGCAAATTAGCATGCAAGTAAATAAAAGATTAAACAAAATATGTGATAGCCAAAAAGTTCATCACAATAGGATCTGCACAGATGGAAAATAATTTCTGCGACTAAGCAGATTTTAATTCGTCAGCTCCATGATGGTCTACCTAAGATATACCCCCGAATAAGCATTTGGAAAGGTTGAAAAAGCATTTGACAAGCAGGGAAAGCTTTTATCCAGCTGAATAACTATATAAGGAAAAGCCGAATTTGCCCAGATACTCAGAGAAACAGATTAGAAACTATAAAAAATGGAGTACTACAAGGAAGAATTCTCTCACCTACTCTCTCATTTTAATAAATGATATCAGACGAGAACTTACAAAAAATGTAAGTTTCTCTGTACACAGATGACTAAGGCAGATTAGAATTCTTTATCGTGTCTGATCCACTGAATGTATCTCAACTATCTCACTCTGGTTAGAATAAGATTGGTTATATCTCTGGAAAAACCCTTCTACCTCTTCCCCATACCACAAACTAATGCACGTGATAATAGAAAAAAAAAACTTTTGAACCATGCCACACTCATTCTTGCAGCAAAATGTAGCACCTAAGCAGCCCTAAATTCTATACAGGAATGGACACAGAGGTGGGTTATGAAAATTAATACTCAAAAGATTAAATATACTTTCTTAAATATCTTACCAAAAAAGATAGAAAGACCTGAACATCACTAAAATCAACAAAGATGACAATCTAACATACTTTGTAATAGTTCTAGAACCCTGACTTACTGGAAAAACAAACAGAATCATCCATAATAAAAGCCACTAAGAGAATAACTCTAATGAAGAAGATTTCAGGTTCCTATTGGGGGTGGAACACCAGACACTGGGTATGTCTGACCTGTGATTGAATCTGGAATCAACAGCTGGAGAATGGCATCATAATCAAACTTAAGAAAAACAAATTCAGTTCAGAACCAAGATCTTAAAATAATTATCACAGCTATTAAATCTATGCCAAATAGAAACTCATAGGAACACCTCCTATGGAAGACAGAAGATATGTTAAGCTCCTTAACTTTGAAACAAAAGCCAAAACCAAAGCACCCAATGTAAAACAGAATACATGGAGGAAACTTAAATTGGATCAAGTGCATCAGTCCGGTTGACAAAATTACCGAGTTAGTCTCCGAATTCAAGAAAAACTGAATTAGTCAAAATAGTAGACAGATCATTACCATGGGACTCCCTTCCTAAACCGAGATTGTCCTGATAGTTCTAGTTCTCAAATGAAAGGAGTACTGTGAATACCAAATAATGAGATCTCTGGATTTAAAGATGCTGAATGAGAGATACTCCTCAACCTCAACCCTTATGGAATTTCAGGTTCCTACCAATCTTGAGATACTCCTCAACCTCAACCAACACAGAATTTCAGGCTCCTTCACCAAACCATCCTAACGGGTTCCATATGTACAAATTTCAAGGCTGAACAGGAGGCTATCATAGAAGGCAGCATAATAATGAGGTAATTAAAAAGGATTCCAGACTCCAAAATACATATGTAGAGCTACCAGGCAGCACTTATAAGTTGTAAACAATGCAGGTTGGCTTGGATGAGGTTCTCCAGAGAGTAGTAGTACTTTCTTCCTGATAGTGTGATGTTTATGTTGAGGAATAAAGGTGTGTTGTGTATTGTGATATAAAGTTTATCAATATAGCCTCATTTATTTCCTGAAGTGATTTCCTGACATCACATAGTGGCATCCCTTGTGGAGAAATTAAGGATAATGAATGCTGAAGAGTTGAAAACTGTGAAATAGTTAACTAAGGTCCATTTGTTTCCTGAAGTTATTTCCTAATATTAAACAGTGGCGTCTCTTATGTGTAGGAAATTAAGGGTAATGAGTACTGAAAAATTAAAAACTGCCAAATTAGAAAGAACTCAGTGGAGAACTTTATTTACTATTTTAGCAACTTCGGTTGAAGAAAAAAGAGCTGAAAATGATCCTGAGTTCAAAAAGGAATTTAGAAAACTAGAAGCAAGTAAGAAAACTAAACATCTATTAGAGTATGAGAAAAAGGTAAGAGCTTAGATACTAGTTGATGAAAAAGAAATTGGAGGATGAATTTGATACATGCATAAATTATCAGGACAAGTGGATAGATATAAAAAATAAATTTGATGAATTAGTTGAGCATTCAAATGAAACTTGGCATAGTGATGATATTTCAGCAACTATCAGTTCTTCAAGAGAGAAATTACAAAAAGAAAAGGAAGAAATACTTTCATATAATTTTTTTGGGGATATTGAAAAAAAAGAAAAAAGAATATAACATGGAGCGATGGCGATAGTGGTAGAGACAAGCAAGAAGTAGAGTTGATTCTTGGAGCAGATGTCATCGAACAAAATCTGACAGGAAGGTTAGAACCAATTACTGAAAATTTGATAACTACAGAAACTAGGCTAGGTTGGACAGTTATTGGCCTAACTAAAACACAGGCCTGTTCCATGCTAAGAATACTTATGAGAGGGAGACCTTTATAGTGCTTTGACTCTAGTGCGATTGAGCCTCACCATTCAGAGCAAACTAGAATATCTTCGACCCATTACAATAGTTTACTAAGAGGTCGTCTAGATTATGGCACTACCAAGAAGACCGGATCGGTACCAGTTAAAACATAATTCCACGCACTGCATTAGCCCCTAGGGTAAAAACACCTGTCACACCTGCAGCTCCAAACAGTCTTCCCAGGAGCATCAGATCGGTCGTCAGCCAAAGATAGGGGATCAGCCAAAGATGAAAATTGAAATAGAAACTAATAAAATTGAAAATAACGTAAGAGACATGTACAAAGGTTATAAACAGATAATGTAAATGTTTAGGGCCTGTAACGTCTGGAATCAGGGAAGAAAATAACAATATTCTGACCGATCCGGTTGACATATTAAACAAGTTTAAGAACCACTTTGACAATATTTTAAACATGGGAAATTATGATCTGTGTCCTCCTTCTGAGTACCAGAGTGCTGAACCGTTAAAAGAATGACCAAGTAAAGAAGAAATTTTAGTAGCAACCGGAAAATTGTCCTAGAGACGATTGAAAAAAGGTAGTTGAAGTGGTATGGTCATGTAAATAGAATGGGAGATGACCGTAAGGCCAGGTGGCTTCTAGAAGCAAGACCGGGAGGAAGGCGACCTCAAGGCAGGCCAAGCCTTATGTATGCAGACTTTATAGAGACAATTGGCGCAGCGAGAGGAAGCACCATGCCGGAGATGAGAAGGCTTCCACAGGACAGGGACCGTTGGACAAGATGGTCAGAGGCAGCTACTCCATGCTTAGCAGCACACAGGAGATAGTGAGAGAAGAAGAAGAACCAGAAAATTAAAATCTTATAAAGCAGCGGGAACCCATAATATTCCTATTAAAATAATTAAGGCATGCGGGGAAGCTGGAGTTTCTAAAATACATCGGTTCGTTAAAAAGATCTGGGTGAATGAGAAATTACCTGAAGAATAGAAAGAATCTATTCTTATTCCGATTCACAAAAAGGACCCGAGGACGGATTGTAATAAATATCGAGGAATTTAACTCCTTCCGTTTTTTTATAAAATATTCACTTTAATTTTAACCAGTCGAATCACGGAATACGCCGAGGAAATTATCGGAGACTACCAATGCGGATTTAGACGGAATCGTTCGACTATTGATCAAATATTTTATTTACGGCAAATATTAGAGAAAAAATCGGAGTACAACGGTATTGTTCACCAGCTGTATATAGATTTTAAAAAGGCTTACGATTCTATTGACCGCCAGGAACTGTATAATATTCTAATCGAGCAGGGGATTCCAAAAAAACTAGTAAATCTAGTCAGGATGTGCTTGACGGAGACACTCAAGTTAGAATCGGTAATAATTTGTCCGAAAAATTTGAGGTGCGTTCGGGTTTAAAACAGGGGGATTCCCTTTCGCCTGTCCTGTTCAATTTGGCATTAGAACATGCCATTAGGGAGGTAATGCGTACCGAGAAATCGTTGAATCTGGGTGGGACAACATCCGTGCTGGGCTATGCTGATGGTCTGGTACTGTTAAGTGAAGACGTTGAAACTATAAAACTAAATATGACAACGTTAATGAAGGCCGGTAAAAAATTAGGACTCGAAATAAACGTGGATATAACAAAATATATGGTTAGCTGCAAAAATGGCGATACTACTGGTGATATGGATATAGTTAGTAATATGTTTGAACAGGTAGATATACACGGTGGGCCAGACCCCCTTACCGTGCCCCCCTCCCCCTCTCCCACATCCCTGTAAATTGCATATCGTTATGTTTCTTGTGACAATTTATTAAAAAAAAGCCAATGTTCCCACAAAAAAAAGTGAACGAACTGCCCCAAAATGGCGTCCAAACATGGCGGATTGACGACTTTGACTTTAGTTAGTTTTTTTGTTACTGAGAATCAGAATTTGGCTTAATTTCATCATAGTTGGTCTTTTATTGAAGCTAGATAGTCAGAGAATAATAAAACATGAAAAATATTAAAAACTACTTGGCTTAGGCATTAAAAAAAATCGGTAAATTCAATTTATTTTACAAAAAAATTTGCTAAAAGATTGCTAGAAGATTGCATTAAAACCGATCTGAAGGGAATGATTTTGGACGGCGAACGGTGGAGGGAGGTGTGTAATAAGCGATTGGTTGTGTCGGCATCGAACCTTCGGGTTCGCTAAGCCTTTTATTATTATAAGGGAAGACTGGCAGAATTCGCTAGTGCTGGTCACGATAGAATTCTTTTTTTTTTTTTTGTATAACATTTCTTTAAATAGGCGTTTTGTCACTTTTTCAGAATTTTTTTCCTCATCCATGGGAGGGCGCGCCCCACTGGCAGAATTAACTAATGCTGGTCACGATAATATTTTTTTTTATATTATATTAGGATATTCAACTTCTTTGGAGGATGGATTTTCCGTATATTTCGCTTTTCGTTAAATATCTGATTCTTGGAATTTTTTTTTCAGCTTCCTGGGGAAGGGGCGCCCCCTGGCTGAATCTGCTAGTGAATCAAGTTCAAACGGCGGTTCGCAATACTCTGTAGAGATTTTAATGCCAGAATAGGTTGTGATTCCTCTCCCACTTATGGTGCCCTCGGACTCCACAGAGGGAAACAGTCGGGATTTAAAGGTTGGAAGGTTATAGGATTGACGAATGAGAGAAGGGATGGAGTTCCAAAAGAATGAGGATCGGATAATGAACGATCTGTCGAAAGCAGAGGTAATAAGGTGCGTATTGGTATAATAAAGATTATATCTGGTGTAAGCTGTAAAGTAATCAAGTCTCTTCAGAAATAAATAAAAAACATTTATAGTAAAATAGATGTTTTCATTTAATTCTCTTTGATCACAAATAAATAAAAACTATTTTTAGTGATTTGTAAATATTTATGTTTTTGTATATATTTGATGGTGGACAGTTTGATAAATTAAGGAGCTGATTAGGGTATCTGTCAGAATGTTAATGTAATAATAATAAAAACTAGCGGATCCAAGATTTAGTTTTGGGGGAGGCTTCAGCCCGAAAGATTTTTTTTTTTTTAAACTTTTATTATGATATTTACAACTGTATTAATATGAATACATTAAGTAAATGTAAACAGAGGAATATAATCACATGAAACACGCTTATTGAGAAACTAATCATTGCTAGCACTCTAATAATTTGTCTACATGAGGAGATCACGAGGCCATCTTCTTTTCAGACGCCTCGGAGGGTTATCAGGAATCGAAGAGGAAGCAAGAGGATTCGGATGGTTATGGAGTTTATTATGGAAGGATAGGTATCTGGATCTGACCAAATCAGAAACATATGGAACATTGAGGTCTTTATGGATTATTTTATTTGTGACAAAGTAAGGAGCATTGAGGATTTTACGAAGGATTTTAGATTGTAAAGATTGGATACGAGAGGAATTTGATGGTTTAGTGGAGCCCCATAGCTTAACTCCTTAAGTCCAAATAGGTCTTATTATAGTCATGTTTATGAGTCGTTTGTAATTAATTGGAAGTTTAGAGCGTTTGTCCAGTAAGTGTTGGAGTAAGCGGAAACGTCGAGCAGTTTCTTGTCTTTTCAGTCTTGTATGAGGATTCCAAGTAAGACGTCTGTCCAGCTGGAGTCCTAGGTAACGGATTTGTTCAACTGGGATAAGTGGGGAATTATTAAAGGATACTGTATGATAGGAGGTCATGGGTTTGCGACACAGTGTAAAGGTAATTTGATAGGATTTATTTTAATCCTCCAGTTTTGACACCATTCTTCAAGGTTTGTGATGTGTTATTGAAGAGTTTGGGATGCAATTGTTGGATCATTATTAACTGACAGGATACATGTGTCATCAGCATACGTAGTGATGACAGTGTCAGGATAGGTTGGGATATCAGCTGTATAATTTGTGTAAAGGATAGGACCAAGGATACTACCTTGAGGAACTTCGGCAGATTGAGAAAAAATGGATGAATAGGTATTATTGTGATTTACTTTGAAGTCTCTATCAGTAAGAAAGGAACTGATGATAAGAAAATATATAGGGGGAAGGAATTTACGGAGTTTGTAAAGCAATCCCAGATGCCAGACTCGATCAAACGCCTGTTCAACGTCGAAAAAAACCAGTGCAATACATTCCGCGCTGCAATGCAGAGGAGACCACGTATACCACACGATGACCTTGCTGAATAGTGGAATGGGATATGCGGAATCCAAATTGGTGATCAGGGATTATGTGGTTAGAATCTAGGATGGGATACAGGCGTTTTAAGATGATTTTTTTTCCAGGATTTTGGCCATTATGGGTAAAAAAGAGATAGAATGGTAAGAGGATGGATATTCTGGTGGCTTTTTGGATTAAAGATTTTTTAAAAATATATAATGATAATTACTTTGGAAGAAAAAGAAAGAAACTAACTACCTAAATGACGTAGAGTTTAGGTAATTATTTAAGCCCTATTAAATGTAATTACACGAACGTTAATACCTGGAGAGGTAATTGTTACATTTGTTTTTTTTATAAGCTATGGTTATATTTTACCATTTTGGAGGAGGAGGGCATCAGCCCGAAAGCCCCCCCTCTCTCTCGTAAATCCGCCCGTGACAATAATATTGATGAATGTGAATGTAAAAACATAATCTTGATAGATTATATAATAATGGAATAATGACTCATACAAATTTATAACTTATTGATTATTTATAAAAGATACACATATATGATTTTAGATTAGAACTTGCATAATACATGTAAATATATAATTAGGAAGATAAGGGTTCTAATAAAGTTTTATGGAAAATATTTCCAGTGGTTTATAATTATAATCTTGCAAATTAAAGGAAAATATTTTTGAGTAATTTATGATATTTTAATGTAATTTTTAACATTTAACCGAAAATAGTATGCCCAATCTGACTTTACTATTTGATGGCTGTGAATTTCTTTATCTTTATGCAGTGTATCGCTATCTGGTTCCGGATCATTATCATTCTATTTCTCTTTTGAATTCTGGACTTCGTTAGTTTTGATCATGTTCATTAAATACATTTTTTTGTTTAGTTTATTTATCGGGTTCATCTTGGCAGGTAGTACCTTTTAGTATTATATGTTGGTTCTATTTAGTTTTGTTTGTTATAAATAGGTGCAGTTGCGTTAAGTGAAGGTCAGCTGATATGTAGACACAATGAATGAACAACGCATTATAACAATTTTTTATCAAGAAATTCTTATTAATTTAATAAAATTCATTACTCTAATCAACTTAGATTTGTTTGAGATAATCATGCTGTAAAAGTTTCATAATGTGATGCAGTCATATAAACAATGGAAGTAGTAATACATGTTGAGCAGACTATGTTTTATTGTCTAAACACATCAAATCATTCTCCCAAGATGTTTCAGTATAGATATCTAATATGATCACAGGATAATATAAAACTAGCTAATGATAGTATTCTGTTATTAATGATGTGTTCAAATATTTACCTAACTGAAAACATTTTTTAAGGAAACTTAAGAATTAGATATGATTTTTAAAAATACTATTAATTGTTATATATGAATAGTAAATGTCTTAATATTGTTTTATAGTGTTTTCACTATACCGGAATATATTTTTAGTATTATTAGAGGAATGTCATGTCAGGATGACAGATAAGCCAAGATCACTTGATCACCTTGTTCATAGCCAGTTGAGCATCGCTGTTAATAGATTAGTAAAAATTTTATGTCTATCCTTACAAATAAAGGAATCTGATTGAGTAATTTTGTCAGCAGATATAAATACAGTTCATTACGAGACTTTATTATCGAAATTACCAAATATTAAAATATATGTATTGTTGAAGCATGTGTGACAAATCTTTTAGTATTGATGTATAGACTGAGATCACACAGGATATAATTTGAATATTTATGGAAGTAGTGTAAATCATTTTTTTAGTCAGGAAAATTGATCCATGCCATAGCGGGTCTCATCTACTCAGCTTGTCATATTTCAATTTTCAATCTCTTTCTGTTAAATGAAAAATTCATAACAATGTTTTATTTTATTTTCACTTACTGTTTCTTATTTTTCTACAAAAAGGGTAGACACAGCTAAGGACTTGATGCTAAAAAAATTAGTGTTTTTATAAGATTTCTATCATCTGTACATAGCAGCTACATTAAGTTATTAAAAAATTACTTTTTGTATGTTACTAACTTGAATTCTGAAAACATTACTGAAACATAATATTATAATACTTTTAAAAAAGAAAATATTAATATTTCTGAAGTGTATATCCACTATGGTATTTGGGCACAAGATCTCATGATCACTCTATAGATTGAATTCTAAAAATGTCTGAACGTAGATAGATGTGACCGAACCCTCTGATAAAGCCCCAACTTCAACCTCAAAGAAACTGTTATCTGTTTTTAGTGAGTAGATTTCTTAAGAAGCAATATAGTTAAGGCTATAATTTTAACTGAAAATGACCACTTGGAGGGGTAGCAGAAGTCGTATATCTAAATAAATAAATAGGAGATCTAAATAAAGGGAGATTATACTGGTGATCATGTGATTACTGGGATATTTCCAGAATGCCATTTATATACAGAGTATATAAAAAGTAGAGGGAAATATTTATAGGAATAATAGCAGACAAAGTTACAAAAAAATTTATATAAAGATTAGTCAGATTTTCGGCAGAAAAGTTTGTGTTTTTTTAAGTGTTTGGTTTTTTATTGAATAGGAAGTAATAACTAAAGAAATATTTCATTTAAGTAATTAAAAAGTGCTCCACTGTAAATTGGACAGAATTTACTTCAAATATAAATAGAGTTAGTCATTTTTGAAACTATTTAAACAGGACTTTTGTTTGGCTCAACTAAGTTAAGTTCTAATTTTAAAAAATCATAAATTATTCACGATTTTTTTTTTTCATCCAACTAGACTACAGATATCTCACATCTACAAAAACTTCCTTGTTTAATAAGCTTTAAGTTTATATTCTTTAAGTCCATGTTTATTTAGGAAAAACTCTAGAGATTTGTAAAAAATGATGTGATTTTATAACCTGTGACCTAAAATGATTACAATAAATTGTTGGAAAGGTTTTATTTCTTGTTTTGCTAACATCATTTGGATTATTAATGGATGTATTATAATAAATATAATTGTATAAATACCTTCTTTTTTTTGTAATATAAAAAAGGTTTTTAAAAATAATGATTTTTCAGATAAAGTTGTTTTGAAATTCTGTTATTCTACCAGATCTGTTATGTTGGAATTGATTTTGACAAACTAATTTTTCTTTAACCTAATATCTACGTTTTCATGAAAATAATTGATGACATCAACAAGTTTCTTTATTTTAAACATAAATTTTTGGTCTAGGAACATTTAGTTTTTCACTTGTAAATTCCATCTATATAGATTTCTTTTAAAAATACAATTTCATCACCACTTTAACTGAAAAATATTTGAAAGATCGTTATTTTCAAAAATAACTTTTTTATAAATAAAAAGTTTATTTATGCAATTATTTTTATTATAATACTCCAGAGCGTGGAAAAACAAGAAATAAAATCTTTGCAACAATTAATTGTGGTCATTTTTGCTTTTAAAAAAATGGGTTATTTAGGTCACAGGCTAAAAATAACATGAGGTGAATTTCAAGTTTTCCTGAATAAACCTCAACTTAATTAATATAGAATCAAAGTTTATTACACAAGGAAGTTTTTCTCAAAGTGGAATTTCTGTAGTAAAGTCGGATGATAAATGAAAAATCGTGAATAATTTATGATTTTTTTAAAAACAACTTAGTTTAGCTTAGCCGCTCGAAAGTCCTCTTAAATGGTTTTAACAAGAACAAACTCTACATTCATTTGAAATAAATGTTGTCCAGTTAACAATGAAGCAATTGTTGATTACTTAAATTAAATATTTGTTTAGTTATCATATCCTATTCAACAAAAAACGTGACTTAAAAAAACACAAAGCTTGGATTTCCTACTTTTCTGTTGGACATGGCCGATTGTTGATAGGAACTTTCTCGTAGTTCTTGAGGGATGCTATCACTCCTATAAAAATTTTCCTCTGCTTATGGGACACCCTTTTTAGTGTGATCATGGGTTCTTGTGGTCACCCATCAAAGTGGAGCATCACTTTTGAAGTAGTACCATTAAAAATATTCAGGACACATGACTCTGTTTGTCTAACATTGTTTCTTAAACATTTTTACATTGGTAATGAGCAAGTGCTGCTTCTGAGAGTTATTTTCATTAAAATAATACAAAAAATGAGACAAAATATTTTTTAAAAAAATTAATTTTTCATTTCAAAAACTACATTAAGAGCAATGAAATATTTTCTAATAGGTTGTCCTCAGAATACATATTGAAGTATTGGTTGTTAATTAAGCTTTCCTGTATCCTTATTCTTTCTGCTTTGTCATTCTTGAGGTACTAATAAAGTAGAAGGAAATCAAAACATTGGTACTAGGTTTATTAAAAGGTTGAAATATGTAAATTAAAAAATTCACACAAGCTGTATAAAACTAATGCCTATCATCAAATTTGTATTTTTGTCTTTGTGTTTGTGAAGCTATCTTATTTTTATATATGCCATTTTTTGGATATTTTGAAATAAATTCCTACAAAACTCTTGAAATGAAGCAAAAGTGTCAAAACCTATGTATATCTTCAAATAACTAAAACTAGTAAATTATATCATATTTTATGTTGATGACAATATTAATTGACTTAAGAAAATCTCCTGTATGGTATTATTTCTTGAGTCTGCCATTAGTAATTCCTGGACAGTGCATAGACCAAGATCACTTGATCATGCCAAAAATGGTCAAGTATGTCCTGGAAAGTATGAAAATGACCATTCTCCAGAATCCTATTTACCCGCAGTTTAATAAAACATAATTTTCTCTTATCGCCATGACCCCTGCTGTATATTACAGTAAGAACACTTCTACCACCGAAAAACTTGAAATGGTCTGGTGTGAGTATTACTAGAATATTGAATATTTTAAAACCAAATGTGTTTAGTTAGAATTTTAAGTTAATTAAAATGACAAAAGTCAAACTAATGGAGTCTGTTAAAAGCAGACATTCAAATGAAAAAATAACTACCTATCTTAAAAGCCAAAAATGAATGAAATTCCAAGAATAATTCCTTAATTCTTACCTCACCAGTAAAACTACACACATTACACAAAGCAGTTATTTTTGAGCACTGTTTGTGGGAAAAATTACTCCAGTTGGAAAGAAAGGAACAGAGGTGCAGAATTTGCTTGTAAATGAATTGGTAGTAAACACTCCGGAAAAATACCTCCTGTTTGGCCATCAGATTAAAGTTAAGTATTTGCTTATTATTGGAAAAATAATCACAGCCTGCCCATTGCTGGTGAAGTGACTATTACTCCTGATTTACCCTACATAAGAAATATTCTTTTGTGAAATGAAATTGAGTAGACAGATATTAGATAATGTATTAGGATTTTAGTAACAGTTATAAAAAGTTAAATATATTCTTAAATAAAAATTACAACATACCAAAATAATTATAATATATGAAAAGACGATAATCAACATTACAATAAATAACAGCAATAATTAAAACCTCTGAAGATCAGATCGATTACTTACTAAGTTGAAGAGATGTTATAAAGTTCATAAATATTCAAGAAGCACATTAAATCCAAGCAAAATTAATACATTTGTTGCTTGTGATAAAATAATTCTTGGTGCCCTTATCATTTTATGGATAATATTATATATAATGTTGACATATAATGGTTATAAACTAATTAGTAATAAATTGATACAATAAGAACCACAATGCTTTTTTTTTTTAATTGATTGCCTTTTATTATTTTTGTTGGCATAATACTCAATGGGATTCCCTCTTTGTGTAATTATCTGGCAAATATTAAGGATTTTTAAAGTGTTTGTATATTTTAAAGAGTTTTTCTCATATTTAAAGCAAAAGTTACATTTCTTAACTAACAATAGGCTTCACTATTGCATCTATTTTCTATTATTGATATTTATAATGATGTACCACAAATTTATTGTTTCGATTATACAATTTAAGTATTATGTATTTTCAAGGATATTTATATCAGTCATAAATATTCATTAATTAACCTTAGCTAGGTAGATGATACTTCTGATGTTTTAGTAAATTACTTAATGGATACTTTTATATAACTAAAAACATGTGAATAAAACATAACTAAAATTATTTATATTTATATTTTATAATTTTACCATATATTTTTCAGATGAATCATCTAATAAAGTAAATGATGGCAAAGATGTTGAAATGCCTGTTAAAACTGTAACTATTAAGGAAGTCGAATTGAAAGAAACTACAATTTCTAAACCATCACCTACGCCCAAACCTACATCTACCCCTGCGCCTTCAACCACGTCTCATACTTCTACAACCACCTTACCTCCTTCATCAAGTGTTTCTCCTCCAAGTACCATTCCTTCTACAACCATGTCTACTCCTGCTCCACCCACAACTCCTTCCCCCACATCACCTTCTACTACACCAACACCTGTTCCTCCTGAATTTTGGACAGTTACTAATTCTACTAGTAACATAACCTGTATTGTAGCCAGAATGAATATTAAGTTGGAAATGCATCATGAAAATAAGGTAATAAATTATGTTTTTTAACAATTAAATCGTATAAGTTTTTGAATAAAATATATTTATTTTAGAATTATTATTTACAATATGTACCTTTGTGTTCTCTCTCTTTTTGGTTTATTATTGAAAATAATAAACCAAAAAGAGAGAAATTTGGTTTATTATTTTCAATAATAAACCATTGTGATCAAACAAAAATTTCAAAAACTCAATCCCAAAATTTGAGGTTTTACCTTTCAGGATATATAGAATTCGAAAAACGAATTAAAAATTTTTTGTCCGTCCGCACATTTTCTTCTAAAATACTGAACCACTTTTTTTTCAAATTTGGTTTAAAATTAGAGGCTACCCGAGGATGATCTTCCTTCATCGACATTTCTATCCGCCTTTTCCTTTCAAGATGGCGACCGAAAAATCTACGTTACTATAGACTGTAGCGCCTGAACGAATGTACCGATTTCAATGAAACTTCGCTAAAGTCTTCTTCTCGATGCCCTTTAAATTTATATATATATAAGAGGTTATTAAATAATAAACAAAATTATAAGAGTATTAATATATTTATTTATCTCAGGTGTGAGTTACTGACAATCAGATCAACTCTGACAAACTATTATTATTTACACTATTTATAATACAATTAAACACTGATATTAAAATAAAGTCAAATCTGGATTGGCAAGCTAATATTTTTTCTATAGATACTATTTCTTCCTTTGTTGCCCTCAATTCATTTGTCTTCAAATACTTTCTAATGTTCTGCCAAACACAACTTCCTAGATGGTAATACTATTACTGGGTTTTACCCACTGGAGCCAGGAACTTCTCCCATCCTCTCTTCACCCCAGCCAAAAACCAACTACTCGCCAAAACAAAAACCTTTGTCCCTCTCCTCTTTGGGATTTTCCTTCTTGGGAAACTATAGAGCAGCCATTTTCTTTTCTCTGCACTAATAGAATTAGATTAGCTAGTCTTTTAATTGTTAAACATTAATTTATTAAACCCTTTTTACTCACTTCCAATAAAGATGTACATTACTATATATAACATATTTCAACGAAAATAAGCCGGAAAAAAAGTTACGAGGGATGGTAAAATTAGATTTCGAATAGCTCAAAAAGTATACACTTGTCGGTATGATTATTTAAAAGTTTACGGATTTCCTAAAAGTTTAGTCCAATAATTGGAATCACCTTTTATTTCTTTTTCTTTATCACTTGGAACGTAATGTTACTTTAGACTTATAATTGTTTGAAAATAACAAACCTTTGTGAAATAATTTAATTTAAAATAATAATTAGTGAAATAATATTAATAAAACAGTTTTCCTATTCATTTTTAATTTTACTCACTTTTTTAAGATCCTTTAATTTCTGATTTTACTGATTGTAATTCAAATGGGTTTATCATAAAGACAGTCAACAAAATAGGATACATTTCACTGGACTAAGTTCCTAAAAAATTGCAATGGTGGGCAATAAAATTAAGATGGTTTCTGCACTAAAGACCTATTAGACTAAGGAAATAAAAATATTAATTTTTTATATCCTTATGAAAATAAAATTCAAAAAGTTGACTTATATAATATTAATCATTGGATTTTAGCATAGATTAAAACATGAATATGCACACTGGAGTCCCAATAATTTGAGTTTTGTTATTTTATAAAAGGACAACAAGATTTTCATTTTTATCCACGGAAATTACTGAAGGAATTTCCTCATGGTTCTTTACATAATGGTTCACATTATTCCTGATCTAGCCTGCCAAAAGAAAGTTAAAAAATACTTTTTACTGTGTTTGACAAGTTTTGTTAGTAAACTTCATTATGCTATATCCTAATTTTACAATTTTGTTGAAATAATATTTAGATGTTAAAAAATTCCATAGAAACAACAAAATATTGGTCATTGCACAATTAAAGCCAAAAGAAAATGGGAAGAAAGACAAAAGGAGCAGTCCCTAGGAAGAACTCCCAGTTAGAAGAGTTTGTTTCACATGATGTCATGTATGCCGTCCTTAATTCACTTGTACCAGCGATCACCATGGTAGCTGGTTACTACATTAAGTGTTGCCAATTTTCATGAAATGCTTAATAATTTTTATTTCAAATATACAACAATTTGAAATATAATCAAAAAGAATACAGAAAGTGAAAATAGTCAATGCAATTTAACGAGATCATACAGCAATCTGTTTTAAATTTGGCTTTAAGTTATGAAAGAGTGAAGATGGAGTTGCCTTTGCACAAAGTAAGTTGCATACATAAAGTGAAGGTCTCTTTTCTCCAAAATTATATATATATTTTGTCGTGCTGGCTGATGAAGTCAGCCAATAACTACATCACATGACTGTTAAAATAAGTAGTTTGGTTCTTGAATATTTGTGTCTTTCTGAATATAAATTTATATACCTGTGCCAAGAGATGGGCAATCATGTATAACTTGTTGAATGCAATATTACAGACACTGCCAGTTTTTTACACCGTTGACAAGATGTCTGTATATTCCATCGAGATATGATTTCGTGTTAGATAACAATAGGCTTTGTACTCTTGAACTGCTTTCTGAGAAATAAAACTATCTGAACTGTTTGTATCAATCGATGCTTCTGTAGTTATCCCACTGATTGAAACCTGAATGGTGGTGGCCTTTAATAAGCATTTATGACTAGCAGCTATTGAAGAAGCAACAGTGATACAGAGCTTAAAATTTGATTATGACTCATAGATCTGCACACCTTCAAAAAGTATCCTTTTTTCTGTAGTTGTTGCGAACAGCTTTACGTGCTTCATGTTTGTATTTGGAAATAGTTCATTGATATCATAGCACATAGGATATCTATAAATTAACTCAATTGTTTTGAATTAGGTTTGTTAACTTAATGTGTGAATAAATCATAATGTTATCATTGTATTGTCTTAATTCAAAAGAGAATTACCAATAAAATTAATGCAAAAATAAAATAAAATTTAGCATCTATATTTTTTTATAGAAAAATTTCATATCTTGTGTACATTTTATGCATATTTTATAATAATTTATATATTTTGTAAGCATTTATAAGTAAGAATGTAAACAATACTTTTTTACTTGTAAAATGATTCTTTTTTTAAAAATTATTATCTATATCCAAAACAAAAAATATTAACAAATTGATAGTCACCACTTGATTAATAACCTATTAGTGTGCCCCCAGGTAGTAAAAGATTTGGGACTCCTGATTTACAATAATCCATTAAATCTTTAAAAATTTTGTTAGGACGAAACTAAGTTTTGCAATAAGAAAAAAATGACAGTAAAATGAAATAGTCAACTACTTAATTTTTTTAGAAATAGAAATAGAAAAATCATCTTTATTCTGGGACTAGGTTCATTTAGAATAACAGTATTGTTCTTATAAATTAACCACAAATCTGGCCAAAAGATCTATTACAATGAATAATAACAAAATACCAGTAATAAATTAAGTATATTAGCTCTTAGGATAAATTAACGAGAACAGTTGGGTAATAGGGGTTCAACACTACAATATTGGAGCTAAAACAATAGCATAATAATCACTGAATGAAATTAGAAAGGAAAGCAAAATCTATTTTATAGGTAAAGCATTGTAGTGATGGAATATAAAAATTTAAAAAAAAAATGAAATAACTGTTAATATATAAAGAAATAAATTGTAAAAAAAAAAAAAAAAATGATATACATATTTTCCCTAAGATATTTAAGTGATTATGCGTAAAAATTAGGAGAAGAAAAAATTAAATAAAGTGTATATATATATACACACACATAGGGAGGAGTGTGTTGAAGATAATTAGAAAATAAAATACATTTCAAAGAAATACAATCTCATGAATAGGAAAATTAGAAATTAAGAAAAACAAATTTTATCTACTCACAATGTTTTGTTTTTATGCGGTTTATTCTGATTTAATTCTACATGAATATTAAAGAATAAGGTTAAGTATTTTTAAATGATTTATGTGTTTCAGAGCTTGATCTTAAAGGGTACCCCGCAAACATTGGAGGCTAACGGGGAATGTGGAAAAGACTTACAAACACTACAGATATTCTTGCCTCAAAATGGCAGTAATTCTGCCACTGTTTTGTTTAACTTCACTGAAACTGAGAAGACATACTTCATTAGTTCCCTCTCAATAATGATCCCTCTCAATTCTTCAGATAAAGGTGAAAAAATAATTCATGTTATCTACTATGTAGGTTTTAAATCATTATGTAGAATTAAGATTTGTTAAAAAATGGCAAATTATATAATTTTATATTGAAATCTTACTATATCTAGGTTATCTATTATCAGTAGTGTATAATTATAGTTGTATAGTTTCAATTTTTCATTTGTTTACTGTTACAATTTCCAATGGCTAAATTAGTGGTACAGAATGAGTTTCCCTTTTTTATTTATTACAAGTCAGATAATTATTTAATACTAGAATAGAACACAACTTATGTTAACTTAACACTACTTATGTAAGTAAAATAGAAAATAATTAGATGTGATAACAATAAGTACCACAATATGAAAAAATAAATAAGAATAGGAAAGAGATAAAATAATAAGGTGCATAAAAAAAATTACTGTTTTTCAACCTAGTATTTGTATTATTATTTATTTGATACAAAATATAATTAATACTCTAAGTATGGTCCATTGTTATCTACCATCATTAGCCATCTGTTATCCAATTGTTCGATCCCATGCTGTTATCATTCTTTGGGATGGCTGTCTACGAACTCTTTTCCCGCAATTACAACATCTGCAAAATTATCAAATTTTTTTCCTTGAAGAACATTAGACATGGATCTAAATAAGTAGTAATCCGATGGTGTGAGGTCAGAACTATATGGTGGATGAGGCAGGAGTCTCATATCAGAAGAGTTTTTCAATAAATTTTCACAAATTTCTAACCTCTTAGCTGATTGTTTGGGAGTAAGTTCATGAGGGACCAGTCTGCTTCTCTTTTTCACCTTCCCCATGGAGAGTAGATGGCGACTAACAGTATCTTTCGACACAACACACTCCCAGGCAAGTTCACAAGTAATCGTAGACGGATCAATATCCATTAATGGTCGCCCGGAGCCCTTCTTCCTTTCCGTCTTATTTCCACTGCTAAATTATTCAGATGCCACGCAATGCACTGTTCGAGGACACCATTCCCTTCATATTTAATATTTTCACTAGTTGCTTCTGCGGCTGTGAAATTTTTTTCAGTAATACCTTAAAATTATGAGAATTTCATAGGACACTGCCATGTTTCTTCTTTGAAACAAATACCTAAACCGAGGCTTTTTTTGAAGAAGTCAAATGGCCGAGGCCCGTCGAGAGGTGTGTCTAATATTTGATGACGTAGATTTAACAAAAAAAAAATGAATTCAGTGACCCTACCTCCCCTTGTGAGTAAATCACAGCATAGGAAAGAATGTTTGAAGCAATTAAGAGTGCTTCCTTAACAGGCCAGAGATTCAAAAGAAGATAAAAGTGGGTGTGTTAAAGTAAATATTTTTCCCATTCCGACGTGCTTGTTCAAATCTCGGGCCCCGAAATCAAGAAATATCGAATCAAGAATACTAGCCTCAAAATGAAATTTTTTTGAAAGATTGAGAGGAAAACAAGATGAGTTCGTGTATACAACTCCACAATCAGTTCTAATCTCATTGTCAAACCAGCGAATGGTTTAATAGAAGAGAATTGACTGAGATAGATAGCAAACATTTTAGGAATGGAACCTGGTAGAATTATCAGCAAAATGTATCCAGCTAAAAAACAGAGAAATGAGGAAGAGGACAAACTTGATGAGGTAAGTGATAAAAGACTTAAAAAAATAAATAAAAAGTAAAAAAGATTGCAATAAAAGAAGACAATTTGTGGCAGACCAACAAAACTGGAGTGCTCTATTGACTTTCTCGTCATATTATATAAGTGCTTCACAGAAGAATGAATCTGATGACAAATAAGTCTTAACAAGACCTGTTAGTTATTAACTGTAAAATGATAGGCTTCCTGTAACTATTTAATTACTAAATACTCAGTTTATTTATTTTTTTCAGTTTATGAAACCAGGAATGTAACTCTCTATGAAACTGGAAAAAATACCTCCTACTCTTGTCCATCATATATGCTTAATCTAGAACCAGATAATAGAACCACTGTTAGATTAAGCATGGGTAACATACAGGTCGAAGCTTTTAGGTTCAGTAATACTACTAAATTTTCTCAGGGTAAGTGGAATTATAATTTTATCATTAAAAATGGTTATATTTATATTAAGGAGTTAAATATTGTACTTTTTATAATGATTACTTTCAGCATTTATCTTTAAAGCCCAAACCCGCTATTGTTTTATGTATCTTGCTCTACTGCAATTTTTTTAAGCCCTATATTCTTTAATATGTCTTTTTTCTTTAAAAGAAGAGTAGAGCCTAAAATCTTGGTTTACTGATGGTACCAGATCAGCTATAAGGTATTTCTGTTAGTGATGGCCAAACTAATTATGAGTAGCACTTTCTGCTGTTCTCCTAATTCAGGTGCCTACCATGCTCTCCCTCTCCCCACCGAACGAAACTCAAGACTTCTTCTTTTGCGTCATCCTGTTATGCCTATTAGCATAAGGGAGCGTTTAGCCAAGATTGCCACTGTTCTCTGTTTGTTTACAGATTTCTGGCTTGGCGGATATTCTTTCCTCTCCTTTTGCTCATACAGTCAGGGCGTATTCTAGGTATGACATCCTTGATCGGTCTCTAGCCCTTCTACTGTTGTTCTGACTGTTTTTCTTCTTTAAGAACACTTTGATATCTTCCTGTAACCTTCCTATCTGAAAGATTTTGCTTTTGTCAGTATTGAAAACCACCCCTTTTCTTGAATATTCCTATATATATGTGGCTTTTTTGGTACTTCCTACAACTAAGCCTTGAGACTATTATTGTTTGTAACCTCGCGTAGGCTGAAAGCTTCTGTAGTCGGCCGGTGCACGTGTTCCTGCCCTACTTATGCGTTTAAATCTCCCAGAACTATCTTAACATCGTTAGTGGGATAAGCCCCAAAAGCTCTCATGATATCTTCGTAGAAGCCATCTTTATCCTCCTCTGGTGATACCTCTATTGGTGCATGGCAGTTGAATAAAGAGATGCTAAAGAATTTTCCTTAAAGGCGGATACAGCATAGATGGGGAAAGATGAGTGTAAATTTTAAGAATGGTTGACGGGCTCTTCCTCCAACAATATATCCAGTACAGAAGGTGTAGTGAATAGGTTTATGTGTAGTGGCAGCTGTAGTAATTGGTGGTGCATACGATGGAGGGGGAAGAACAGTAGTTTATCTTATGTGCGAAAATTCAACATAATTATTGTTAAACCAACAAATATGATATTGAATATTTAATAGTAAATTTATATATGTTTGGACAGTTGTAGGATTTTTTTATTTTTAATGTACATATGGATATACTTCAAAACATCTGAACAAAACAATTTTATATATTACAGTTTGTATACATTAAACATAGGAGGAAGAGTGACAGCCTTGATAATATCGATACATTTCTATAACTTTTTCAACTAAAAATAAATAACATAAAAAAACTAAAAATTATTTTTGATTTCAAAGTTTGCACATTCTTAAAATAAAAATACAATGTTTTTACAGTCTAACCAGTTATGTTAAAATATCTACAAGAACATTCGCTTTAAAATATATTTATACTTGTACATATTAAATAAGTTTTTCCAACTTTCACATGAAAATGGAGGTATCCACATGAGAGGTACTACAATTTGGTTCTATATTATTACCAATTACCCCTGGATATAAATAAAAATTTTAATAATAGGAATAATTTGGTCATAATAAAATGTTATGTACCTACTTATAGGCCTTAACCTTGCCAACTAGTCGACTTTTCTTATTTTCTGAATAGATTTTATTTATTCATATAGGTAGGATAGGATAGGGATTTTAGGGGGATAAATTGCAGGATTATTACATTCATTTTTCATGTGGCTTATTTATTATCAATTTTAATTTTTTTTTTTTTTTACTTTAAATTATTGGGAGAGAGGAGGCGAAACTATTTTCCTGGCCCCCACAATATTTTTATTGGGGGAGCGATTATCCTCCCGAAGTCTGTGCCTATGGTCAACCATTTATCCACTATCGTGTACTATAAATAAATTAATTTGCATTACTTGTTTTATTTTATGTACTGTTGAATTTACTGTGAATAAAACTTTTTTTTTATTATAATTTAAAATAAATGTTGAGTAATCTTTTAATAGTTTAGTTATCATTATTATAAACTTTTTATCAAAGAACATTTCCATATAAATCTGATTTCAATTTCAGCTGTCCAGTGCCCTAATAATGAAGTTCCTGACATCGTTCCTTTAATTGTGGGACTTGCTTTAGCTGGTCTTGTTATAGTTGTTGTTATTGGTTATTTTATTGGAAGAAGAAGATCCCAAGCTCGAGGATACTTATCTATGTAAAATTAAAATAACAATGTTTATTCTGTTAGATAAATAGGTTTTTTCCATTATATCTAAACATAAAATTTTTAAGATTATGTTATCAATTTATAAATACATTTCCATATTTTAAAAGGATATTTTACTTCATTGATGATGCTATTAAATGGTATATAAGTTTTACTTTATTATACATTTTAATTTTAATAAAAATTAATTTTTGTTGTATATTCATTATGTTAAGTTTTCTATTTACAATTTTTCTATGGTAAATTTGATGGGAAGTTATCTTACGAAATATGACCTGTAGTTTAAAACCAAATGCTTAACAATTTAATCACATCACTTGTCTAATTAAAAATTGTATCAGTTCTAAAACAAGACTTTTTTGGTAATTGTTTATTAAGATTCCACAATTGAAGGTCTGTCCACCAACCAAACAGATTTGTATATGTTTAAAAGTGTTACATATACATAAATTTGTTTAGTTAGTTATTGCAACTTCATTGCTGGCATTGAAGCCATCTAACGATTAACCAAAAAAAAAAAAAATCTGCTTTTGATTTGTTATTAGTATGATGTAGGTGTGCAGTATGAAATGTTGATTTTAATTTTTAATTCTTGTTAGCTGATGAATATTGTGAATGGATAGTTTAAATTTGTATAGTCATATGCCAACTCATTAAGTAAGTATATTATTAGTATTTAAATCAAAACCTTGTATACTAACATACATCATTACCTAGTTAATCATTGTATTGTTCCTTTTAAGCTTTTAGTGAAGTAAGCCTTCTGCAATGGTGAATAATGAATATTTAATTTGAGTCCACAATCTATTTTGAAATCGTTAGCCTGAGGTCTTAGTTATGTAAATAAAATTTATGAATATTTGTAATACAAACAACTTATGTATGGTTTTCAAAAACAAAAAAAGGTTATTTTTTTACATATTTTTATTAAATTTGAGATTTTTTTTAATCAAGATTTAGTAGCAATTATTAACTGGTTAGGGATATATCATAATGATGATGTTTGACCGGTAAATTATATTTTTAAAATAAATCTTCTCATTTTATAAGCTATCATTTCCTGATTTAGTTTATATCTTTAGATATCTAATGTGTGATTATAAATGCTGTGACTTTGTATAATTGTATGAAGTAAGTTTTTTATTATATCTTAAATAAAATATATAAAATATAGCCATAGTAAAGTGGCCTTTTTACTCTTTTATCCCTTCAAAAATATACTTCTGTAAAAGTATCTCTTAAACAATCATTGGGGTACATCCTTTCAAAATTTTGCAATTTATGTGAACACGTTTTGTAAATTTACAAAAATAGTTAATCAAAGAAAATGCTCATTCTGTAACAAGCAGGTTTTCAGAAGCTTTAAGTCCCTCAGTACTCTTAGTCGTCGTCATCTTCAAAGTTGTTAAAAAAATAAAAATTCAAAATTAAATTCTAATTGCTGAAGGCAATACCAATTGTCTTCAAAATAAATGAAGCCCAAGCAGGCCTGCTTAACTGTAAGGATCAACAAAGTCACTTAATTCCAGCTAGTCACTATGCCTTCTTTCCTGAAAATTACTGGAAACAGCTTGACTTCCCCAAATACCTAATGAAAGCATAAGAAACTACATAAAATATATTTTAAAAAATGAATCAACAAAAGAAATACGAATATTAGATTTTTACAACAAAAAAAAAATCCAATTTTCAATACCATGGCACCCTCAAATATGCAACAAGGCAAGAAAGGACATAAGCTATATTTAAAAAAATCTGGTGCGCGCAAAACACAACTTTCACATATCTCTATATTTTCAATTCTTTGTAGGCTCTAAATCTCAGTATATAATGTTCATAAATAATGTAAATATATTGTTCAGAGATGAGTTATGTAGTTTACAAAAACAGATTGAGTACTGAGATTTTTATTGTCTACCATTGATATAATTAATAGGGCTTTTGTTATTTTAATGGTGTTAATGATTTGTTAGCTGTAAACTTTAAGCTGTAGCTCCATTAAAAGTTTACTTCAAAAATTTTATAATTGCTCAACATTAGCAGAAAATAATTTCTATTCAAAGTAGAAACGTAAGCGAAAGTTGTGTTTTGCCTGCACCAGATTTTTTAAATATATCTTATGTGGTTTCTTGCCTTGTTGCGTATTTGAGGGTGCCATGGTATTTAAAAGTGGATTTTTTTTTGTTTTTGTAAAAATCAAATATTTTCGATTTAATATTCGTATTTCGTTTGTTGATTGTTTTTTTTAAATATATCTTATGTCGTTTCTTATACTTTCGTTGCATATTTGGGGAAGTCGTGCTGTTTCCAGGAATTTTCAGGAAAGAAAGCATAGTGACTAGCTGGAATCAAGTGACTTTGTTGATCCTTACAGTTAAGCAGGCCTGCTTGGCTAAACCTTGCATTTATTTTGAAGAAATTGATATTGCCTTCAGCAATTAGAATTTTTATTTTTTTAAAACTGTGAAGATGGCGCCGACTAAGAATACTGAAGGACTTAAAGCTATTAATGATACATCTCTATACAACCTAGCAGGCAGTAGATCGGCTGATGGGAAGGTTGTATTCTCAACTCGTCTTTCATTGTTTGCCCATTTTTCAGCGGAATCTCTCTGATTATTCACTGAAAACAGTTCAAGTGTACATCAGAGCAGTTGATATTTGCTGTTTGATATATTTTTACCCCCCTTCACTTATGATATGCGGCATTGATGTCCAGTAAGGTGCCCACTAAGAAGACACGGTCAGATGGCGTTAGTACCCTTCGTGATTCACCAGTCAAACTTAGAACTCGTCGCTTGCCTGCGAGAAATCGCTCCAATAACCACAGTAAACACTTCAGATACAGAACCTCAGCCTCAACCAGGTTTGTCTTCGCAAGAAATGGTTGAAGAATCTCCTTTCTTTACTTCAAGTGCTTCAGGACAGAGAAGTAATGGAGTCAGCAACAATACCCAGGGAACCAAGGCCTCCTCCGATATTTGTAAATAATATCAAAAATTTCCGGCTATTGTGTACACGACTGAACGAAGTATGCTCCGGCAGTTATTCTTGCCTCAACAGGAACAACGATATAAAAATAATACCAGATACTGCAGAAAGCCTACAGAAAAATTGTGAAGTACCTGTCAGAAACGGATACAAAATTCTCTACGTACCAGCTGAAACAGGAGAGATCGTTACGAGTGGTGCCAAAATATTGTGGCAACGTTCAAGACACTCCACTGATCGCCGCTCTTATAATTATTTCACTAAACCATTAAAGCAGGAATTGGCCTAAAGTCAAAGTCGTCAGTCCTCCATGTTTGGGGCAGTGCGTTCACTTTATTTTGTGGGAACATTGGCTTTTTTAAAAATAAATAGTTACAATGATCACAACGATATGCAATTTATAAGGATATGGAGGGAGTGCACGGTAAGGGAGTCTGGTAAACAGACTAAGAGTGAAGTACTTACGGGAGCTACTGTAAATAAAAGGATTTTAATTCCATGAATTAATTTAACATTTTCTGAGACAATACTTCCATTCAAATTTAAAAGAATAACATTCTTATTAATAGCTGCAGTTGCTATGACCTTAATCAAATCGCATGGTCAAAGTTTTGGAAAAATTTGTGTATTATTGGGATGTCCAGTAATTTCGCATGGACAATTATATGTCGTAGCAAGTAGAACACGTTCGTTTAAAATTTTGAAATTTATGTTCCCAATGGTAATGGGCAAGGCTATGTACTAAACAATTACAGAATATTCAAAAAGAACATTATTTACAAACAAGTTCTATATAAAAATTGATTGATTTAAATAGAATTGAAATTGCTAATACAAATTTATTTTTTCTTGCTTAATCATAACATTAATTTATTGTGATAATAACACACATAAATTAAAATGGAGATCTGTTGCACGGGTGCTTCATTAACTAATGGACAATTGTGCAGTATTTAAGTTAAGAATGAGCACAACTATAGAGTTTAGTTTTAAATTTAATTTATGAGGTATCATTCCACTAACATTCAATGATATAATCTCTTCAAATAATATTCCGAATTACTTCAGTAAATGTAAAGTTTTCGATTTATCCAAAACTAAATTATTGAAATCTTTTTTGCAAAAGAAAAAGTACTAAATGTTTACACCTTTGTATCTTTACAACAAATGGTCCGATTTCGATGATTTTTTTTTATTTTGTAGGAAATTCAGGAAGCATTCAAATATATATTGATATTATCAATAAAAATGTGTATTTTTTGAGTTATTTGCAAATAAAATACTGAATTTATTATAAAAATTTAAGCAGCATGTTTTCGGGAAAGTATGTTATATACATAAATTATAAAGGTTTTAAGGGGAAGACTTTAGAGAAGTTTCATTAAAATTGTTGCAGCCATTTTGGCGCTACAGTCTAAAGCGAATCACGTTTTTCGGCCGCAATTTCGAAAGGAAAGGCCTGATGATAATGACACGTATAAAAAAACACTCCTAAATCGTCTTTGACATTGTGTCAATATTTCAAAGAAATCGGTGAAGAACTTTCGGAGATTGGCTGTTTTGAACAAGCTACCATTTATATTTATATTTATTGATAACACTAAAGCTCGTCAATAGATATTAAACAAAAAAAGAAGGAAGGAAATATTTTGAATAATAGAAGATGAAAAGGGACTGGACCGTTTTGTGTTTGCCAATTTATATAATGATTTCCTTGAAAATATGTGAGTTCCGTTAAATAATATTAATTTTCACTAACTATTATTTATAATTTTTCGTCGCTATCCATTACTTACTATGACTTTCTATATTAGATATTGTTTTCTTCTAAAATTCTCCGCTTTCCGATATATTATATGTTTACCTTCTGACTAGCACTAGCGGATCCAGGATTTAATTTTGGGGGAGGCTTCAGCCCGAAAGCTTTTTTTTTTTCATAAAAATAATGATAATTACTTGGAAAAAAAAGAAAGAAACTAACTATCTATACGAAATGGTGTTTAAGTGATTCCTGAAGTCCTTTTAAATGTAATTACACGAACAATAATACTTTAAGAGACAATTTTTAAATATTTTTTTCCATAAAACATGATTATATTTTACCATTTTGAGGGGGTTCTTCAGCTCCACGGGCGGATCTACGGGGGGGAGGGCTTTCGGGCTGAAGCCCCCCCAAAATGAAAAATATAACCATGTTTTATCGAACAAAATATTAAAAAAGTATCTCTTAAAGTGTTATTGTTCGTGTGATTAATATTAAAAGGGCTTTAGGAATCACTTAAAAACCATTTCATACAGGTAGTTAGTTTCTTTCTTTTTTTCCAAAGTAATTATAGTTATTTTTATGAAAAAAAAGCTTTTGGGCTGAAGCCTCCCCCCAAATTAAATCCTGGATCCGCTAGTGTTCAGCTCCAAAGCCCTCTAGCCTCAGATGCGCCCGTGCTGACTAGTATTTTCAGAAATTCATTTTCGACCTAAATAAACATTTTTTTTTTCCATTTTCCAATTATCAAATTCTTTCAAAAGTTATATTTAGCATTTTTTCGTAACTCTTAATAATGAGATGGTTAATTGTTTAAAATAAAATGGTATTTTAGAGAAAGACATGTTGAACATTTAAGCCCTGTAAAGTGACATCAATGGGGATAAGACCTCAATGATATTAAAGACCACTTAGTTATACAATGATACACCCAGGTTAAATCAAAATCGTTGGAGCCGTTTTTGAGAAAATTGTGTACAACCATTGATATAGTGGTAGAAGTGCCACTTCCGGTCAGCCGATTTTGACGAAAAAGCTGCTGTAACATCTGAAGTATATACAAACCTTTAATGCTCAATTTCACTTTCATACAATTTTTCAATGATATATTTGGCGTCAGTTATACAAATTTGGTCAAAAGTTATATTTGGCGAAGGCGAAATATTTGGTCTTAGCTTGGTTAATACTTAGATACATTACCTGGCCTGCTACCTCTATAGCTAAAAAGCTTCTTTCTAAGTCTGTAGCTAAAAATCTCCTTTCTAAGTCAATAGCTAAAAAGCCTCTTTCTAAGTCTGTAGCTAAATAGCTCCTTTTTAAGTTCCTCTGTGATCTAGCATTTGTAATGACTTGGGTTTTCCAATTATTTATTTATATCTTTTTAGAATAACTAATACTTAAATGCGTCATAAAAGAAGTAAATAACAACAAATATCGTATGATTATTATATTTTGCTTTAAGTGATATTCGTTGGTAATGATACTTTGATTGTGATATAAATGTGGTATTTATACTTCACTTGTATTGGAAAACCCTATAAATAGTTACCTCTATGGCTATAAAATGGCTTCTGATATGGGTTAACTCTGGAGAATGGGGGATGTGGCAGTGTTGTCATGCAACAAAATAGACCCCTTCTGTTTGACCAAAGATACCTTCATTATTTTCACTTTCTGGTGCATTTATTTATTTATCTGTTTTATAAATGACACGTATATATTAAACCTTTCTTCGGAAATTGTTTCTGCAGAATTGTTTGAATTTTATCTAATTCTGGAACTTGGTTTCCTTTAGTTGTTCGAACAATACTTTTCAGTGTTTTAGCAGAAACAAACAAATGAAATATTCTCTTTGGCTGATCAAATCATATCATTTGGAACCCATCTCCTATGGGTTCCAAGATTTCCCTGTGGTAATATTGAGCCAACCTATAATCTTGTTCCATTGTCATCATTATTTTTCACAAGGGAATTACCTTATTATTGATTAAAAAAAAAAGCACTAATTAAAGGGGAAGAAAAAATACCATACACTGTAATAATAAATTATTATATTTACAAAAATTATTTATTAAATTGAACATGAATTATAAAATTGAACAGTATAATATTGATATAATTGTAAGAAATATATATTCTTTACTTTATTGGTTATATTATAGATTCCAACTTAATCTAAATATGGAATAATATAATTATCTAAAACAGACATGTTTGTATGCCAGTCTGAATGATCTAAGCCACTTAATGTGACAATGTCAATTTTTTTTTGTGAGTCCATTGTTAAAAGTCCAAATGAATCATTTTTATAAAATAGCTGATCCCTCATCTCAATGACAGATCCATTGCTATCAAAACAACCAAACTGACTGAAAAAAAAAATTAAATTATACGAAGGTTATTCACTTTTAAAAGTACTAACACTGTTATTGAAATTGAATAACATAATAAGGCATGCCTTGGAGATTTTATAAATTATTCTACATCCTTAAAAACATAGGATGATAAGTATATTGATTACCAATATATATTATTGATGATTATCAATTATATATTGACACTTAAAGGTGTGAAAGAGTAGATTGTTACAGGTTTATGAGCTATGCCACTTGGAAAATTTTATGAAAACTAGAAAACATTATAATCAATAGAAATATGGTTACTGTTAAAGGTTTTGAAATGCACAGGTTGTTTCTGCACAAAAAAAAAGAATGAACAGTCGTAATGATAATTAGATAGTGAGATTTAAGCTGTGTTTTCATAATAGAGCATAGAAATATATTAGTTTGAATGTTAGTTTTTACATAACATTTTTAATAAACGCCTAGTAAATTTTTTGTTAACATATTTTAGATATAATTTAATGACATGTTAAGATCTAATATTACATATAACAATACAATAATAATGGCAGTAGATGTATGTCTTTATTGCAGTGGAAGATTCCTGTCTACAACCTAAAAAGAAACTTTTTCTCAGTTTCCTCAATATTAGACATGGTTCAGATTGGAGTTTAGAAACGTACAGAGATGATTTTAGACGTCATATACAGTTTGATAATGAACTTTTATAAATTACATATTTTAAATTCCCCGCCCTCACCCCCATCCCGGGAAAATCCCATATAGCCTAAAAGGCGAGGTAGGAAACAACGGAAAAAAAAAATTCATTTGCAGTTCACATCAAACTGTATGAAGTCTTCAAACATCCAGAGAAATGATTTACTGAAAAAATTCATAGGATCAAACTTATTGTAAAAGTTTTAATTTTGTATAGAATGTCTTTATCGCTAGAAGTTTCTCTCATATAAGCCAAAAAGTGACTTAGATGCCCCCTCCAACCTTGGCTCAACTCCCAGGAGCAGAGACTTTTAGTATGTTTACTAGGTCTTACCTTACTAGGGTCAAACAAAGCCCTAAAGTAAAAAATTTTGTTCCTTTCATTTATTTCTATATCCATTTTTTTTTTATGAGTTAGTAAAGTTTAACTTGGTATATTCTCCTAATTGCTGTATAAATGTGCAAATCAATCCTGTATGTTTATTATTTATATTCTTCTTATTGATAAATAAATGTGTCAACAATCATCTTGAGATCAGTTTGTACTGAAATATTAGTTGATACCAATAATCCGTCATATCTGCCTTTTAGCCTTGGTTTATCGAGATTGGTAAAGTTTCAGTTGAAATATTCTCCTTATACCTGATTAAACATATCAATCCATGGTTTAGAGCTCGACTTGTATACAAATTTGAGGTGGGTAAAGTTTCGGTTGGAATATTCCCCTAATTCCAGAATAAACATTTCAATCTGTGGTTCAGGTATCGACCTATATTAAAAAGCTAGATATTTTGGTCTTAAGGGCTTTATTTTATCGAGATCAGTAATGTTTCACTGGGAATATTCTTTTTCCTGAAGAGAAGATTCTATATATTGCTGAATAGACATTTCAATCAATCATTTAAGGATCCACCTAGACAGAAGCATGAGCTGATACTGATATATCTGCCTTTCAGTCATAGTTTATTAATTCATGTTATATATCTCTGAGGCTCCAAAGCCCACATTTCTGTTGTCGTATATTAATCTAAAGGGACTTATCACAGAGTAAATAAAATATACTATTATTATATTTCAAAATGGCTTATTTGCAAGAAAGGTCCAAAAAAGGTCTATTATCAATTCCATTAAACTATTAAAATAAATGTAAATAACTGTTAAGAAAATCATGGCTGTCAAATTAATGTTGAGCTTATATGAAGCTGAACAAGTTGAATATAGATTATGGTTACAAATTGGCAATAAGAATAATTATAATTATATAGGATCATTCCATATCAAATGAAGCAGGGACTGACCCTGTGGATCTTGGATTTTGATATTTTTTTTGGTTATTTTATGAATGTATTAATATAAAAAAATACAAATTTTTTCAACTTACGGTTTTTGTGTATTCACTTTAAAATAATAAAAAAACTGTGTGTGTGTGTGTGTGTTTATAAAATAGTTTTGAGGCTATTTCTCAAGATCTATTTGACCTAGAAAGCTGATACCAGTGTCATCTTTTTTGGTTGTTTATGCTCTTTCTTTTGATATACAGCATGACTATATTATAAAATTATATTATTTTTTAAAGATAAAACAATTTATTTTTGAATTTTGAAAAAAAAAATCTTTTAAATTTGATTACAGAATTATATGTTATTCTATTGTAGAATATCGTGGCTAAAAGTGTGCCAAATTTCAAAGTGTAGAAACCTTGGGTTCACTAGATAAGAAATCACACATCAAACAACTTTCACTTACCACCCTCTTCTTATCAGAAATAAGTATTTTCAGACAAGGGGGAAGTGAAAGTAAAAATTATAAACACTATATTGATTTATATTTCATTGTGGATATTTTTATTTGTTTAAGTACACTTATATATACAAATTTTAATATTTAAATTGCTGTAATCTATACAATTAAATATTAAATAATACCAACAAAATAATTTAGGAAAACCGCATATGTATATGTAGAGAATATTGTTGGAGTATTTTATTATACTCATGTTACGTATGGCCTGTTCTAATCTTCGGGCCAGCTCGGCCTCGCTCATATCCCTTTGGCTCCTTTATTACAAATATTCTCTGTTACGATCTCATATTTCTCCTTTAGTTAATTATCAAATTCTTTTATCTTTCATATTTAATTATTTTTTATATTATAGATCAATGTTAATTGTTTCAAATAAAAAAATTAAAGGTACTTCACAGGAAGCTAATATTGAAAATTAGCTATTTAAGCCCTGTTAGAGGACATCAATGAGAATAAAACCTACATAATATTTAAAACTGCTTAATTTTACACTGATATAATGAATTTAATCAAAATCGTTGAGCCGTTTTCGAGAAAATAGTAAAAATGATATAAAGGTTAGCCAATTTTGATGAAAAATTGCTGTAAAATCCCATGCATATAAAAACCTTAAATATGCAATTTCGCTTTTGTACGACTTTTCGTTTTTGAGCTAGACTATCACACCAAAAGTCAGAGAGGGGCAAATGCTATTTTGAGTATCAGGTACCGAGTATTTTATTCAAATTTAATCACTATTGAGAATTCAATAACTATTTCAGTTAATCATATGACATCAACTGAAGTAGTATTAAATTCTTTGGTACTAAAAAAAATCAGTATTTAAGTAAAATACTTAGTGCTCAGTACTCAAAGTAGCTTTTGTTCATCTCTGCCGCAAGTTGCCTGGCAACCAGATAACCGAAGTTATGAAAGATTAAAAAGTAAGAGTTCGCGTCTTTGTGTCGGAGGAGATTTTAGATTCCCTGCCGTCACCCACCGGCCTGGGGAAACCCTATATAGCCTAAAAGGTGAGGTAGGAAAGAACAAAAAAAAAATAAAATAAAAGATCTGCCTTTCAGTCATAGTTTATTAATTCATGTTATATATCTCTGAGGCTCCAAAGCCCACATTTCTGTTGTTGTATATTAATCTAAAGGGACTTATCACAGAATAAATAAAATATATTATTATTATATTTCAAAATGGCTTATTTGCAAGAAAGGTCTATTATCAATTCCATTAAACTATTAAAATAAATTTAAATAACTGTTAAGAAAATCATGGCTGTCAAATTAATGTTGGGCTTATATGAAGCTGAACAAGTTGAATATAGATTATGGTTACAAGATGGCCCAGAGAGTTAGAGCATCATAATCTTGACAACCTTGAGTCTGATGACACCAATATAAATCCAGTCTGGACATGAAATTTATTTCTTTACTTGCTTTAGTCTTTCTATGATTAGTTCTGAGTTTATTAAAATATAAACAAGTCTGGAGAGTGTGGCGTAGGCTTGAACGCCGGCCCTACCTACCCACCTATATCTAGTTCACAAAATAACAAACAGTATGGATTTTCCTAAGGTAAAATTCTCATGATCCTGAAGAAACTACTACACAGTTCGGGTCTCTGGGTGAGGACTGCTTTAGAAGATTCATGGCGCAAGTTGAAAAGTAGAGATTCAAGTATAGGGAAGTGAATTCAAGTATAGGGTGGGTTAAAATCGATTGCAAATGAGATTAAGGCTTACAATTCAGATATCGTGGCATAGAAAGAGGGTTCGCTAGCCAGGGGAGAGATTCGCAAATATATTATTTGGAACGGAGGAAGCAGAAATTATTGTTTAGGTACCGGTTTTCTTATTAGGAATAAATTTCTGCAAACTTTGAGGGACATACAATTCTTTAGCGAAAGGATTTTGGTGACCATATTCCAGAGATATTGGTTTAAAATGATGTTGGTAAACATACACTGTCCGACTAAAGATAGTGGTGATGAAGCCAAATATGAATTTTATGATAAACTGGATAAAAAATTTATGATAAACTACCCCAAGGCTGCATGAAAAATTTTTTAGGAAACACTAACACAGAGGTGGGAAAGGAAGAAGTTTATGTAGTAATGATAATGTGATTCGGCTAATATATTTTGCCACCTCGAAAGATCTAATAATTAAAATTACAATGTTTAAACATAAGAATATTTACAAATATACTTAGACATCACTTGATTCGAAAACACAATATCAAATCGATCATATCTTGATACAACATAGATGGCAAAGTAGTATAATTACTGCAAGGTCTTATCGTGGGACAGAATGTGGGTCAGATTATGAATTAGTAATCGTGAACCTTAGACAAAAACTTAATATAGAAAAGAGAAAAGAAAACCATTTTGATGCCGAGAATGTTAATTAGGAAAAATTTAAAATCCATTCATAAGAACTCAAATCGAGCTTGAAGCTAAGAATAGGTTTGAAGCTTTAGAAACTTCTGGTGGGGCAGTGATGATATAGGTAAGATATGGGTAAGGATCAGGGATAATATTAAAGAGGTCAGTAACTCCTGTCTTGGAAAAAAAAAGAACAAAGCGTGGTTTGATGAAGATTGCTTAAATATGAGTGAAAAAAGAAAAGCTGCTAAATTAAAAGGTCTAAATAATCCTAGCGAAAACACTGTAGAGTACTTCTGAGCTTCTAAGAATGAAACTACTAAATTCATCAAAAATAAAAATAGCTAGTATATTAAAAATAAAATAGTAGATTTAGGAACTAATAGAATCGAAAATAAAGTAAGGGACATGAATAAAGATATAGGGATGAAAATAGCTACATCCGACCCAGTAGATGTATTAAGTAAGTTTAAGAAACACTTTGACAATATTTTAAATATGGGAAGTAATAACCTGAGTCCTCCTTCTGAGTACTTAAGTGACAAACCATTAATCGAAGAACCAAGTAAAGAGGAATTTCAAATAACTATCGGAAAATCTTATAAAGCAGCAGGAACAGATAATATTCCTAGTGAACCAATCAAGGCACACGGGGAAGCTGGAGTTTCTATAATTCATTTTTTGGTTAAAAAGATCTGGGAGAATGAGAAATTGCCTGAAGAATGGAAATAATCTCTTCTTATTCCAATTAAAAAAAAGAGCCTGAGGACGGATAATAACTATCGAGGAATTTCACTCCTTCCTGTATGCTACAAAATATTCACAGTAAAGTTAACTACTTGAAATGAAATACGCCGAGGAAATTATCGGAGATTACCAATGCGGATTGAGACAGAACTGTTCGACTATTGATCAAATATATTCGTTACGGCAAATATTGGAAAAAAATTAGTGTACAACCAACGGTGTTGTTCATCAGCTTTATATTGATTTCAAAAAGGCTTATGATTCCATTGACCACCAGAAGCTATATAATATTCTAATTAAGCAGTGTGTTTAGGCAACTTTACAATTTTATTAAAAAAGGCAAATAACTCAAATGAGTTCTACTTAGGCAACATTCGACATTATTTTGATAGTGGACTGTATTTCTATTGAATGTGGCAGGTTATATGAATTATGTAAAGTAAAACTCACCCTTTTATGCTGGTATATAAATGTTATTTGGTATTTGAAGGAAGAAGGGCACCCTTCTCCAATCTTAGGTGATCCTCTCTGCTCTAGTGGCTGGCCTGGAATGGGCCAAGAAAAGCTCATAGCTTGGGCAGTATAACTGTTATCTTTTGGATCTTTATCAGATCTGTTTTTACGATTCACCGTAAGGCCACGCTCGGGTACAATATCATTTACACAAAACAGAGGGGATCCCAAAAAAATCAGTGAATTTAGCTAAGATGTGTAAGTCCAAAACATTCAATTAAGTTAGAATCAGTAATTATTTGTCCAAGAAATGTGGGGTTCGTTCAGACTTGAAACAAAGTGGTTCCCTTTCACCTGTCCTATTTAATTTGGCATTAGAACATGCCATTAGAGAAGTGTTACATACCGAAAAAGGTTTGAATCTGGGTGGAACAATATCCATGCTTGGGTATGCTTTTGATTTGGTACTGTTAAGTGAAGACACAGATACAATAAAACTAAAAACCACAACATTGATGAAAGCTGGTAAAGAACTGGGGCTCGAAATAAATATGGATAAGACAAAGGGTTGGCAGCAAAAATGGTGACAAATTCAATGTTGTAGATATTGAAGGAAATACGGTTTATGATATCAAGAAAAAATAAAGTTGAAGAAGTCAAGGCTAGGTTAAAGGCGGATAATGCTTGCTATTATCAGTTGCGAAACTACTCAGCCTGCGGCTACTGTTCTGAAACTTAAAAATCAGAATTTACAAAACCATTATCCTTCCTATGGTTTTTTATGGATGCGAAACGTGGCCACTTACATTGAGGGATGAGCAATGTCAAAAGGTTTTTGAAAATAAAGTATTGCACAGAATATTTGGCCTGAAGAAAGATGAGTTAACCGGATAATTGAGGTGGCTACACAAGGCTGAATTGCGCGAACTGTACCCATTTAATATAATTGAGATGATTAAATTGAGGCATTTAAAATTAGTAATAAAAGAATTCCTAAACAGTTAATATGCACCTTACCACTTGCAAGTGACCGAGGGTAGGCCGAAATGAAGATGGGATGATTGCATTAAGGCAGATTTAAGTCTGATCTGATGGGGTTAGGTTTAGACAGTGCCCAGTTTATGATGTAAACATTGATGCAAAGAATCTAGATATTGATTGGTGGTATCGGCATCGAGCCTTATTATTATTATAATTAACAAACATCAAATAGCCTGATAGAATTTTTTTTTATGTAATGCAACAACAATTAAAATAATAATTATGGGTGATAAATAGTCAGGACGCATTCATTATACAATTACTCATAAGCCTTTGAGTACTTGAAAGCCTTCAGTGCTCAAACTACGCCCTGAAGATGAACCACATGTTTGGGTTGAAACGTTGGCACAAATAAAAAAAATTGTATAATGACTGCGTCCTGACTATTTATCACCCATGATATGTAGAACAATCGACTAGCTTCCTTCAATAAAATAATAATTAATAGTTACAACACCATTCTGAAACATTCTTAAGACTTATATGAACCAACATTATGCCCCCATGGTTAACATCAAATATGTTATTATAACACCACAGAGGCAGTCAAATTAAAATCTTTTCAATTTCAAAAAGTAAAAATGTTTGTATACCTTGATTGCCATGGTGTGATAACACTATCATCAGGTCCACCAATCAAAACTAGTTTTTTAATTTTTGTAAATCCTTTCTTAAATAACTTGCTATTTTCTGATAGAACCAAGTTGTTGACATAAGGAAGAAAAGCACTGTATTCAAAAAAAAGTTTTTGATGGTATGGGTCATTCCAGTAATTCCCAACTGACGTATGCTGCCCAATAGATGAATAAAAGAGCTCATATGCTGTTTCACAAGCCAATGTAGGAAAGAAAATATGAAGAAACTTTGCTGTAACAAATTAATTTGAAATTATTTTGAAAAGAACATAATATGTAATAATCATGAAATGATAATTGAGGCTGTAGCTACCATAAGGACTCATAAGCCCTTGTGCACTTTTTGCGGAGAATGCTTTAATGACTTCAGTAATATTCCAAGAACATCTCGGTACAAAATCTTATTCTAGTCAAGAAAAAAAAAAAGAAGTTAATATACCTGTATTTTAACTGTGAAGTAGCTGAGTGGAACTAGAAGAAATTTGAGACAGTGAGAAGCGTTAAAAGGACTACCGAACAATCAGCAAAATAGCTAGCCCTCTAATCCAGTGATATTTAAATATAATGAAATATATATTTTAAGTTAAAATTGTTTTAAAACATTCTCGAGATCTAAATGAACAACTTGAACTGTGTAGCTTAAAAATTGGTCGATCCGTTCGCTCAATCATTTGTTACACACTTTTTAATACTTTGTTGCAATGATTTGAGCCTTAATTGTTTCAAAACATTCACAGCATCTCACTCAATAATTATTGGAGCCATAAAAATTAATAATCAATCCAGCTCTTAGTTCAAAGTATTTTTACAACACTTTTAGTGGATTGATTAAATCACATTTTATATAAAAATTTGTTCGTGTTTTGAGTCCGATTATTTCAAATCAATCATGGGATTTATTTATATTAACTGACTGAATCCAGAGTTGAATAATCACAGAATATTTGATGATTAATATTGCTTTAAAGTTGATGACTCAGTCCAAAGCATTGCAATAAGACAATATATATCATGACATATTACGAAAAAAATCTTGCAAAAATTTATTATAAATTAATGCTGAATCTTTTTTTTTTTTTAAATCCTTCTTATAGTTTTTCTCAAATTATTTTCTAATTTTACTCCCCCCCCTTTTTTAATTTTAAATGTTCATTATTTTTCTTATTAATTTTTATTAATAAAATAATTAAGACCGAAAGATATAAGTTGAACTATTCTTTTTACAAAAGTTATTTATCTTTACAGGTTTTGGAAATTATTTTACTCATTATGATTGCTATGATTGCTGAGAACTTCGATTCCTTGTTTTGGGTCTTTTGTGTGAAAAAAAAAAAGAATCTGTGATGTCACCGATTTTACTAAAAATCATATAAAGCAGTGCAGTGTTCTTCCTTAAATAAGTTATCCAGTCATCAGGTTTACTGCAAAGCTTCTAGAGTAATTTGATATGAGAATATTATCTCCTCTTTGACAGCCATACTTATCTAGATATCCTGTTTTCCTGACATTTCAAAAGAGTAACAGAAAAAAAAAAAAAAAAAAGGGCTTAACCAACTCCAAAAAAATCCTATATCGATATTATTTTGGGCCTTTAGTCAATTGAAGAAGCCACTAGCTTAGTGCAAGACTAGTGGGGATTAACGCTCCCTTGGTCTCATGAGTTCAATACATAGCACCAACTCATTCAGAGCAGTACACAATTCACACACACTTACAGAAGGTCATCTACAGTAGACACCATATGAGCACCTTTCCTAGGAAGCTGCTCCAGATGGGGGAGCAAACAGGAAGATGGACTGGCCCATATGATTTTTATTGGAGCTAGAGAAGACCATAAGAGATACTAAGATCCAGACATTTGATACCTTGATAAACCATCTCGAACAACAACTCCTTGAATACACTGACGATATCATTATAGCAGGAAGGTCATTAGAGGTTGTTAGGGATGCATTTAAACAACCTAGCTTCCTTCCTCTTCCAAGTCATCCAATCCCGTTGTCCTTCATACATCTTCGAGCTCCTTCAATTAAAATCCTCTGTCTAATTCTGCAAAACCCGTTCCCGATCTTCGGATTTATAAACAAGGGCCCACCGAACCGCTGCTTTAGACAAATCTTATATTATACAATCATCATCCCTATAGAATTCTATCTCTTCCTGTATCCGTCGCTCCAATATTCTTCCCACCTTTAAATCTCTCTTTTTTTAATATTCGCTCAGTCCCTATAAAATTGTAAATATGTATATAAATTATTAGCTCATTTTAAATAGTTTTATTTCATTTTTTCAACTGATGAAGTTAGGAGATAACTTATACTTTTTTAAGATGAGAAGGAGTTAGTCGAGGGTGCGATCAAATAAATAAAAAAATTAAAATATATAAATTATTTTAATTTTTGCCGACGTTTCGACCCACTTTGCAGGTCGTCTTCAGGGCGTAGGATGTGGCACTGCGGGAGGCAGTTCATGCCAACTGCCTCCCGCACTGCCACATCCTACGCCCTGAAGACGACCTGCAAAGTGGGTCGAAACGTCGGCAAAAATTAAAATGATTTATATATTTTAATTTTTTTTTTATTTGACTGCACCCTCGACTAACTCCTTCTCATATTATATCAACGGTCAACCATCTCTACATCATTATACTTTTTTAAATTTATTACATATATTTATTTTTTTCATGATTATTCTCTGAGGTTCGAAAGCCCACATTTCTATCTCTGTATATTATTAAAAATGGACTTGTCCCAGAATAAAGAAAGTATTATTATTATTAAAGAATGTTGCTGCTAAAATGGGACTTGAGAAACTACAGTAAAACCAAATACCTTAATGTGAATCCTACAGTGTCAAGTCAGATAACAGTTATAATAATAGGAGAGGTAATTGAAAAGGTTTAAGACCTTGGTTCACAGGTTAACACAATGAACCAATGATATTGGTACGGTAATCAAAAGGATAATAGTAGCCCCAAACCAATGCTATTATAATAATTATTATAACATACAATAATCATTAGTATTTTTATAATGATAATTCTCTTTTCCAAGAACTTCAGTGGCTATTTTGTATTTTGTCGATCACTACCACAATGTATTTGTACATTTGCAAAAGATTTTTTAAGGAATCTTAAAAATCTTTTGCAAATGCACTAAACAGAAGGAGAGCTATAAGCTATAACTTTCTCGATATACCTCTCTGTATGCTGCTTCAAAGTGAAGATAGTCCCGACGTGCACCTTCAGCAATCGAAAATAACGTGGTTTTCATCATAATAAACCTACATCGTCCACTTAATATCATCCAAACTGCAATTGACCCAGTTTTAGCAGTATCTTGAAATATTCTGTTCATCTGTCTACTATACCTTCATTTAGCTATATAATGGATACTGGTTCTTTTTATCTGTTCCGAGGTTTTGGTACTTCCTTTCTCGTTCGCTTAATGTATTATACGCGTTTTTCCTCATTTTAAGATCAAATCCAAACAATCAGTTTTGGTTTATAGAAGAACTTATAGGGTCACCCTTTCTATCTTTCTTTGTGCATAGAGAATAATTCATTCAATATTAAATTTTCCTATTTATTTATGATATAGCCCAACTTCTGCACAAAATAAAGGAAATAAAAATTAATTTTTTAATTAATGATATATGAGTTTTACTAAACAACCCGGTAGCTATTCATTATATATAGTTCAGATTAGGTATGTATTATTTTAGTTTATAAAACAGGTATTAATATGACTCATTTCCTGGGAAGTATATAAAATTTTTAATTACCTCTAAGAATTAGTAAATATACAAATCACAGTGTTAAATTACAACGTTAAATAAAAAAAAATCAAGATATTTAGCAAAGTATTTTTTAATTAAGTTTTATTATTATAATTATATCATTTTTACAATATAGGTCTTCTTAAACGACCTACGTATAGAATAAACGAGTTTAAATTAAAAATAAAAAATTTAAAAAAAATTAAATTTTTTTTTTTTTACAATTAAATTATTGCATTAATATTTGTTCGTTAATAAAACCAATATAATGTACCAAAAATGTTATTATATCACTATAACTAAGCCATTTATGTGCACTGAATGGTGTGGTAGAGGCCTGTAGGTACCCACGCCAGTACCGCTTTTCTGCCGCATAAGTGCGTTTTCTACGGAATTGCTTAAACATTTGTAAAAAATAATCAGCGTTTTAGAAAGAGAAGTATATTCTCCAGATGGTTTATTTCAGCATGTTTTGCGTTATTGTAGGCCGTTTAATTACAAATGACGCTTGATTTGTAACTTGAAAATTTGTTTGTTAAAAAAATTGACTTTACTGGTGTTTTTCATAGCCTAAGCCAATTATTTTTTAATATTTCTTCACGTTTTATTATTCTATAACTATTCAGCTTTAATAAAAGACCAACTATGAGGAAATTAAGCCAAATGCTGATTCTCAGTAACCAAAAAACTAACTAAAGTCAAATTCGTCAATCCGCCATCTTTGGACGCCATTTTGGAGCAGTGCGTTCACTTTTTTTTGTGGGAACATTGGCTTTTTTTTAATAAATAGTTACAAGGAACAGAACGATATGCAATTTATAGGGATGTGGGGGAAGGGGAGGTACACGGTAAGGGGGTCTGGCCCACAGACTAATTGTCCTGGCACCATTCTTTCAGAAGTCTCATGGTGTTTTCAAGCAATCCAGAGATCGTATCTGTTAATTTAACCCCTATCATTACAGCGATATTGTAAGCGTATCCCTGAGAATAAAATCCTGCCACATTCAATTTAACAATCAGGGGGTCGACGACCAGACACCACAAAAGTGGAGATAACACACCCTCCTGTGGACATCCTCCAACAGGTTGAACCACAACACAGATTGTTCAGCTCAGATTTAACGACTCTCCCCCTCAGAACCGAATTAATCCATTCCGAAGCCAAGAGTCCGACCCCTCTACTTTCTAATATCAATATCAATGAAGATAACCGCCATAATCTATTTCTGCGATAAGCTTTTCTCAATTCTAGAGACCAAGTGATGCAACGCTGTCTCACAGGATTTGCTGGCTTCATAGAGAAAGTGGGCGCAGTGTAGCAGTCTTTCTACTAATGTAGAGGCCCTAATGTGTCTATCCATAATCTTTTTCAGGGCTTTCAACAGGAAAGAAGTCAGACATATAGGTCTGTATATTTTGGAATCGTCATAAGACTCTTTCCCAGGCTTGGTTTTATTACAAACTCTTATCTCCCTCCACTTATTAGGAATATATATGCAAGTGCTAAACTACTCCTAAATAACTCCAGAAGATAAGGTTTTACCACAGGTGGGCCGTTTTGTAAAAAGGCCGAGAAAATCCCATCAGTACCAGCTGACTTGAATGGTGAGTTGAAATTAAGACAAATGCTGATTCTCAGTAACCAAAAAACTAACTAAAGTCAAAGTCGTCAATCCGCCATCTTTGGACGCCATTTTGGAGCAGTGCGTTCACTTTTTTTTGTGGGAACATTGGCTTTTTTTTAATAAATAGTTACAAGGAACAGAACGATATGCAATTTATAGGGTGCACGGTAAGGGGGTCTGGCCCACCGTGTAAATGGGCTTGGCATAAATCTACAGAAGATAAATCTTTGTACCTTCACTAACAGAATGAATATCAATATTAGAACACCACTAACAGAATGAATATCAATATTAGAACACCATCATTAAATGGGTCATCATTAACAATCTGTAGTGAAGTAAAACATCTTGGGATTACTCTAGATAATAAGTTAAACTGGCTAAGTCATATTTAAAAGATTAGTGTAAGGTTATACGCTGTTTATGGGCATGCAGAAGAATTGCTGGCAAATTGTGGGGGCTGAAAACCCCTAGTATAGTCCTATGGCCATATATACATTATAGACTCTACAGAACTGCGATTAGATCCTTAATCCTCTATGCGACTGTTGTGTGGTGGCATAGGACAACTGCAAGCAAGTCTATAGTGCTGCTTGGCAAACTTCAAAGGCTTGCGTGCCTCATGACGACTGGAGCTACGGACTGCAAGTTCTCTTGGTTCTGGCACCATTACATTTAGAGGTGGAAGCACATGCTCTTAGAACTGCCTATAGATTGGATAAAATGGGAACAAGATCGAAATTTCTGACATTTCGGAGTCATTGGATCGTTTTTAATAGGATTGATAGCAATGAGGTGCATGCGATGGACTCTGACCTTCAAGTTTCTAATTATAGAGATATACTATAATTTGTCTATAATAATTTGATGATAGGCAAGAATAACTCGCATAGACCGTGCAATGGAGTTAACTGTTATAACGATGGATCCTTGATGGAGCAAGGATCAGGGTCTGGCGTATGAAGAAAGGATAAACCTAATGAGGGAATATTCATATCTCTAGGTAGATATACGTCCGTCTTTCAAGCCAAGATTCTAGCTATTGATTTCTGTGCTCAACCACTTATAAGGGAGGGCATTATGAAGAGTTTGATAACAATATATACAGATAGTCAAATGGAAATTGGTGCCCTGAATAATTATGCAACTCATTTAAGTTGTTAGATGAATGTAAAGGCAATCTAAACCTTTGTAGTGCCAACAAGGTGAGGGTAGAATGGGTGCCTGGTGCCACTCAGGCATTTCATGAAATGAGAAAGCCGACTGCCTTGCTAAGAAAGGCTCTGCACAAGTGCCGGTTGCATGATAGCTTATCTGTGGAATGAGACTTCGCTTTGCCAAAAGGCATATTACGTCAATTGTGGATAACAAATTTAGTCTACATTGGGAACAGACTAGGAAACAAACACATTCAAAGGTGTTCCTAGTAGGGCTCTGTCACAAGAGAAGTAAATCACTTCTTCTAATGGACAGGAGCACCATTAGATGTGTGACAGGACTGTACACTGGTTAATTAAATAAGCAGCTCTTTCATTTGGGTGTCAGAGAGACCTCCACCTGCAGACTGTGTGGGCTGGACGATGAATCACATTAATTTGGCTAGACTGCGATACTTTTACTTTGGACGCGATCAAATCACTGACCCTAAAAGCTGCAAACTAATAAATCCTATTGGTATTAACAGGTTCGCAAAGGCATCTGGCCTGTTTTAATAGAGTCTAGGACGATGCACAATAGGACTTCTTGAGGTCTTGGTGCATTCTTATGTCAGAAACAAAAAGAAAAAAAGTTGTCCCTTCGGTTTCTCCTCCACAGCCCCACCCAGTTTTCTGTGTGATAAGAAAGTGATCTGAACCACATTCACCTCCTCTATATACTCAAACATTAATGGTGCTAGTCTATTTTATTATAATGAAGTCAATCAATGATCTAATGTATTTCTATAATATATCATTGGAAAGCAGAGAATTTCAGAAAAACAGTAATTTCTGAAAATTAATACTATTCAACAGAAATCAAATGTTTTCATGGAAACAAAATAAAATTCCATATCTAAATGTAAACTTTTAAAATTAACTTTAAGTTTGAAAAAAGTATATATAATACATTGAATCGAAAAAATGTAATTGTTTAAAAACTATTTTATTGGACTTTTGTTGAAGAAGAAGTGGAATATAAAAATATTTTATGAAACAATAAAACATATTTATAACTTTAAAAACATTTATTGAAGTTAAATAACTTTAGATCTGATGATATATTTAAATAATTAGATATATATCATTGATTTATTCAAAAAAATCATTAAATAAATTTTTAGAAAATTAGATTAGTGAATAGTTTGATAAATTTTCCCTCTGTGAAATCACAACATTATTCACTTACAATTAGTGTTACGACTTTTGATCTATTGATGCTGTATTGAAAAGCTTGGAAATAATAAGAGTTTATATATATGTAAAAAGTGATAGAATATTAATTGCTATAATTTTTACTATATAGCACTATTCTTAGATTAAATCTCAAATCTCTCTTTTTATAAGACCTCAGAGACTTGAGTTATACGGTTCAAATAGACTGTTGGAGTTACGAGGTTTGTATTGCCTATAGTCGATATTATAAATACGGTTTGTCTTACTTTGATGGTCTTAATGAGATTTTATATTGATAAATATGACTGAAATTCATAAATTAACTCCATTAAAAATGCAATTCAAACTTGTTGTAATAGCCTAATTTCACCAGACAATAATTTCTGTTCAAAATAGAAAGTTAAGTAAAGCACCAGATTTTTTATATTAATATATACAATTTATCTTCTATTGTTGTTATGATGATATTACAATTAATAAGAGTAGTGTAATTAATTAGGTTTTTCAGTACAAACCTATTGTATTCATATATAGATAACAAGCAAATATATAAATTTATGCATTTATTAATTCTCGAGTTAGATCTGTCAATGAAGTGAGAATGGTGACAAGATCGGAGAAGGGCATAGCAAGATTTGGTGGCATATTATAAGGGTAATCCTTAAGCAGAGATTGTAAAGATAAATAACTTGGTTCATCTGTAAAAAAATTCAAAATACTCCAAAAATCCTAACTGCAGTCAAATTTTTTTTCAAACTTCATAATTTATTCCTATAATCACTAATCCTTTTACAAACTTATAGGTGTAAACAAGGCTATACACCTTTACTGCCAGATGATGACCCAAATATACAAAAATATTACTTTAATTTATATTATTGAATTTTCTTAATACTTACTTGTCACTTTCTCTAATTAGTGGATTCTATTCTTTATGAAATAACTCATTCTCCTTTTTTAATTAATTGTAGTTCATTTTTTCAATTAAACTTGTATTTTAAAATTTTTTATATTATCTTTAAGTTCTTTAAACCTTAGATCACAATATAACTGTTTTTCATACTATAAAAAGGAAACAAACACTAATTTTCAAATAATTATTAATATACGAACATCAACTATGAATGTTTATTTAAAATATTATAGAATATGTAATATTCATTACTTACTACCATATTGGCCACATTGGGGAGCACTTAATGAAATAAAAGTGTTAACATTATGGTCAGGATAATATTCTAAAATTGCTCTGGAAAGCAAACCCCCTTGAGAATATCCTGAAAACAAAAACAGATAATTAGATAAATAAACTATATTAATTAATACTATTTAAAAAAAAAAAATTTGTCCTCCCCTTCCTCGCCTTTAAGGCTATACAGGGTTTTCTTAGGTAAGGAGGTGAAGGCAGGGATTAATGGCAGAGTTAAAAGACTCCTCCGGCACTGGGATCGAGTCCATTTTAATCAATTTATCTTATATATCAGGTTGTCAGGCAACCCGTCGTTATCCCGTTCAGCCACTCCGCCCCCCCAAAAAGGAATATAATGGAACCTGTCTTAAAACTGTAACCTACAGCATATCAAGTTCAAATGATAGCCACTGGAATATCGAGACACATAATAAAGGAATATGGTATAATCAGACTTGAACCAGGAACCTTCACCATGACAAGTTCACATGATAGCCACTGGACTATAGAGACACTTAATAATTGATATTATGGTGCTAGCTGCTAGAGACATTTTAGAGCCCACCGTCAAACATAGGACCACATCTTCTCACTTAGGATGATTATTGAGAAGTCATGGGATAGAGGAAAGAGTCTGTACTTGGCGTTCCTGGACATTAAGGCAGGATTCGATTCCATCCCCAGAGAGGAAATATGGAATATGGCAAGCTTTAGCCACTAAAAATGTTCCCACAGAATTAATATTAATAATATGCAAGTGGAGGACAATACGGAGGATCGTGGAAAGGTGGAACATGAGGACAATCCTTGCTCTAGTGATGGTTTTCGCAGATGATATTGTCTTCATTGCCAATTCCAAAGAAAATCTGCAACAGGCAGTTACTGAGTGGAAGGCTGAACTAGAAAGAAAGGGCATGATATTAAATGTTGGAAAGACCAAGGTGATGCACATTGGTCGTGAAGAGGGAGAAGTTTTGGTTCACTGTAGAGGAGAAACCTTGGAGACAGCACAGGATTACACTTATCTCGGAGTAGTGCTCAGCAGAAATGGTCCAAGAGCTCTCAAACAAAATTAAGAAAGCAAACAGCATATACTACCAGCTATGCAGCACAAGGCTGGGGAAAAGGGAATTGGAAAAAAGTGTAAAATTACACATCTTTAAGTCCATATACTTACCTACCCTTATGTATGGAAGTGAGAGCTGGGTCCTGCTGGACAGGCACTGGAGTAGAGCTACTGCTGCAGAAATGAAGGAGAATAGCAGACAAAACAAGGAGTAACAGAGTTAGGAATGAAAGGATACGAGGAGACCTGGAAGAGGGAAACAATCGAAAAGAGGCAGTTAGATGATTTGATCATCTATACAGAATGGATGAGGACCGTGATCCAAAGAAATTTTTTGAGGCCAGGCCAATCGGACGCTGTCCTTGAGGAAGACCTAGATTGCTATGGATGAACCACATCTACAGGATTGTTGAAAAGAAGGGGAAGCCTATCAGTTCAATGAAAGCGCTGGCTCGGGATCGGGGCACCTCTACACTGAGGCTAAGGAGGATGATAAAGAAGAAGACACCTTGCAATACGAATATGTTTGCAGCTAGAACACTTAGGAGGATGATGCCTGATGCCTATTTCTGAAATAAATCATACGATTATTTCATTAATCAATTATTTCCAAAATAATGAATATTTTTGAAATAATATTTTATATTGCCAATGAAATAACCTCGATGAAATAACTACTAAATTTATTTCTGATATAATTATTTCAATATTTTAACATTCATTGGAATAAAGTAATTTATTTCGAAATGAGTTATTTCAGAAATAAATATTTCAGACTTACTTATTTCATAAATAAATAACATAGACATAAAGTTCTGAAATAACATAAAAAATCCACCAATATATAAACTGTGGATTGATATTCTGACTGTAGTGAGTAATTGGAGAGAAAAATGGTTGGGGGGATCAGTGAAAAAAAAAATTAGTAAAAACAAATAATTTTTTTTTTTTTAAATAAATTTTTTTTTTTAAATAAATAGTTTTTTTTTAAATAAATATAATTATTTATTTTTACTGTTTTTTTTTTTTTACTGATCACCCAAACCATTCTTATCTTCAATATAAAAATTATATAATATTTAAATATATAGTATAACGCTACCCGATCAACCTCTAATCCGCCTGTGACAATGACCATAGGGTGAATATTTCAATTTAGTTTCCAGTCATATTCTTTTTTGCATCCATAGTGGCCTTATGGATTTTTTGTATTGGCTAACAGCTTAAGCAAGTTAAAATATTGTTGAGGTTTGACATTCATTTCATTTTTTCTTTGCCCCTTTTCATTTTCTGCAATTAGACAGACTTGAGGCATTACATTCACTGCTGTTTGAAACACTTTAGTCTATGTACAGCCTGAGTGTGGCTGTCAGAAATTTAATTTTTTCTTATGTTCCCTTTTTGTTTCCTGCAATTAGACGGGCTTGAGACATTATATTTACTTCTGTTTGAGACACTTTAATCTTTGTAGAGATTGAGTGTGCCTGACAACAATTTCAGTTTTCTTATGTCCCTTTTCATTTTTTAAAATTACACGGACTTGAGGCATTACATTTACTGCTGTTTAAGACAATTTAATCTTTGTAGAGGATGAGGGTTCCTGATGCTTTTTTTTTTCTTATGCCTTTGTTAGGTGTTTTTAGATGTATTTGAGACTTGAGATAAGTAGGAAAACGAACAAAACACTACTTATCGGGTATACTCAGTCTTTAAAAAACTTTAAATTGCTCAAACAATAGTAAATTTAAAACTGTATTCACTATGAGTAGCAGAAGAACTAAATGACGAGGCAAGGAAAAAGAAATGGCTGTCGGGCATACTCAACCTCTACAAAGATTAAAGTGTCTCAAACAGTAGTAAATATAATGCTTCAAGTCCATTTAATGGCAGGAAACGGAAGGGCATAAGAAAATAACGAAAGGGCTTCGGGCACACTCAGCATTTATACAGATTAAATTGTCTCAAACAGCAGTAAATGTAATGCCTCATGTCAGTCTAATTGTAGAAAACGAAAAGGGACTTACGAAATATGAAATTGCTATGGGGCACCCTCAGCCTCTACTACAAAGATTAAATTGTCTTAAACAGCAGTAAATGTAATGCCTCAACTCCGTGTAATTTTAAAAAATGAAAAGGGACATAAGAAAACTGAAATTGTTGTCAGGCACACTCAATCTCTACAAAGATTAAAGTGTCTCAAACAGAAGTAAATATAATGCCTCAAGCCTGTCTAATTGCAGGAAACAAAAAGGGAACATAAGAAAAAATTAAATTTCTGACAGCCACACTCAGGCTGTACATAGACTAAAGTGTCTCAAACAGCAGTAAATGTAATGCCTCATGTCAGTCTAATTGTAGAAAACGAAAAGGGACTTACGAAATATGAAATTGCTATGGGGCACACTGAGCCTCTATAGAGATTAAAGTGTCTCAAACAGCAGTAAATATAATGTCTTAAGCTCGTCTAATTGCAAAACATGAAAATGAGCATAAGATAAATGAAATTTCTGTCAGGTACACACAGCCTTTTCAAAGGTTAAAGTGTCTCAAAAAAGAGTACATATTATGTCTCAAGTTTGTCTAATTGTAAATAACCAATAAGAGCATAAGAAAAATGCAATTTCCGTCAGGCACACCAAGCCTCTATAAAAATGAAAGTGTCTCAAATCGGAATAAATATAATGACTCAAGTCCATCTAATTGTAGGAAACAAAAAGAGAACATAAGAAAAAATGAAATTTCTGTATGGCACACTCAGCCTCTACAAAGAATAAAGTATCTCAAACAACAGTAGATATAATGCCTCAAGTCCTTCTAATTGCAGAAAACAAAACAGGGGCATAAGTGACAGCTAAATTTAGAGTGAACAATATGAATTTTATTATAGTTATTTCAATACCTTTTGCATCTATCAGAACATTATTTCTTAAATAATCATTTCAGAAATAATTATGTCACTAATCCTGAAATAATTTATTTCAGAAATAATGCCGAAGTTCTTTAATGAAATAAAATATGACTGCCTTTTTTATGACTGCTCAAAGGGGATGTGGATGTCTAAGACTAGTTTTCTGAAAATTTTAAGTATCTATTACTGATATAATGTAAGCTGTCTGATTTAATATATTTTTTCATGAATAATTAATAAATTGACTATAAAGGGTGTCTCGTAAGTAGAGAGAAAATTTTCTAAGAGTGGTAGCAGACCTCAAGAGCTACAAAAAAGTTCAAATAAACAATAGGTCAATTTTTAGTAGACAAAGTAGGAAATCCAAGTTTTGTGTTTTTTTATTAACTGTGTTACTTTTTGAATAGGAAGCAATAACTAAACAAATATTTAACTTAAGTAATTAACAATTGCTCCACAGTAAACTAGAAACCATTAAAAGAGGACTATGGTTGTGGCTTGTTTGTTTAGTAGCACCAAAAATTTGATAAAAATATTAAATTACTATATTTCTTAAAACAAAAATAACTAAATACCTATCAAATGTACACCACTTGGATGAAAAGCCATAAACTGGAGAATATCTGAACCAATTTCCATCACTTGATGCCACATGGGTCTCAAACTTGACCATCCACCAAACCTGTCAGTCACAAATACTTTGGTACCCGGATGAAGCTGTGAGAAAAATAAATTTAAATCTATTATATCAATGAATTAAGATAATACAAGACTACTAAATAAACCTAATAAACAAACTAATCATAACAAGAAAGAAAGAAAAAAGTTTATTTTATTCTGGATGATAAATATTCATGACGCATCATTATAAAGTTTTTATTGGTGCCGACGTTTCATTCCAAACAAGTGCGTCATCATCAGGGCGTGTTTAGAGCACTGAAGGTATTTAAGTACTGAATACCTTCAACACTTGAATAAACTTCAGTACTTAAATATACATACAGTACTTAAATAACTTCAGTGCTCGAAACATGCTCTGATGATGACCCACATGTTTGGGTCGAAACGTCAGCACCAATAAAAACTTTATGACTGCATCCTGAATATTTATCACCCATGATATGTAGAAATTCCTTTGTGTCTCTTATAAGTGCATTTTTAAGGTTGGCTGAAGCGGCAGAAGCTTTGAGAATGTGTATAAACGAGGAAAAGATAATGCATATGTGAGCAGAACCTGAAACCGAGACAGCAGTACGAGTACCGGTGGTTATGGACCCATTTACGTTTCACAATGTAGACCAGTTTATCTATCTGGGAGCTATTGTAAGCAGTGGAAATAGAATAACCCTGGAGGTCAACCAGCGAATAATAAGAGCAAACAGGTGCTATTTTGGCCTCAGCAAACACTTGGAAGCTCTGCCATACCAGCCTGTTCTCACATATGGATCGGAAGGCTGGACCCTCTCTAGCAAAGAAGAAAAATATTTACTAATCTTTGGAAGGAAGATCCTTCGGCGTATCTTTGGATCTGTTAAGGTCGGTGATGATTGGAGAAGGAGGACTAACAGGGACCTATATGATCTGTATGGGGATACAGATGTGTTGAGGTGTATCAAGCTTGGGCACCTAAGTGGGGCTGGCCATGTGGCCAGAATGTCAGAAGAGGAAGTCCCAAAGAAGTTGCTTGATGGGAAGCTCTGCAGGACAAGAGGGAAAGGCAGACCAGGTCTAAGATGGGAGGACGCCGTCATCTGGGACGCCAGAGAAGTATTGCATTCCCGCAACTGGCGAGCGACTGCGCAAGATAGAGCCATCTGGTGAGGGCTCATTCAGGCGGCCAAGGATCACACCGGTCAGTAGCGCCATGGAGTTAGTTCATGGTATGTAGAATAGTTTACAAACTTCCTTCTTCATTTTATTCTGGGATACTTAGGAGATCATGGGGCCATCTTCTTTTCAGACCCCTCTCTGGATTATAAAATATGTTAAAAGCAAGTAAAAACTAAAAATAATGAATTATAGATAAACCAAATCTATATGTTAACTAATTTGCACTTGCAAGCAATTTAAATGATCAAAGTAAAATAACTGATAGGTACCACTAATATACCAAAATAAAAAACAAGAATAAAAATTGGTTCGATGAAGAATGCAAGGTCCTAAACCAAGAATAAAATAAAGCTTATAAAATAATGGTCTGAAACAAACATTAGAATAAGAAGAGAAGCTTATGTTCACAGACTTAAATGGTTATTTAAGTCACAGAATGCCTGTGGAAATAAGGATGGACCTCTGAATTGCAGAAAAAGCTAAATATGGAGAAGTGTGTTTCTCACTTTTCAACTTCAACAAGACCACTTGGATTCAACCATTCTTAGAGAGAGGGATGGTGAAGATAACATTGAACCTCCTAATAAGAAGGAAATAACGAATGCTATTGAGAAGCTTAAGAGTAATAAAACACCAGGAATCGATACCAGCTGAAGAGGTCAAATACAATAGAAGTGAAATGATAAAATTACTGCTGGAACTTTTAGTGGATATTTGGAGAGAAGAAAACTTCCCATCTGAATGGAATGGAAGACAGTGAATTGCCCTATTCTTAAGAAAGGAAATTGGAAAAGAAGTAGTGTAGCAGAAAGAAGCAGTGTAAAGACCAACCATTGGCCTCTGCAGTTGCCAAGAAGAAAGTAATGACTATGGGAAAAATATGGTAAATTTTGCTGTACTTGAAACATGATTATAGGAAGCACAGTTAGACAAATCCATAAGACCACTTGGAGATCACCTGATAGAATTAATAATTTAAATCAGATAGACCATCTGCTAATTAGTGCATGACACAGAGCTAATCTGTTAAACTACACAGCATAAAGGGGCACAAATTTAGATTCTGACAATTATTTTATCTTTGCCAGGGTTAGAGCGTGAATCTCTAGCGCAAAGATATGCAAATCAGATGTTCAAAAGAAGTGAAATACAATGAAACTGAAAGAAGCTGATACACACAGTCACTATGGAATATACTCAGGATGTATGGAAGGGTCTGAAAACATTCATAACCAAGATAGCAGAAGCTACTCTTGGGTTTAAAGATGGCGAAAGAAGGTCTCTATGGTTCAATGAAGAATGTACGAGGGAGGGTAACTGAAGGAAATATGTTTTCTATATGCTGATGATACAGAAACGATACTCAAGACAGGCAACTGAAAAATATAGAATGGAAAAACAAGTTGAGAAGAGATTCCATATAAGGAACAAGCAAGAATGGGAGAATAAACATCTTGAGGAAGTGGAGACGCTAAGAAATGTCAATAGGAATAGGATGTTATTTCCAAAAATTTTATAAGGGAAGAATCCTTTATAGAGAGAGACAGCAATCTTGCAGAAAGGAGGATGGTTCTCTTCTTATTAATAAGAAAGATGGCTGAATATTTTAATGACCTACAGAACGAGAGAGCAGTTAAATCTGAATGGGATAATGGAAACCACAACATTGACAGGATGATAGAGAAACAGAACCCGCTGAGCTAGAAGATATCCAGGATGCGATTGTCCCAATGAAAAGTCATAAGATGCCAAAGAGTAACATTTATGATATGATATTCTCCATCTGGACATAGGAAAGAATAGAATATGTCTCTACATGGAAATATGCGACCATACGCCCAGAACACAAGAAAGGAGAATTGGAATGCACCAACAACTGGACGATTTCACTATTTCAGTGCATATAAAATACTTTTCAACATCAAAATAGGCCCTTTCACTGAATGCAAAACTGGAAAATACGAAACTGGTTCTCAAAAAAGCAGATCAACTATTGATCAAATATCCACTCTCTGTATGATTCAGCAAAGTCATGAGTATAAAATTCTCATTAGTCATCTGTTTATTGATTTTAAGAATGCCTATGACGCCATAAGGAGGCATAAAGAATTAATTATTCCCTCCAAACTAGTTCCAATAGTAAAAATGACAATGAGCAAGCATTAACTCAGAATGCTTCTCAGAATTTCCCACTATAAAGTACTGAAAAAAGGTGATTCTTGGGCATGTTTATAGCTCAACTTGACAGTGGAAGTGGTAAGGGACTCTGGCATTCAGACTAGAGACAAACAATTTACAAATCTAAAATAAAGACACCTATATACATTTTTTTGTTATACAATTAATGTGATTTTTTTTAAAAATAGGTACATTTATATGATTCTCTGTAAGGTAGATCATTTAAAGATTGCTTCAGCAATTAAACAATAAAAAAAGCATCATAGAAATGCTAAAAAATAAGACAATAAATTAAATTGAATAAAACACGTAAAAAAAAAAAAAAATAATATATATGAAAATAATTTGAATGTATATTGAGTGTAGTATATATAATGTGTATACTGAGTGTATCAATATATATACTAAATATATTAATGTAATGCTTTTTAAATGTATGTGTATATATACATATGAAAATGATTTGGAATACATACAAAATTATTCATTATTATTACTATAACAATCAAAGTTACATCCAACAGAATATTACTAGTTTATTTTTGTATAAAATAAACAAACATACCTCTTGAATTCTTTGTGCCATTGGTAACATGGTTTCATTTCCTGTCATGACACCATGTACAATTATAACTGGTTTATAACCAAGAATCAACCCAAAATAGACTGAACATAAAAGAGTAATTAATGTAAACCTATTGCTCCATTGAATATCAGCCTTCATTCTAGGATTAATTTCTGGAACAAATACAACACTCATATATTTGAATATAAACAAGAAGTTTAAACTCATTATTTTCAAATCATCTTTCATTAAATAATAATTTATCTTTACAGTAGTAAAAATTCAGGCAACGTTTGAGAAAATTCCCTTAGTTCATTCAAAGTTAACCAGTTGATTCATTCTGATATTTCAAATCTTAGTAGCTCTGGTAAGCATACAGCAGCAGCGTTCCTGAACGATTAGCAAATAAACTCCAACCTCTTTGAACTTCGATTTCGGTAAAATCAAGGTCATTAAAACTACCAAGTTCACTCCTTCAGAAATGCGTAGTGGGGGACCTTAAAACGAATAGACTGTCAGACCTACCGATTACTCTTTCAAGCCTATCAATGAAGGCTTATTTCAACATTATTGTGCTTTTTTTTTTTTTTTTTCTTGTTTAATTTATTGAGAAGAATACTTTTCTGTGTTTTTGACATTTGATTGAAGATAATTTCAAGTAGATAAATAAATAAATACGGCTATCAATCTAGAATAAAATGCTATGAAAATTACCGGCCAGACCTGAAACGAAATTGATATTAAGATTATTTTTAAATTCTTTATTTCAAAATCTCTGTAAAGAATATACAAATATATTACATAAATAGAAAAAAACTAAGATTTCTATTTATTTAGAGAACATTTTAGCACAATGTTTGTGTAATTTTGTTTCTAGATCTCGTGCTTATTTCTTTTAATATTATAAGGGTAAAGATCTTTGTCAAGATTTTGCAGTCAAAATTTCGTTAAATAAACAAATTTAATTTAAAAAATAAACAAATTTTACTGCAAATCTGATAATTTATTTTCACCTTATAATCTTAACAGTCAACTATTTATCCGTCTCTAAAATAATTTTATAAAGAGTATTTATTTTTTATTTTTAATAACATGTTACAGAGACTTTGTTCGTTTCTTACTAGTATTTCTCATAATAACATAATTATTAATAAAATCCTATAAAATGCCAAGTACAAAAGGTACAAACAATAATCTAATTGTCGCAAAGAAGATGGGAAAGAAAATTTCATTTCATACTTTTCCAAACGACGCTCGAAGAAAAGATTGGATTTTAAAATGTAAATGTAAAAAAAAAACAAATATTGTAAAAAAGTTGACTTATCTTTTTCTCAGGAAACAAAATGTAGAAATTAATGAAGAACTAGTAAAGGCTTTCTTTCAGTAACGGGTATTTACTAGAATCAAATTTTTAAATACCCAAAGATTTTTGCAATTAAGAAAACATAAAATCAAAGGCAAAAAACTTGAGAAAAATCACTACATAGATTTACTTATGACATAAAATATTTACAAAAATTCACGGAAAGAAAACGCTTCTTTAATTTTAGATTAAATACTTTTTCTTTTTTTTAAATTTTTATATTATGATCTGTATTTATTTGAAATATTTAAAAAATATTATTGTGGTATTTTGCAAAAAATCATACATCAACTTGTTAAATTACATTTTACTTGCTTAAGAATAAACCAAATATTAAATCAACCTTTCTCTCACCTTTCAAATTTATTAAAATTAATAAATGAATGAGTTATTTGGCAATACAGTATTGATTCAATGTAGAAAAGTAAATAATAATCTTAAAATGTCCAGAAATATAGGCCGGAGGGGTAAAATCTGTCTATTGGCTACGTCAGAGCTCGATTCCTCCCCACCATTTTTCCTCTGAGTGAGCGAACCTGGTAGTTTTATTGACCTTGGGTAAAATATTTGAGGGGTTAATTTTCAAAAGAGTAAGTATTCATAGTAGTTGAAATATATATCCACATTTCTAATTTCATTTGTCTTAATGTAATCGAACCTTTTCCTGTTCTTTTAAAGAATCAAGCACAGGAACATTCCTGTTCATACGTTAGCATAGGAAGACCTGAAGGCCGAGCAATAGAAGCGTGAGTACTAGAGATCCCGCTTCCGAACTTTTTTTTTTTTTTTTTTTTTTTTTTTTTTTTTTTTTTTTTTTTTGGTTCTTCCCTACCTCGCCTTTTAGGCTATAAGGGATTTTCCTCGGCTCGAGCGGGGAATTTAAAATCCCCTCCGGCACCGGGACGCCGGATTAAAATCTGTAATCCGGTTGCCAGGCAACTCGCGGTGCTGTGCACACGCTTTAGCCCATTCGGCCACCCCGGTCCCTGAATAAATGCTTCTGAACGTTGTAGATCGATCCCCGCCTGAGTTGGTTATATTTTAAACAACAATTAGAACTTTCCTGTTCTCTAAACTTCTTTTCATAGATCATCCTGTTATCTTGTAAGGAGGAGGTTACGGACGTGGAGCTCCAGATTTCACTGAAACATTGTTTGCTTTCAACCTTTCGTGCTTCAAATAGGTTCAACAATCATAATTTTTATCCAATATGATTTTAGATAGAGCTTTCTCTTCATCCTAGCGACATACCCATCGTAATCGAGAGAATTTAACCGCATCGAATATGTCTAAGTTCTTGTATAGATTTCTCAGCTCCAGGTTTGTCTTTCTTCTCCGGTCTCCGTTAACAAATACGGTCCCATAATTTCTCCTCAGGATCTTTCATTGATACCTGAACAATATCAGTTCCTGAGTCCTTGTTAGTTCCCAGGTTTCGGAGCTATGTGTTAAAACAGGTGGAATCAAAGTTTTGAGTTTGGAGTTCGGCTCGAGCCGGTGAGAAAGAAAGGATCGGCTCCACGTCATCATCGTCTATTATTGGGTATTTTTCATCCAATTGAGCTGCAATTTCGCACCTAGACGGAGCTGTATGTTAAAGACCTGCATATGAGATCTTATGAAAATTGAGCTAGGATATTAGCCAGAATCAGAAGGCAACGAAAGTGATAATACTTGTGGGACCGGAGCCTTATCACTCTGCAGCCTGGAACCTGTCGGCCCCCTCCACCGCTCAGCAAGGTCAGTGTCGTCTCATCAATACAATCATCGACGGAGCCCAACTAATTTGACACTTACGTAACTTTTATATTCGATCCCTTTCTCTCATAAAATATAAAAAGAAAAAAATAAGTTTTTACTATCATAATTTATTATTAATAGAACGTTTTAAATCAAATTTTTAAAGTGGACATTTTTTTTTTTTTTTTTTTTTTTTTACTATTGCTGAACTGAATTTTTTCTTTTTTTTAAAAGTATTCAATGATCCTATATTTTGTAATTTATTTTATATATTAGGTTTGATAATGTGATGTGGATAGGTGGATGTATATTGTTTTTTTTTAGATTATAACTACTTAAATTTTTATCTTTTGATTTTTAACTGATTTAGGCAATTACTATTTTTATTGTTTTATTTATTTATTCTTTTAGATTCTAACTTTTTAACAGTTAATTGATTTTACATTTTAACTCATTTTAGGAAATTATTTTATAGATTTTAACCTTTTTAGATTTTAACCTTTTTAGACTTTGACTTTTTAACTTTTTTTTAGATTTTAACTTTTTTAGATTTTAACTTTCACTTATTTTTAACTTGTACTGATTTTATATTGTAACTTATTTATAAGCAATTTATTTGATAGATGTATATTTTTTTAAGCTTTTATCGATTTTATATTTTAACTATAACACTATTTAACACTTAATTTTATAGTTTTTAACTTTGTATTTATTTATTTATTTAATTATGCACAGATTGTTTCAATCATGTGGGCATAGTCTAGAACGAAAAAAATAAATATTGCAATGAACAAAATACCAACGAAGAAGATCGAAGTTGGACAAAAGGTATGGGTTCTGAGAACTGGAGGACCTGTTCAAGAGGCGGTTGTTGCCTCTGTGATGTCTGTGGCTACTGCAGGAGGCGGAGATGATAAATTTGTTAAAGTAGAATGGCCTGACACAGAAGGTGTGGTATTGGGAAAGACGGTGTCGATAGATGATGTCTTTCCCAGATTGCCAAATGATCCGCTGAATGTCGCAGAGGTACTTAGTGAGCGGCAAAATGAAGCTCTACGCCCTGATGATAAAGTTTGTCTGATATGCGGGCTTTCTTTTAAGGGCGAACGAGGTCTCGGAACCCACATTGCAAAAAAACATCCCAGGGAGGCGAATAATAATACATTGAGGGGCATAGTAAAGAACGTGATAGGTCCTAGAAATGGAGAGGGTGAGTCATCAAAAATAAAAGAGGACATTGTTGAATGGTCTACTACGTTCAAGAACCTTTTAAAGCAAGATATGGTGAATACTGCGGATTTTGATGAGGCCGTAGGCAAGTTCCTAAAGTTCCTCAAAGTCATCAATACGGAACTGCCAGGTCCCCAGCACCCAGCCGTAAAATTTTATAGGATGAGGAAAAAAAATAAAATGAAAATGGCTGACAAGGGTGCTGGACAAGTCTCAAATCCGCAGAGGGCAAACAAAGTAGACAGGAGTCGTCGGCAAGAGCAGTATCAGTACGAGGTTGCCCAATATAATTATTATAATAAAAGAAAAAAGGTTGTGCAAACTGTAATGAATGCCGACGCTCCTAAACGGTGTCCTCTAAAAATGGCCGAAATCGAGAGGCATTATAAAGACCTCTTTGAGAACGAAAATCTCTGCGGGCGTGCGGATTACGAACAGTGTGCCCCGATGCCGGATTTGCTGTCCATTGAGATAGAAGCTATCAGGAAAGCCATTAAATCAACATCAATGGACACATCGCCGGGGCCTGATGGAGTTCTGATCCGCACAATAAAATATTTTGACGTATCAAGCATTATTAAAACGATTGCAGAGATAATGCTGAAGGTGGCCTATGTTCCGGAACCACTTCGACAAGGGCGCACAATATTGATATATAAGGGCAAAGGTGATATAAACAATATCTCTACCTGGAGACCGATTACCATATACTCGATTGTGCGCCGAATCATAGAGAAGGTTCTGGACTACGAGTTAAGAAAGCAGGTCACCTTCCACAAGAGTCAGAGAGGCTTTATAAAAGGCCTCCCGGGAACGCACGTCAGCGCGAGGATCATCGACGCGGTATTAAAAGATGCACAAAAAATGAAAAATTACTGTGCGATAGTTTTCCTCGACGTTGTCGGTGCTTTTGACAATGTTGGGCACAAACACATCGTAAGCTCCTTAGAAGCGAGAGGTGTGTCACCGAATCTTACAAATGTCATATCAGCTCTCCTTAGCACGAACACCATAAAGATTGGCAACGGTGTCCATGCAACTAGCCAGATCAAAGTGCTGCGCGGTGTACCCCAAGGCGGCCCCCTGTCGTCTTCACTCTTCAACCTGGCCATCGATCATCTCTACCGCGACCTGTGTGACGAGGACTTTTCCAAGAAATTTGGATACAAATTAAGGAATGAGCAGGATTGTGTGGTCCTCACAGGTTTCGCGGATGACCAGGCAGTGTCGGCGCGTGACAAGGGGGCTGCAGAAAGAGTGATTGACAGCATACAAAGAACATTTAAAGAAATTGGTCTGGCTATAAATCCTCAAAAAAGTATGGGCATCGTTATAAATAAAGGAGAGCTGGAAACTACGGTGCTCTCCCTTGAGAATGGTGAGTACATCCAAACATTGAAGAATGGAGATACGATTAAGTATTTAGGATGTACATTCTCGGGAGAGCTGCAATTCAACGAAGATTCGGTGACTAAATTGAATGATAATCTAAACAAGCTGGTAACCTCTTGCTTACTTAAACCTGAGCAGAAACTCAACATTGTCAATCAATATCTGTTCCCGGGTCTTACTTACCCTCTCCAAACTGCGCCCCTAACAAAGATACGTCCTGCTATACTGGAGGGCATCGACACTATGATTCGCAGGAGCGTAAAGGCCATTATTGGACTCCCTGCGAATACTTCCACAGCGATGTTATATGCCCCCAGGAGATACCGAGGATTGGGATTAATCCGCTGCCAATGGGAGGTTCCTCTTCAACATTGGTCCATTGCTCAGCGACTGTCCAATGTACCAGATGCCCTTTTTCAGTCTACCTTCGATTATTCGGCTGAAATTGCTGAATGTGCCGAGAGATTGGGGGTTGATCAGAGTCATCGAAATGTGAAAGCTCTACGGCAGTCGCTACGAGAAAATGCATTTGAGGAATGGGCCAACTGCAGGTGGCAGGGTATTGGTGTTCGCCATTTCAAAGAGACCCCGAAAGCGAATAGATACATCTACGAAAAGCAAGTACTTTCTGGGTCTGAATGGTCGAATGCCCTAAAACTAAACATTAATTATGCACCCCTGCGTGGAGTCCCAGGAGTCAGCGGACAGGTCAGAGAAGTTGGGTCCCTCTGCCGATAATGCGGCAGAGAGTCTGAAACACCAGCACATGTGCTGGGAAAATGCCCCAACAACTCCCTCCTCATAACACGTCGTCACCACCGGGTCAAGTTCGAGTTGATGAGGCTCCTTAGGGAAAAAAAATTCACCTGCTTTGACGAGGTATATTGCATTGATAGTGAGGGCTCTACGAGATACGCTGATATCGTCGCATTTCCCAAGACAGGAAGGACAGCGCTGATCTTGGATCCAACTGTCCGCTTTGAGAGCAATGACCTCGATCAGGCGGGTGAAGTGGAAAGGGAAAAGAAGAACACGTACGATAAATGTATCCCTTTCCTAAAAGAGAAATTCCGTGAGACCTTCGGAGAGAGAGAGTTCACCGTGAGAGGCCTCTGGTTTGGGTCTCGCGGAACTATCCCAAAAAGAACAAGGAGCTTCCTCGAGGAACTAGGTGTCGACATTAAGGACGTAGCGAGGTTGGCTGAAAATATAGTCCTCGACTCCCTGGGAATCATTCACCACCACGTGCATGGCTAGCCCGAGAGTTTTAATTTATGTATTTGTTTATTTATTTATTTAGTGAATAATTGAAAACAATAGCGATAAAGAGAGAGAAGTGAGAGAAAGGGAAACTTAATGTTAAATAAAAAAAAAAAAAAAAAAGCATGAACAAAGAGAAGAAGGAAAAAGGAAAAAAAAAAAAAAAAATTATAAAAATAAATAAAATAATAAAAATGTATATATATATATTTCTATTTTACTAATATTAACTAATACTTCTGTATATTTATATATAAGTTCATATATTGTCTTAAGGATAGAAGAGTATGCTGTGTATATAGCAACCCAATATAATTGGGCAGCAATCCTTTATATTTTATATTTTATGAAAATAAAGTGTTTCTCTCTCTCTGACCTCTGCGGATTTTGACAAGTTTCTTTTGAAGTGCGAAGGAACACTGATTAGCAGCCATAATATATCTGTATGTCTTTTTCCCAAATTGATTCCGGGAGTTAATTGAGTCCAGCTTCTCCGTTCGTTTGTTGAAGATTCTTGAGATCTCTCCGAACATTCATACGCAGCATAGGTTACCAAACATTGTCGTGCGTGTGAGTCTAACCAGTTTTGGTGGTATCTTCATATTTATCATAGCTTTGTAGATTTCATTCCTGTTTACAGAATCATAGGATTGCTGTAAGTCTACAAAGACAGCCTTTCCTCATTCCAGACGTCCAGAAATAGATCCTTTTGAGGCATGGTAAGCTCGTGGCCATCATTCTGCAGAATATTTGTGCTATGCCCTCTATGCTTAGGGCCTTGTTATTCTTGAGCTATGGCAGAGCTTCCTGGATCTCCTCTCCATCAGGAGGGTCAACGTGATCTCTATTCATTGCTTCGTTCTCCAGGTATTATTCCGAGGACTCACTTGATCTGATGTTGAACATTGATGTTTAAAAATGCACTGAAATAATCGGCCTATCTATCAAATGCTGTTTCCCTTTCAGTTATAAGAGAACCATTCTCTGCCTTGGATTCAAAGGGCTTCCTTTCCTCATCAACAAACTAGAAGAACTGGCGGTTATTTTTATCATTAAAGGCATCTCTACCTCGTCGAGTATCTTGCTCTCTTCTAAAGACCTGGGGCGAAACGTTATAATTAGGGCGAAACGTCTGCTTAATAAAATAGTTTCTATTATTTTTATTTTTTTCATGAACACCGCCCCGGGCCATCTCATTCGTCAACATACTACGGTCAACTATTGAGTATTCAATTAAAAAAAATATCGCAGGTATCACAGTCTCTTTCAAGTTCAGTCACAACCGACAATAAAAATATTTATTTTCACTTAATCTATTTAATAAAACCTAAGAACCAACTTCTTCGATAGCTTTACAACTCATAGGAAAGTCAAAGCTTGCCTCAGTCGGAGGCCAGTCTTCTCTATTTCGTGCTGCCGCATTCCAGTTTCTTATTCCCAACAATTTCCGAGCATCTGCAACGCAATCGACACAACGCATGCGAGGTCTTCCAACCCTTCTACGTCCAAATATTTTTTACTTTCACTTACGTATATATGTAATGTATAGTAAGTATTGCGATCGTGAAAATTTTCGAATCTCAGTTTTCAACCGAAATATTTTTCGGACATGTTTTGAGGTCCCCTGAGTTCAAATAAAACTAAGTGTCGCAAAATGGTCTGTGCTTGTGTGTTAACAGTCTAGCTCATAAACAAAAAGTAGTACAAAACTGATATTATATGGGCCGGATGTGACAGCAACTTTTTCGTTAAAATCGGCTAACCGAAAGTGCCACTTTATATGAACGCTGAAACTCATTTTACAATTTTCTCAAAAACAGCTCTAACGATTTTGATCAAACTCGGTGTATCATTGTATAATTAAGTGACCTTTAATATCATTTAGGTCTTATCCCCGTTGATGTCACTTTATAGGGCTTAAATGCCCAATGTTCATATATGTCTTCCTCTAAAGACCTTTAATATGGTTTATTTTAAAAAGTTAACCATTTAGCATTATTCAGAGTTACGAAAAAAATGCTAAATATAATTTTTGAAAGAATTTGATAAGTTAATAAAGGAGAAAAAAAAATAAAAATGCAGAAAAACCTGCGTTCCTACAGACCGCAGCGCTTAAAGGAATGAACCGATTTCAATGAAACTTCGCTAAAGTCATTTTCTCGATACCCTTTAAATTTATCTATATAACATACTTCAACGAAAAGAAGCTAGAAAAAAGTTATGAGGGATGTTAAAATTAAATTCCGAATAACTCAAAAAGTATACGCTTTTTTGTTTTGTTTTTTAGAAGTTTATCGAATTTCCTAAAAAAAATCGTTAAAACGGACAATTAGGAGGAAAGATATGGTCTCTAGTTTTTTTCTCTGAAGAGGCGAAAATTTGGATAAATTAAAAATATATTTTTGTAATTGTTGAGACTAAAAAAACCTTTTTTCTACAGATATTTAATAACGTGTCTTTCCTAAGAACATCTTTCATAAGGAATAAGTACCTAAATTTATACCTTTATTCTCAGTTCTATATTTCAACACTGCAATCACCACCTCGAGAATCAACTTACTCATTGTCTGCATATATAACTTTTTCAACTAAAATGACATCACTCAAAAATGTTGAAATTGGAGTTAGTCATTCTATGGTTTATAAAAGCAAAGAAAGTTGTGTGGTTTATAAAAGCAGATGGAGTGACTAGTTTTTTTATTGCCAGTCGTCGATATATTAAATAGACATTTTGTAATTATGATGGTCTTAATGACTTGTTATCTGTAAGCTTTAAGCTTTAGCTCCGTTTAAAATGCATTTCAAAAAATTTTATAATAGCCCACCATGGCTAGAAAATAATTTCTATTCAAAGTAGATCGGTAAGTGAAAGTTGTGTGTTGCGCGCACCAGATTTTTCTTCTTGGAACGATTTGGGAACTTCATTAGTATTCGTGCCCAACTCTTCTTCGACGTCCAACCATTATTAAATAGCCGATATCAAGGTCATTGTAGAGATTCATAAGCGCAGCGTTTTGCCTAGATTTCCATGCACCGCTGATACACGTAGGCCCCATAATTATGCTCAAAATATCTCTTTCGAATCTCAAGAGAGCTGATTCTAGTTCTTTTTTCATCGTCCAGCACTCAGATGAATAGGTAAGGACGGACCTGACCATGCTCTTATTGATAGGTGTCTTGGTGTTCCTAGAGAGATATTAGCATTTTAGATACCGCTGTTTCCCATAATAGCAATTAGCTGCAATAATTCGCCACTGAATCTCTGGTTGCATATTATTAGTTGAGTTCAACAGCATCCCAAGGTAAAGAAATTCCTCGCTCGACACATTCTTAGTTGAAGTCCCCAATTTTTACTCATCCTCATAAATATTCTCCTCTTTTAGGATTGAATACTTTGTTTGTATTTGTATGCATATACTTTGTTTTGGATTATTTCTCCTGCAATCCAAATTTACGCTTTTTGCAGATTTTGGAAGGCACTTTTCACACTCAGAAAACTGCGTCCTAAGACATCCAAATTATCGGTATAGGCTAGCATTTGGCACGATTTGTTGAAAATCGACCCTCTTGTTTGTATTCCCGACCCTCTTATGGCACAGTCCAAAGCTACATTAAAACACAGGCATACTAAACAATCATTTTGTCTGAGTCACTTGTGGCTATGGAAAAACTCAGATGTATCTCCAGACACTCTCACTGAACGCTGAGTAATCTTCATGGTCATTCTGACAAGGCGGGCTTCGGAGTGACATCAAGAGCGATCATTCTATCATATAGCTCCTCTCGAATCACGCTGTCATATGGTGCCCACATAGTGGATCGACGAAAAGAACGAAGAGAAGTGCGACGATACCAGCTACAGATAAAGAACTTAGCCGCTGAATGAACTTAAAAATAACTTTATTGGTATTTAAATTGTTACATACACTATTACACTACTAACTAGATTATGATAATTTTAATAATCGCTAATGATTGGCTGACTGCTTATAGCTCTAACAGAAGAGTATATATACAGGATTGTAGGAGTGGGATAATGGTGAGTCAGGTATGTAGGGTTATGCACCATACCTCCTCCCTTCTTAAACTGTGAAACTCGGGAGAACATTATTTGTTTGGTAAAGTCCAAGGATTACAAACTTGAGGCAGAGTGATGTCTTTAAACTTTTTTGTAGATGATTTTCTTCTTGAGGTACGTTTACAATGACTCAGACCAAAAATTTATATCTGATATACAGAAAGATACAAAACTATAATGAATACGTAGTAATGTACAATTTTTGAAATTTCATCTATATTTTTTCATTTTAGGTTTTACTGGACTAGCATCCGAACCCGGGATATTTATGGAGAGTTTCAATATTTATATTCTCAACTGCGTATATATCTGTAGTTTGTAATTCAAAAAAAGGATTAGAAAATTGAGATGAAGTACTCTTTCATCGATAATATCCTAATAATCAAATCAATATTTATATATTTTCAACTAAAGAAATTAATTTAACAGAACAAATTTCTGATGTTTTATTTTTTCTAAACCACTTTATATTATGCATCAACCGTGCTTGTTTAATAGAGATTTAGGGCATAAAACATCATGAAGATCAATGCCGAATGTTTTTATAATTTACAAATTAGAAAAGGAAGAAAAAAAAAAAAAAGAATAGTAAATATATGAATTAAAAAAACGAAATAGAAATAAACAATAAAGAAATCCTTTATTGGATCAACTTTTAAGACAACTGATAAAAATTAAAAGATAAATTTATTTGAGTTTCTTAATTTTTTTGTTAATTCCACTTGGGAATAATTATAAACTAGTTGACCCGTGCGAATAATCACAAAGGACAAATGAAAAAACATTAAAGAAATTTAAAAAATCAATGTATCATGAGATGAAGCAACCATTTCCTATTTTTTCGGCAATTGTAATCGACCAAAGAAAAGACAATTATTATAAAACTTCATTCGTGTTTCAAATCAAAATGTTTACGAATTACATTAACATGTTTCTCAGCTAATAATTTCATTTTGTAGATACTTTAGTAATCTTAAAAATAATCCTAAGTACAATAAAAAAGGATGTATAATTTTTGAGTTATTCACAATCAAAGTTTCATTTCCTTAACTACACTTCTTTTTGAAATTTCGGGGGAACATGACTATTTTTCCCACCTAAAGGAGAAGAAAAACTTCAAAATGTGAGCTTATTTTATGAAGATTGACGAAGATATAAGGTACCGACAAAAAATACCTTTGAGAAATAATATAGTTATAAATGTGAATGTTTTTTTCTTATATCGCTGTAACATTGAGTGATCAAACACTTCAATTATAAGCAGCTAAACGTTCATTTTGGGAAAAACTAACAGCGAGCATAGCAGACGATTTAAGGCAGCCCCTCCATCTGTATCGGAGGCAGCTGGGCTAATAACGCTCTCCTTTTAAACAAAATTATTTTGAAAGCTCGAAATAATCATGCTGGACTGTCAAGAATGGTGAAACGGGGCTCTGCTCAAAGGGACTTCGCTATTGGATATTGGAATGTTCTGACGCTATATAGTCCAGGAGACCTTCAACAACTTCTGGAGGTGTTGGACCGATACAAATCCTATATAAGTGCGCTTCAGGAAATTAGATGGACTGGCAAAGGCCATATAGAAAAGAGGAAGCACACCATCTACTACAGGTGTGACGACAGATTGCATACATATGGAACCGGCTTTGTAGTGTCTGCAAGGAGTAGAGATTTGATCATGAACTTCAAACCAGTTAGTCCGCCACTCTGTTTACTTAGGGTCAAGAGTAAATTTTTAAATTACACCTTGATTAGCTATAACTCACCAACTGAGACTTCTGCGAAACAAGATGAGGAAGAGCTCTATGAATTGCTTGAAAGGACAATAAGCACCTGGCCGAGAGCAGATATCACGATCATAGCAGGTGACTTTAATGCTGAATTCAGAAGAGAAATAAGTCACACCTCAACAATCAGGGAGCACAGCTGACATGAAATAAACAATGATAATGGACATCGCTGATCAATTTCTGTGAATCACAGAATATCATTGTTGATAGCACCTTCTACCCTCACAAAAATATACACAAGGGTACATGGCGATCCCCTAATGGACTTGCTTTCAATAAGATAGATCATCTGTTGATAAGTCAGACCTTCTTGTTGTAGGAACATACAAGGGAGCAAACGTTGACTCTGATCATTATCTCACCATAGCAAAAATAAGATCAAGAATCTCCAATGTAAAAAACAAAAGGAGCCAAAGAAAAAAAGTAAAAAATTTAACACCACCAAGCTTAAGGACACTGATGAATCAGGACAATACGCGTTGCAGGTTGATCGAGAACTTGATCTTCTCCCTATGCATACCTACAACATAGAACAAATCTTGTGTAATTACATGCTGTGTTAGGAAAGCTGCTGAAGAAACAATTGGAGTGGAATGTTATAAGAGAAGAGCTAACTGGTTTGAGGAGGAATGCAAAAGAGACACACAAGAGCATAGATGGATCTCTATCGCAAAAGAAAGGAGGAGGAGAATCAGCAGCTTGAGCAGCTCAGGCATTCAAACTACTGTCGGAATTAATACATTCTTACAAGACCTTGATTAACGAAGAATCCTTGATTTTATGAAAACCCGAACTTATGGTAGTTTACCTGCTTAAAAGTTCCCTTTAAATGGTATTTAAAAAGACATGATTTACTTGAATTAAATCAAGTTTACTACGAAGCAATTAGGTATAATGTAAATAAAACATTTTTTTAGTTATTGCTTTTTGTTCAACATAAAACGTGTTTGGCTAAAAAATGAATAATTTATATAAATCTGCTGTCAATGAATTTTAATATCATTAAAAGAAAGAAACTTTGAATTATAATTTGAATGATAGAAAATGTTGAAAAAAACCAATTAAACTCCAAAAAGCTTTATTGATTTTATAAAAAAAAAAAGTATAGGGTCATTTTCATAGAGATTTTAAAGTACTGAACAATCTTTGCGAAAAATCTCATAGTTTTTGAGATATTCCAAAAAAAATATACCAGTTTTCTGTCCTTCCTCCCTTCAAAATCCGAAGAAGGATTCTTTGGGATTTTTTACCAGTTATTATGAGGATGGTAATGAACAATTTCTGACAAGTTTCATCTTTTTTGAATGTTGGGATCAATCCCTAGTTTGACTGGACTATATAAACCTTCTGACCAGAGATGGGCAAATATAGAAGATAGAAAAATAACTTTATTCTGGGAGACAGTCCCTTGAGAATAACAAAATAGAACAAAATTAAAATATTACATCTGGCCAATATACTGAGTACCAAGTATTTTACTCAAATTGAATCACTATTGAGAATTCAATCACTACTTCAGTTACTCTTTTGTCATGAACTGAAGTAGCAATTACGTTTTTTGGTACTCAAACAACGTCAGTATTTGAGTAAAATGCTTGAATTCTCAGTACTGAGAGTAGCATTTGCCCATCTCTGCTTCTGACAAAGCTCTTTTACACTAGCTTTATATCAGTAGGATTTTTCTAAATGGCGAATAACTTCCTTATTTTAATAAAATTTTTTTAAATATAAAATAATGTCCCAAAAGGCTATCAATTCTTTCATATTTGTTTAATAAATCTACTTAGTACCATCTAAGGCGTCTGAAAAGAAGATGGCCCCATGATCTCCTAATGTAGACATATCATTAGACCATTGGGTAGTTACTCAGCAAGTGTTTTCATGTCATTATATCCATATGTTCAAATTTATTTGATGTAAGATAAGACAATAAATGAACAAAACATCAGCCTTCAAATCAGTAATTATTTACAGAGTTGTACTTATCGCTGGGCACCACTAAAATAAAAAAAATTATGATATCTCCTAATTAAACATTCCAGTTTTATCTTATTATGTTGGATTTAAAACATTTCGCCATTAGTTTTTCCACCTAGATTGGTCATTTGTTTCTGTGCAATCTAGAAACTGAGAAAAATTTTTTAAAATATAATTTCAAATAAAATTTGTTTATTTTTGTCTTTACTTTGCCCGAATTTTTAGGTTACTATAAATCAATTGTTTTGTTTTTTTGTGCAAGATAAGAAAAAAATATTAACTATTGTATTAAATGAGTTATAACTTATCATTTACAGTAAGTTTTGTGGTTGTTGACAAAATTTTGAAGCCAAGGCAAAAACATTAATTTTTCGATTGCCATTTAATCAGCTAATATAAAATAAAATTTATATATAGAAATGTATGAATTGTATTTAAGTATTTTTTAGATGATCCATACAACAAATTAATAGGGATTTAGAGTTTTATAGGCTACACTAAATTGTACAAAGTTGACTTCCATAAACAAATTGCTTACTTACTTATTTCCAGTGTTCCAACGTGGGATACCTCTTCAGGTCTGAGCTGAGCTCCACACATCTCTGCTCTATCTTCCCAGTCTCTCTCCTGTAGACACCTTCTCCAAAAATCCATTTCTACAGTCCAAATTTTGGCATGCAAGCTAGCATTCGTTGACCATGCCTCACATCCATAGGTTAATAAAACAATAATAATAGCTGTGAAGATCCGCCACTTGCAAATGTTCTGGCTTGGAATTTTCCTGTGTGTTGCCCTCTTGTGCCATAAACTGCACTCTACTTTTGTTAAGGAGGGTCTCATTATATTTTTTCTAAGTGGCCTCACTGATAGAAGAAATAAGATTGCCTTTACGTGGTGCCCTCAAACTTTCCAAAATACTACAAGCTTCTCTCACTGGATTGAAGCCCAGTGTTCCATCTATTTTCTGGCATCATCTCTCCCAGGAGTTATTCTTCTCCTTTACAAGTTTGTTCAGAGCTCTATAGGCAATCCAGTCCTGGTCACTGTTCGATGCTAAGTATTTCTCATGTGCTTCTTTCTTGGCCTTCACCAGATCCAACACCTCAGACCAGCAATCTGGTTGTTTTAACTTCTCATCATATCCTAACCTATCCCAGACTGCTGAGTGGATGCACTCCCTTAAGTGTTCATATTTTTCCGAAAGATTGCTTCCCTGGCTCAGATCTATTTTTTCCTTTAGTCTGCTTCTGTATAATCTCCCAACACTGTCCTCCATAAGAAGATACAGTTTGTACTTTGGTAAGGTGATGCTGTGCTTTGCAGCGTCACGCTTTAAGATCCTGTCCACCTTTCCACGGGAAAAGAATCTTGGTCCGGAACATAAAGTGATTAGTTCCACATCCCACTCCCTGAACACCCTTACATCTTCCACTTTACAACTTGACTTTTCCCTGGTGATGCAATAATCCAGTATATGACTGGAATCCAGGCTTACTCCATGTGAATGTGATGTGATGAAAGAATGTGTTCTGAATTTTCAAATTGACAATTCGCAGACATCGTTGAGCCTCTTTCCGTAATCTGAACTGTCCACAAACAAATTAGAATAAAACATACAAATTATTGGGAAGTTTTTCTTAATTTCTAATTTAAAAAAAAATGCATTCGAAAAAGTTATCGATGTGAGCTGGAAGAGTTGTAATTCAGTTTTCTAAGAGTTGTACTAAGGTTGAGTTTGGAGAAAATCCTGAGAAGTTATAGGCCAGAAAAAATCCTTTTAAGAAAACCAAGTATTAAATTTAACAGTTTTTGATTTCTATAAAAATTCATATTTAATAGTTTCAAAGGACACTAAAAACAAAACTAACTTGCTCTTTCATAACAAAAATTTACTTGGCCTACTTTACTGGACTTGGTTGCGCCCTTTGGTTTTTGCAATTTATGATACATTATAACTCATTTAATACAATAGTCAATAAATTGTTTTGTTCTGCACAAAAAACAAAACAATTGATAAATAATAACCTAACAATCCGGACAAAGCAAAGGTAAAAGTAAATAACATTTATTTTGTTAAAAAATTAAATAAAACATTTTTTTTTTTCAGCTCCTAGGGTGAATGGGACCAAACACTGGGATTTGTAATATTTTTTTTTTACACAAAAAAAAATATGTTGAAATCGGTGACCCACAGACTATCCTCTCCTTGCTAAGGCGCAATTCCACTGAGGTGACACTGAATGACATGTGGCTTAATACTTGTTTCCTACTGTAGGCATCCACAACTATGTGGCACAAAATTCAATTAATGTCACATACGGAATTTCTTGTGCCACATCTCATGCGCATTATTGTACATGAGTGTAGCATGCGTCTAATGCGATTCCATTTAGGCAACTTGAGTTTGGTACATCATGTCTTTAGGAACAGTTGCGGTAGCTATTTATTTGTTAACTGCTTTGAACCGTAAACGGAGAAGAAAAACTCCACGTTGTTAGAGAAGAGAGCTACATATCGATGGTCAAGAAATTCAGTATAATTTACTATTTACATATATATAATTTATAAATTACCAGTGATATTCAGACTGCAATAGATGACAAAAAACTAACCATACTTGTACTTCTTGATTTCTCCAAAGCTTTCGATTCCATTATCCATTCCATCCTTTTCAACAAATTAAAATCATTATCCTTATCCAATAGTTCCATCTCTTTCCTCTCACAACGAACCCAAGCAGTTTCCATGCCTTATCAACCTCTATCTGCCTACCTTCCTTTATCCTCTGGAGTTGCACAGGGTTCAAGCATGTCTCCTCTTCTTTTCAGCTCTTATATTAATGACCTAAATGATTCAATTATCCATTGTTCCCACCACTTTTATGCCGACGATTCTCAAATCTATTTATCCTTTTCTCCAGCTGAGTCATTGGTGGCATTTGCCAAAATTCAAGAAGATTTAGATTGAATTAGTGCCTGGGCCAACTTAAATGGATTAAGGCTAAATGCTGCCAAAACTCAGGCCATTCTCATTGGTTCCAAGCCCCTTCTTAGATCCCACACCAACTTTCCCTCACTCTTTCTAAACAACCACCCCTCACCTTCTATCCCTTTATTAAAAATTTAGGCTTTCCCATAGATCAAACCCTTTCCTGGAATCACCATATCTCTCATATATCCCGCCGTGCAATTTCTACTCTCAAACTATTCCATCACTTCCGCCATCTTTTACCCCAAAATACCCGTAGACTCCTAGTTTCCTCTCTCATCTTTCCCCACTTTGACTACAGCTGTGTGGTGTACGATGGCCTCTCGGTAGAACTCCATGATAGACTCAAAAGACTTATGAATAGCTTCGTAAGATTTGTAATGGGGACCCCGAGACGCTCCCGTGTCTCCCACCACTACACTGAGTTAGGGTGGCTCTTCCCCTCCTTAAGAAGACAATATTTCCTAGGCACTTTCCTTTATCAAATCATTACCGATCATCGTCCTTCTTATGCCTACAACCTTCTCCAATTTAAGTCCTCAATCCATTCCCTCACTACAAGATCCCGACCCTCTGACCTATACATTCCTTCTCTTAGATCTGCCTCATTTCAAAATTCCTTTATAGCCCGCTCTGTCAACTTTTGGAATTCCCTTCCGATCGAAATTCGACATGCCCCTTCCCTATACACATTCAAAAACCTCCTATTCCAATTCCTGTTCCAAAAACAGTCAGATAACAGCTAACTATTAATATTATATATGTATTGTGTAGCAATCTTATAATCATAATACTTGGTAAGAGATAGTACATGCATTTCCTACTATCGACGTAGGAATTTCAATACATAAATTTTTTTTTATTTTATTCAATTATAATTAACTGTTTATTTTTATATATATATATATTCAAGTAAAGTTTTTTTCTTTCTTATGAAATGAACTCATTGTATCTCTTTTTCGTTCTTCATTTCTCAAAGTGTATGTTTATGTTGTTCAGCCTTTATATATAGTTTTGTTCATAGTTCAAGTGATTCGTTCATAGTTTTAATTGTTTTGTTCATAATTTTAAATGCTCTGTACATAGTTTTAGCTGTATTGTATATAGCTTGTGCACCTATGGTTTTCTTTACTTTTTATTTTATTTGATCAATTTTATTTATTGTTTCAAACGTTTAGGCCAATAATATTCTATTATTTTGTACATTATTGTTATTCTGAAGGAAGTTAGTCCCAGAATAAAGTTTTTTTTCTATCTATCTATCTATCTATAATTTAATGAATAGTAGTGGAAAATTCGTTTGGGTTGCTAGCAAGTGTATTCTGTGTCATCACTGCCAGGCATTATTTGTTTGGTTGGTTATATTTGTTCGTCCACTCTATGTTGCCCTTTCCAAGTCGCAATGATCCGTTGGCTATGACGATACTGTTCGACACAAGAGATGACGCAATCGAGAGGCAACAACGGTCAATTTATGTTAACGGTAACATGTGGCAAGCAAAGCAGACATATTTTTTGACGCTTTGTGTTTCTTCTATGGAAAGACTCTCCATGTTGACTAAAAGTTGCCTCAGTGAAATTGCTCCTTTAGATATTTCATCAAATGAGTAACTGACAGAAACTTTTAACAAAAATAATTCTAGTAAAAAGTATTTTATTTTTACTTCATATTCTCATTTTCAAATAAAATATATAAGTAAATAAATAAATAAGAATGCCCATTTGTATCTTTAAATAGAACAATTTTTTAATCAAAATTATTACATTTTGTTAGAAGAGCACAGGAGTAAGAAAGGAATTCTGGAGTTATTACGATAATTTTAAACTATCAATTTGAAAACCATAAATCTGGAAATTAAGAAAATTCATAACTTCTTATAGTTTTTATTTGATCACATATACAAATAATAATAACAATGATAAAAGTTATAAGTGTTGAATAAGTATTGTGGGTTAAGTTTCTACATATTCCTAATAATACCTTAATGGAATGATTTAAAATAATGCTGAGTAGCTATGTTGAAACAAATCCACAAACTCATTTCACTTTTTTTACATTTTATATATATATTAGTTCTAAACAGCATCATCTACAGATTTTTAGTTTTTAATATCTAACTTAACAAAGCACTTTTTGCACACTAATATTATTATTAGCAAACAACTATAAAATTTTTTGTATACATATTTATATGTAAATTATACAATAGATTGTTTAAAATACATACATTATATTATGTATGTATATATAATGCATATATTATAAACACAATTAATTAAATAATACTCTTAGATAGAACTATAGCCGGTAACAGTGTATGTATTAGAATGGGTGGTGATTGGGAACTGACTTCAAATATTTGCAGAGGAGTGACTGCCACCAATATGTGGGTAGGCTCAGCATATATACAAGGAAAGATACTGGGAGAGAATTAGAGAGCTCCAAGGCTTCTGGTTCTTAACAAACAATACCTAAAATGAGTTTGTTTTATATATAGTGATAAGAAAGACATACTGAAGTTAGTTATAGGATATTATTTATTACCTTTTATTTTTAAAAGGTAAATATATTTAACAAATACAATTGTAAATTCATCCCTTTCAAATAATAGGGTGTAAAAAAATGACCGTTTTTCAACCAAATATTTGTATTATTATATTTATATCTTTGATATAAAACACAATTAATACTCAAAGTTTAGTCCATTGTTTTTTGCCATCATTAATCATCTGCTAGCCAATTGCTCGATCCCATGCTGATACCATTCTTTGGGATAGCTGTCAAAGAACTCTTGGACCGCAATATCGAATTCTGCAAAATTATCAAATTTTTTCACTCGAAGAAAATGGGCCATGGATCTAAATAAGTAGTAATCTGATGGTGCGAGGTCTGGACTATTTGGTGAATGAGGCAGGAGTTCGAACCCATGAAGTTCTTTAAAATTTTCTTTGGTTCGACGGGAAGTGTGAGAACGAGCATTATCTTGTTGAAATAAAATTTCTTTTCGGTTGATCAAAGCAGGATAACGCTCTGACAACTTCGCGTACAATCTTTCCAGTTTATCGCAGTAGAGTTCAGAATTCATAGAGTTTTTCAATAAATTGTTACAAATGTCTAACCTCTTAGCTGATTGCTGAGAAATTCAAGAGAGACCAGTCTACGGCTCTTTTTCACCTTCCTCATGGAGAGTAGATGGAGACTAACAATATCTTTCAATACACCATACTCCCTGACGAATTCGAGAATACCTGTGGACGGATTTGACTCAACAGTTTCCTGAAGAACCTCACCAATATCCATTAATGGTCGCCCGGAGCCCTTCTTCCTTTCCAACTCTGTGTAGTGCGCTGGTCAAAGACATCTTCCCCTTCATATTTAATAATTTCACAGTTGCTTTGAGGTATAATTGTCCAGTGCTCTTATAGCTCCTTGGCTGTCAGTATATATAGAAATTTTCCTCCACGCTAGCCCGTCAAGCAAGTTTTGAGGCACAGTGAGTTATCGCTGGTATTTCAGACTGAAACACCGTTGCATGTTTGCCGAGTGGTGTTAATGCCTTCATCTGGTTCATCCTTTCTCTAAAAGCCAGCGCCAGATTCGCATGTCATTAGTGACCCATCAGTATAACAATTAATCCCATTAACAGGTTTATGTTCTCCTGAGCTGTCTATTTTAACATTATAAATTTTTGTAAGAAATTCTCTAGTCTGAGTGTCAGAATGCATCGTAAGCACCACGTCTTCTTCAATTTTTTAAATTATTTTCTATTGTCCCTCCTGGGTGTTTACCTTTGAACATAAGTTTAGTTTTTGTAGTCAGTATAAAGTTTTCAAGGCCTGATTTTATCTCTCGAATTGCAGAGGTAATAGACCTAACATTACTTCCATGGCTGTAATCGGAATAGTTTTCATTGCACCTGTTATCATTAAAGAGGTTAATCTCTGTAATTTTCCAGTTGTATCCTCTTGTGGCCCACTCTTACCCTATACCATCATACAACAGTTGAATATAAAAGCACAGGTCTAACCGCTGTGATATACCGTCAGTAGACCATCCAAGGGTTAAGCCCCCATGCCTTCCCAACAACATTCTTACATGCCCAAAGGCATTTTAGTGCTTTATTAGTTGTGTACTCCACATGTCTGTTCCACACACTTATGTTGTACAGTGTAACCCTAAGTGTTTGACTTCCTTACTTACTGTTAGATGGATGTTGTTTATTTTAGGTAGTCTTACTTCCACCTTTTTCTTCTTTGTGAAGATGCAAACGTTTATCTTGGACTGGGTTGACACTGAGTCTACTAGAACGGCACCATCCCTCCAAGACTCCTGTTGCAGTCCTCAACAGGTCAGAAAGAACATTCTGATATTTTCCGCCTATAAGAATAGTGATGTCATCGGCATATCCTTGTGTATTATCCTGCAGTATTTAGTTTTAAGAGTCCATCACCAAGCACCACAGAATTGGGGAGAGCACACCTCTCTAAAGACAACCTCCACCAGGTTTGATCCACATTACAGTATTTCCTAGTTCAGTTTTAATAATTCTTGTATCCAGCATTTTGCTAATCCATTTGGTAACAAGTGGATCTATTTTTCTTGTCCTCAAAGTATCCATGATGGTTTTACAAGGAGTCCTGTCGAAGGCACTTTCTATATCTACCAAGTTACAGAAGGTAGGTGAATTTTTCAATCCTTGAAACCAGATTATGTATTGCAGCTTCACATGATTTCCTAAGTTGGTACACGAATTGATTAAAATGTAAGGAACTAGAGTTGACTAATTGTTCTCTTATACGCCTGTCCAAAATCATTTCCAGGGAGCCACCTACCACCACGGACAAGCCGGATACGTGAATCTCCCTTTGCGGGGCCTTAAAATTATGAGAATTTCGTAGGACACTTGAATGCCCTAAAGGGATTATTAAGTGTTGTTGCTAAGTATTAAATATGATTAAAATATTTATAGTCCTTTGAAATCTTGAATTTGATAAAACGGTCATTTTTTTATTACATCCTTTTAAATGCCTGTAGAGAGAAATAATAATCATATTTTTTCTTAATTAAAGATTTAAAATATAATAATTGATGACTAAAATCACCCTAATGTAATAAATTAAAAAAACAAAACAAAATAACAAGGATATATTACCTAACAAGAACAAGTATCCTTATTGGGTTGTTGGTCGTTTGACAATGTAGTGCGTCCAGTTTGAGAAGGTTTGTGCTGCACACCAGATTCAGCAGCATTGAGATCAAGTCTATGCACAAGCAAGAAAAAAATAATAAAATAACATGATAAACCAAAAGGCATTCAATTTTCAAACACAAATTTTCTATTTATAGTGTGAGTTCAGAGGAATAGGCCAAACTCCAGGAGTGGGTTGCACACACAAAAATAAATTTTTAAAATATTCACGATTTTATTAGATTTAAAAAAAAAAAATGTACTTATACAATTAAACAATATTTCACACATGTATTAGCATTATGATTTTGTTTACAACAGGAGCCTATTTCATACTGAAGCTAATAGTATTAGTAAAAAGTACAAAACTAAAAAGAACAAGTACTAATACTTTTTATTTTATGGATTGATAAGGAAAATCTGGTGCACGTATCACACGACTTTTACTTACCGCCTTTTCTTAGCAGAAATAAGTATTTTCAGACAAAGGGAAAGTGGAAGTAAAAATTATTGACACTATATTAATTTACAATTCATTGTGGGTATTTTTATTTGTTTAAATACTCTTATATATATAAATTTTAATTTTTATATCGCTGTATTCTATACAATCAAGTATTAAATAATACCAATGACAGCATTTATCAAAACCACATATGTATATGAACATAATATTGTCGGAGTCAGTATTATACGAAAACGGACATTTTGAATTTGTAAGAATGTCTTTTACTCCAACTAACACTCCTCCAACTTCCCAAAGAGCAATGAATATAATATTTTAAAATATAATTATAGAATATAAAATAATGTTCGTAAGACAATTAAATTTATAAATAATAACAATTTTCTTTTCTCAGCTGAATTACATTAGTTCATTCAAAATAATAATCCCAAATATGTGTTGTATCTTTGTTAATAATGGTTCAATTTAGATAATTCTTGTTATTGTTTTGTAGGGATTTTAGTAAACTTTCAAACAATCATGGGTCCAATGCAGAAAAAATGCATACTGGACGGATGCAATTAGGATTTGTCATTGTTCCATTTAATACCCTTTCGTTCGATATCTAATTCATCAAAATCCATTGCTCCAGAGAGGTGGAAAAGGGATCTTTGTTGTGATAAACTATCGTATTATATATAATGATAGATTAAATGTTCAAATACAGATATATTACAAGTATTGAGAATATAATAGTAACTAGTAATAAAAAAATGTTATAAAATTGAATGTTAACAATGCATTTTACATAAGTGAAACATAACTTAACTATGTATATATATGAAGGGTTATGGGTTAAGTACAATGTGAGTAAGTACTGTTCCAAGGCCAGCAATTGTGCAGGAAGGTGATGGGCCAATATCATGCTCAACAGCCAGGTTTTTCTCCTTAATTAATTATATAATTAAGAGTATCTACTTTATTAAGACTGAGTTTGTCCCAGGATGGTCTCCTGGCCCCAGGATCGACCCATGGCTGATGAAAAATTACTAGTCATCAGCCGGATTCGAACCTGGGACCTTGAGCTCTGTAAGTCAGTGTTCACCCGCTAAGCTACCTCGTTACCCCAATAGAATCAATATTAAAAACAAAAACTATTAAAAATGCAACATTTCTCTCAACATTCCGTGAACCATTTGTGGAACCATTCGAAGAATTGCTATGAACATTCATGCTAACGCTTTGGGCATTGTATATCAGCACTTTAAGGAATAAGATAAAGAGAATGTTTCCCTGACAGAAGTCATAACATTAAAGGACTCTCTGCCACAGTGGATAACTAGATAGGAGGAATCCTAAGAGTTTCCAAACAATATTGATGATTTTCTTTGGTATTCAAAATCAACCATGACTTCACACATTTTAATCCCCGATGTGTAGTTAAAAGCCTTTTTGAAATCTATAAAGGCAAAGTATAGAGTCAATGGAAATACCGAAAATTGTTAACTATCATCCTGTGGTAGTTGATCTGGTTGTAGCATTCACTCTGTTCCTTTCTTAATTTACCATTAACAGCCTACCTTAATCTGACTCCGATAATATTATACAATACCTTACTGGAATCTAATATCAGTGTAATTCTCTTCCAGTTTCAGCATTGGGAATTTAAACCAATATCTCCTTCTATCAATCTTGTGGGATGTATTCATTATGCTACATTTCAGTCACATGAAATGTAGTGATGAAATGAAAGTCACATTATACGAGAGTGAAAGTAAAGCTCAATGTTTATATGGTCCATTTTTTGAATTTCCACTGGTATGCAGTCGACCCTAGGCGCTTCGTCCAAGCATTCCTTCCAGAAGATCAGTCCAACATTTCTTTATTTTAGATTCTCAAATCATTCCTTTTCAAATGTACTAATTAACCGTAGGGGGGCCACTACCTCAAGGGCTCAGGGCATGTTCCCTCTTATCTTTTTATGACTAAGCAGCTACTGGCCTGAGACATCTGAGGTCCTCAAAAAATTAATGGTTCAAGTCTCTTAAACATCTGTGAAAGTAAAATCAATATGACAGTCAGGAACACTCAGCCTCTCTAAAACATTAAGTTTCTTTAAGTGCCCTGAATGTAAGATTTTAAGTCTCTCAAGTTCCACTAAAAGAAAATGACCGTGAAATCAATACAATACTGTGACATACACACTGATTCAGTCTCTCTAAAGTAAATTTTTTTTCCAAACATCAGTAAAATGTGAAGCCTTAACTACCTCAAACAGCAGAAAAAAAGAACCCATAAGAAAAATATATTGGTGATCAGGCACTATCAGTCTACATGAGACGAAAAGAGACCCATTGAAGGTTGGAAATGACAAATGCATGGAATGATCACTTTGGGTTAGAGGATTTTATTTTTAAATATTATGTATTTACTTTATTCCTCGATTTTTTAATGTTATTTTTAAAATATCTATCTTGTATTTCCTAAATAATTTATTTAAGAAATAACTCAATCCGAAATAATGGATGTTTAGAAAAGCCAATAATTATTTCATAATTAAATGCAAATTGGTTTATTGCCAGTATCAACATTTCAGAAAGAATTCATTCATAAAAAAATCAATTAATTTATTTAAGAAATGAATTATTTCATAATTTTCCAGATCTATTAAAAACCAATATTACAAAAGTATCAATCACAAATATTAAGTTTTACTATAAATTACTCACCTTCCATCTTGAATGCTTTGGAATATTTTTTTGGCAGTTTCCAGAAAAGCTTCTTCAACTCTTTCTCCTCTAAAAAAATTTTTAAATTATTATTAGTCGATTATAATGACCATAGTATGATAATTATTATCCAAAATCTTCATACGTTTTTGCACTAGCTTCAACGAACATTAAACCATTTTCTTCAGCAAACTGTTTTGCTTCCTCATAAGTAACATCTCGCTGACCATCTAAATCACATTTATTTCCAATAAGAAAGATCACCTAAAACATTTATTCCAAGAAATGTTTAAGAAAACAGCAAAGGCTAAAAAAAATTAATTTATTTAATCCTTTTGGACATTATTATATCCAAAAACAAATACTAATACCAAAATTTACAAAAATAAATAATTTAATATAAAAATATGATTTATATATATTATTTTACATCCCACAATATTAGAAATAAAAATCAGACCACAAATGCTTAGTTGAACATTAAATTTCCATTCTAAATCAAGTTGCTTAATCAGGTATGTGCATATTCAAAACAGTTACCAAATAAAAAATTGATGATTTCAAATTTCAGAATATGGACTCAGATGATTTTGGTGTTATAGATATAAAGTGGAAACTACAGACAAATGATGTAAGTGCCGAAGATCTACAATAACTGAAAGAAAAAAAAATCTGGTGCAAAACTTTTATTTGCTGCTCAACTTTAAATAGAAATTATTTTCTGGCCATGTTGGGCTATTATTAAATTTTTGAATTACATTTTTAACTGAGCTAAAGCTAAATGATAACAACTAACAAATCATAAACACCATTAAATAACAAAAGTCCTATTTATTATATCACCAGTTGATTATGGATTGTACGATCCGTTGTTTATGGATCGTAAGACTATTAGTTTTAATTTTCTAGAACGTCACATGTTGGTTTTTCAGAATAAGCGGATGCTAGATACCTAATTATTTAAATATGATATCAGATCTAGAATTATTAAACTACAATAAATATATTTAAGATTATAATCGTATCCATGAAATATTTTTATATTTCACTTCTTCTTTCACACAAATACAATGAAGTAGTATCTTAAACAATGGCATTGCCTTGAATCCGTTGGTTTTAAATACTTCTTCAAACTTAAAACTTTTTTTTATAGGTTTACATTCAGTGAGAAAATTTCATTTAATTTCTTGAAAAGACATGATTTACGTTAACTTATGTTAGATTTTAGAAATTATTATTTATATTTTTTTCATCACTCTCTCTTACCTTCTACAACTTTCTATATTATACATTGTTTTTTTTTTAATTCTCCGCTTATATATTATACGTATACCTTCTGACTATTATTTCCGGATATTCATTTTCAACCTGGATAAGTATTTTCTTTTTTTCTACTTTATTTAATTATCAAATTCATTCAAAAGTTATAGTTAGCATTTTTCAATCATACTGAACAATGATTAATAGTTATTATTTATAATAAACAAAATTGAAGGTACATTAGATGACGACATGATAATGTTGGAATATCACAAAGGGAAAATCCATCAAATTATTCACTAATTTAATTTTCTAAAAAGTTACATGACAATTTTTCGGAATAAACGGACGTTGATTTACAGGACAATAATACTTTAATCTCTTAGTTGCGACCTTAGAGTCTTAATCAAGGTCAGGTCAAGTGCCGTGCACGGGATACTGAAGATCTAGTAGCCCTCTGTGCACGGAATTTATTGACTGAATTGCTCCCATCACTTTGCACTTTTCCACATTAAAATATGCTTTTTTTAAAAACTGAATTATATATTTTTCTTTAATATGATGTTAGCTCATATTTCAATAAACAGTTAAATATCTTTTTTTTTTTTACATTTTAAACTTTCTTTTAATTTTATAATTTATTAATTACCTTACATTACTTTTACATTATACTGCAACATTTACAGTATTTTTTATATATATATATATATATATATATATATATATATATATATATTTTTTTTTTTTTTTGGTACATATAGCGTCATTATTTTTTCATTTTCATTTGAATTTTTTTTTTATTTTTAACTAGTTCCTGATAATGATTGTTATGATAAATTTTTAAAAACATAGTATTGTATGGTAATGGTAAATTATATTACATTTACTTCAATTTAAAAAAAAAAAATCTGGTGCGTGCATCACACAACTTTCACTTACTGCTTTGCTTCAAAAAAGCAATTCTTGTCTGGCAAAATTGGACTATTACAAAACGTTTTTGAAGCGCATTTTTAATGGAACTAAACCTTGAACAACATATTATTCAACTTTGGTCATATCCATCAATACAGAAACCCATTAAGACCATTAAAATAACATAAACCCTATTTATTATATCCATTGTAGGCAAGAAAAACCTTATAATTGCATCAGTCTATTTGAATCACATAACTTCATTCTCTGAGCTCTATAGATAAAGAGATTTGAAAGTACTTGTATTTAATTACGAATAATTAAGGTCATACTGCACAATAAAAATTATAAGAATGAAATCTCTATCCCTCTTTAAATTTTTATTTTTTACCCTTGGAAAATTTACCAAAAAAAAAGTTACTTCTTTTTAAATACAGCATTGATAAGTTGAAAGTCGTAATACTGATTGTAAGGGTATAATGTGATTTCACAAAGGGATTTTTTTTTTTAATAAATCAACGATATATACCTAATTGTTTAAATATAATATTCGATCTAGAGTTATTAAAATACAGTAAATGTATTTAAGGTTAATAAACATATGTTTTACCCATCCATGAAATATTTTTTTATTTCACTTCTTCTTTCACACAAGTACAATGAAATAGTTTTTTTAACAATGTCCATTGCCTTGATTTGTTGGATTTTATAGCCTTTTTTTCAAACTTAAAAATAATTTGAAATTTTCACAATTAGTAAGGAAATTTCATTTCATTTCCTTGGAAACATGTGGTTTCCGTTAAGTAATATTAGTTTTCAGAAATTATTAATTATAATTTTTTGTCACTCTCCATTACCTTATACAAATTTGTATGTTAGATATTGTTTTTCCAAAACTTCTCATCTTTCCAACGATATATTATACATATACATTCAGTCTGTTATTTCCAGAAATTTATTTTCAACCTCAATACAAATTTTTCCTTTTTTCTCTTTTAGCCAAATGACAAATTCTTTCATACTTTAGATTCAGCCACTTTTTATTTGTAATGATGCTAATAGACAGTTAATTTTGTTAAATAAAGCAAATTTAAGGTACTTAAGACAAGATATACTGGACATTAAGCATTTAAGCCTTGTAAGGTGACATCAAATTGAATAAGATCTACCTGATAATACAATGATATACCTAGTTAAAATCAAAATTGTTAGAGCAGTTTTTGAGAAAATCGTAAAAATGTCGTTGATATAAGTGCCACTTCCGGTTAACCGATTAGCTGTAACATCTAACGCATAAATCTGTCTTAAATATGTAATATCAGTTTCTTAGGACTTTTTAACTAACAAAAAATATAGAAGTATCATATAGCAAAATTTCAAGCCACCTGAAACTGGTGAATTTTTACTTCTAAAATAGCAATTTTTTAATTTGAGTCTGCCAGTGGATTTCCGCAGCCTAACACTGGCCGACAATGTTATTTCTTTATTATAAACCAAATACTTTCTTTTTTTAAAATTTCAAGCCTCGTAAATTTGGTGATTTTTTACACCAAAACTACAATTTTTTAATTCCAGTCTGCCTGTGGATTTTAGCGGCCTAGCATAGGCAGGCAGACAATGTTATTTCTTTATTAGAAACTAAATACTTTCTAATTTTAAAATTTTCAAGCCTGTTGAAGTTAGTAATTTTTTACACCGGAAATTGCAATTTGTGAATTTGAGTATGCTAGTGGATATCCGTGGCACATAATCCAAGAAGTTTTGGGCAAAAATATGCTTTGCTAATGTTTAAAAGCTACTCAGTAGCAAGTAGTTAACAATAGAAGGTCATTGAAGTTAACAATGAAAGGTCATTTTCATAGCTTTTAACTCCAATTAAATTAAAGTCGTTAAAAAACAAGTTCAATGGGAACTATCAAAAACCAGTCTATCACACTTTTCAATTGATTCTATTACTATATTGATATTGTAAAATTAAAATAAATAAAAAAAATATGATGTAAGTTCCATGATTAATATAAATAAACTATTTAGAGTAGCAACAAAAATAAATATATTAAACTTTCATTGATTAACAGTTAGACCTCAACTCATTCTCAATGCAACACACTCGCTCAACTGAATTCAATGGGTTGAGAAAAACAACAAAAATGTTTATAAAGAAATTATTATCATCTTATATCAAATAACACTTACAGTACTTGGATTAGTGAGATTTCTTGTATCAGTCAACCAACTGCTAAGGTGATTATAAGTTGAACGTCTTGTAATATCATAAACCATTAATGCTCCAGCCGCTCCACGATAATAAGACCTACCAACATAATAATATCAAAACTAACTCTGTTTCTTCACTCAATAATTATTTATGATTATTACCGTGTGACAGCCCTAAACCGCTCTTGTCCTGCTGTATCCCAAATTTGTAGTTTAATTTTTTGACCAGATACTTCTATGATTCGAGTCCCAAATTCAACACCAATTGTATGAGGACAATCAGCCATAACTAACATATAGAATTTAAATAGCATACAATAACAATTTCATACCAAAGCAGCATTAAAGATATCAAAACTTACATTTTTTCTCTGTGAACTGGTGGAGCAGGCATGATTTCCCAACACCCATGTCCCCAATTATAATGTATTTAAAAATATAGGAATAGCTATAAGGTCCTCCAGACATGTTTCCTATATATAAAATACCTATCAGCTTTCAAAAGGAAACAGTACAAAGAAAATAAGAAGACTTAGAATAAATAACTTTATATTTGAATTCATGAAGTAAGTGTAAACACTTTAGTATCAACAGGAGTATACAAGTTAATTGAAGAATTTTGAATCATCTATTACCTCAAGGTCCTGATTTCTAACTAAACTTTATAATAAATAAAGCTACTCTAATTCAACAATGTAAATATATCGTCAAGTTGTTAACATTTAATCATATATCATAAGATAACTCCTTTGTGACAACACATAAAACAATGGCTGACAAACATATGATTCGAAACAGAATAAGTTAAATTACATCAAAAGTCAGTATTTTAGATTAAATCCTTATTTCAACTTTTAAAAAAAGGGTATTTTTAATTATTCCATCAATTTAATTTTTAAAATAAAACTTATGAAAAGTAATTTTAACAAAATGGAATTTATAACTACCAATATTGAAACAAATAAATAAAATATCCTCTAATATAGTTATATAATTATTTGATAAATTCCATAAATTATTTTTTAAAAGAGGGGCAGGGCATAATTATAAATATACTATAAAACGTTGCAAATATCGAAGCCTATTATTACAATCGATTTCAAGCAGAACAATGTTGCAGTTCGTCCTATAATTTGGCCACCTTTGAAGGTAAGTCGAAATTGAAAAGTCAAATTCCAACGAAGCAACCTTTAGCAGGCGGCGTTGACGCCTGCTACACACAGTTTTTCCAAAGAAGGAACACCAATAGGCAACACTAGGAAACAAATACCAAGCTACATGTCGTTCAGTGTTGCCTCAGTGGAATTCCGCCTTAACACATCTGGGTTTTTTCTTCTTAAAACTATAATCTTGGTCTTTTCTACATTAATTTCAAGGCCAAATCTTCTGGCCTCCCTTTCCAACTTCTCAAAAGCATCTTTGACAATAAGGAGAGACCTTGCAACTATCACCACGTCAGCGGCATATACTAATGATTGGACCCCTTTGTAGAGTATAATGCCATTCTCATCCAAAGGGGCTCTTGCTAATATAGTTTGTAGTACGATATTAAATAATATAGAGAGCTAGATAATCACCTTGCCTGAGTCCAGTGTTTCCTGAAATATGGTGGTCAGCTTACCGTTAACATTAACCTTTTTGCTTGTATTATCTGATGATTTTTAAAGGAATATTAATCTCCTTCATAACCTGGAACAGCTCATCTCTCTGACCTGAGACATAAGCTGCCTTATAATCAATGAATAGCATCCACATAGTGTTTTAGAATTCCTTTATTTTCTCACACATTAGTCGCAGAGAGAAAATTTCATCGATAGTAGATCTGTTAATAGTAGACCTAAAACCTCCTTGGCAATCTCCCAGCTTGGACTCCACACATGGCAATAGGCGATTGTAAAGGGCTATAGAGAAAATTTTGAAGTATTTAGAAGACTTATTCCTTGTGATTCGAACGACTATTGCTTTTGATCACTCGTTCGGCATCCTTTCTACTTGCCAAATGCATGATATTATACTATGTATCTCACTAGCTAATGAATCATTTGCCACTTTTAAAAATTCTACATGTATCCATCTGGTGCAGGAGCCTTGTAAATTCTCCACAATAGCTTCAATACCCTCTTTTTCTGGTGGAATATCTTCATTTTCATTGTTAAAACTCTCATAATATACTTTACTCGTGTCTCCAACACTATACTCAGATTTCAGGAGAGCCTGGAAGTATTTCTTTCAGTCTTCTTGCAGCTCTGTTTCCGTAACCACTAGGCGTTCATCGTCATTTTAATTACCAGATTATTATTTCTAATACCTATTTTCGGCTGCTTCTGTAGAACTTTCTGTTCTTATTGTTGCTTCTGGCTTCTTCTATTTTCTGAAGCTTATCACGCATCCATTTTATTTTCTTAGACCTGATGATTCTTTTAGACTGGGCCATAGCATCATGGAATTCTTTTCTATTCTGCCTTGTGTTCTTCCCCAACCACTTGGTGGTTAGCCTTTTGCGTGCCTTAATCGCTTCACTACACTCGGCATCAAACCAGGATCTATTTGGAGGTTTCCGCTTTTCTAGGCAATATTGCTCTGCTGTTCCCGCGATTGACGTTTTCTACTCCTCCACTCAGTTTCCATCCCTTTCGCACTACTCTCTGCCAGAATGTTTCTTATATTTTCTTTTAGCTTTTTGTTATATTTCTCGCTTGTATTATGTTTCCTTAATTTGTCTCTTGTCTACTTGCTTGATTTATTGATATGTCTGTGGGATGTGTAGGTTATCTTGGAGATAATCTTTGAATGACGAGGAAATGATCAGAGTTCCCATATGTTCCTTGGTAAGATCTAACATCATTGACTTCGAATTTACAAAACTTCTATATTTATTGTGGTTCTTTACGAATGCGAAACATAGTCACTTAAATTAAGAGATGAATAAAGCCTTAGGGCTTCTGAAAAAAAGTGTGTTGCACAAAATATTCGTCCCGAAGAGGGTCGAGTTAACAGGAGAATTTATATCGCTAAACAACCATTCATAGTATGATTTGTACACGATTAATATAATTGATATGATAGCTTTGTGGCTATTCAATCCACTAATCCATAGAAAGTTAGGGACAGCTGCTTCAACATAGTAAAGCATAGATTAAACGTTATCTAAGATTAGACCAAGTTTCACCCGTCGTTCAAACGAAGCCCTGCTTCGCAATCGAGTTTAATCTTGATTGGTCGACCGTGGCCACTTAAGCTTTACTTCAGAGGGAAAATTTAGTTTCCTAAGGTTATCCTTGGCAACTATAATAACCTTCCAAGGTGTTTTTACTGTATCGTTTTTGTTTTAACCATTTTTATTTATCTTTTCTCTTGCAAAAATGGTTATGCTAGAATTTGACGAACTCACAGATGACGAGGATTTCCTCGATTAAATTGCATTTTTACCAATGGAGAAAAAAGTATATCGTTCTCTGGTGAATCATTTTCTCCATTGGTCTGATTACGAAGTTTTAGATAGATTTAGATAGGTTATTTTTTATAATTAGCACAAATTAATTGAACTCTGAGTTTCTTTAAACGAAAACAAATACTTGACGTTGAGAAGCTCAAACAGCAAAGAACTGTAGAAAAACCTATTAACACGTTAACTGCTGAGCATGATATCTCTTAAATGTCTTTGCCGAAGATATCGGTCCCCGGCGACAGATACTAGTTAGGAAGTTCCTAACGGCATCGGACGCCAGAGACATACATCAGTTTCGAGGTACACCGATATTTTTTGACAACAAATAATAATAAAAAGGCTTAGCGAATCCGAAGGTTCGATGCTTACACCACCAATCGCTTATTACACACCTCCCTCCACCGTTCGCCGTCCAAACCCAGTCCCTTCAGATCAGCTTTAATGCAATCTTTCCACCTTCGCTTCGGTCTACCCCTCGGACGCTTACCATTCGGCACAGCAAATATTAACCTTTTAGGAATTCTCTCGTTACTAAGTCCAACAACTTTACAAGCCCATTTGATTCGCCGCGATGAAATTATCTCAATTATATTACTCGGATACAGTTCACGCAATTCGGCGTTGTGTAACCGTCTGAACTCTCCGGTTAACTCAACCTTCTTCGGTCAGAAAATTCTAAGCAATACCTTATTTTCAAAAACCTTAAGACGCTGCTCATCCCTTAATGTAAGCGGCCAAGTTTCGCACCCATAAAGAACTGTAGGCAAGATAATTGTTTTATAGATTCTAATTTTTAAGTTTCGGGACAAAAGGCACGAACTAAATAGTTTTGTCACAGAAAAATAACAAGCATTTCCCGCCTTCAGTCTAACCTTAATTTCTTCTTCAATTTCGTTTTTTCTAGTTATCGTAGAACCTAGATACTTAAACTTATCTACCTGCTCAAACATATTACCATCTATATCGATATCACCAGTAGTATCGCCATTTTTGCAGCTAACCATATATTTTGTTTTATCCACGTCTATTTCGAGTCCTAGTTCTTTACCGGCTTTCATTAACGTTGTCGTATTTAGTTTTATAGTTTCAAGGTCCTCGCTTAACAGTACCAGATCATCAGCATAGCCCAGCGCGGATGTTGTTCCATCCAGATCCAACCCTTCTCGGTACGCATTACCTCCCTAATGGCATGTTCTAATGCCAAATTGAACAGTACAGGCGAAAGGGAATCCCCCTGTTTTAAACCCGAACGAACCTCAAATTTTTCGGACAGATTATTACCGATTCTAACTTTATTAAGTGTCTCCGTCAAGCACATCCTGACTAGATTTACTAATTTTTTAGGAATCCCCTGCTCGATTAGGATATACAGTTTCTGGCGGTCAATAGAATCGTAAGCCTTTTTAAAATCTATATACAGCTGGTGAACAATACCGTTGTACTCCAATTTTTTCTCTAATATTTGCCGTAAAGAAAATATTTGATCAATAGTCGAACGATTCCGTCTAAATCCGCATTGGTAGTCTCCGATAATTTCCTCTGCGTATTCCGTGATTCGACTGGTTAAAATTAAAGTAAAGATTTTATAACATACTGGAAGGAGTGAAATTCCTCGATAGTTATTACAATCCGTCCTCGGACCCTTTTTGTGAATCGGAATAAGAATAGATTCTTTCCATTCTTCAGGTAATTTCTCATTCACCCAGATCTTTTTAACCAACCGATGTATTTTAGAAACTCCAGCTTCCCCGCATGCCTTAATTAGTTCAGTAGGAATATTATCGGTTCCCGCTGCTTTATAAGATTTTAATTTTCCGATAGCTAATTCAAATTCCTCTTTACTCGGTTCTTCTATCAACGGTTCAGCGCTCTGGTACTCAGAAGGAAGACACAGATCATAATTTCCCGTATTTAAAATATTGTCAAAGTGGTCCTTAAATTTATTCAATATGTCAACCGGATCGGTCAGAATATTGTTATTATCATCCCTAATTCCAGATGTTACGGACCCTACACATTTACGTGATCTGTTTATACCTTTGTACATGTCTCTTACGTTATTTTCGACTTTATTAGTTTCTATTTCAATTATTTTATTTTTAAGATACTCCCTTTTTTTATTTTTGAGCAATTTTGTCGTTTCGTTCTTTGAGGTTCGGAAGTATTCCAGATTGTCTTCGCTAGGATTATTTAGAGCTTTTAATTTAGCGGCTTTTCGTTTTTCGCACATGTTTAAGCAATCTTCATCAAACCACGGTTTGTTATTCTTATTTTCATTTTTTCCTAGACACGAGTTACCGACCGCTTTAATATTATCCCTGATCTCTACCCATAACTTGTCAATATCCTCGTCGTCC